TTTATCCCTGATGTCCTTACACAGCTCTCTGGTCTTGGCCATTGTGGAGAGGTTGGAGTCTGTTTGATTGAGTGTGTGGACAGGTGTCTTTTATACAGGTAACAAGTTCAAACAGGTGCAGTTAATACAGGTAATGAGTGGAGAACAGGAGGGCTTCTTAAAGAAAAACTAACAGGTCTGTGAGAGCCGGAATTCTTACTGGTTGGTAGGTGATCAAATACTTATGTCATGCAATAAAATGCAAATTAATTACTTAAAAATCATACAATGTGATTTTCTGGATTTTTGTTTTAGATTCCATCTCTCACAGTTGAAGTGTACCTATGATAAAAATTACAGACCTCTACATGCTTTGTAAGTAGGAAAACCTGCAAAATCGGCAGTGTATCAAATACTTGTTCTCCCCACTGTACATGGAGCTGAAATCGAAAATTGCTGTTTTAAAGCCAATCTTTCTGCAATTCTACACATTTTGACATGGCTAATGCTGTGTTCATATGCTCAAACATTATAACAAAATCAATGGTGGCTTTTATTTTGTTGATTCCAAGTTCTCAAAGATTATAGAGTATTATTAAAAAATATATAGCTCCATTATCTTTTCTACATACTTTCTATTTGGTTTTAGTCGTTAAAGTTTACACACTGAAAGCATTTTTACATTCCCAAAAATGTATATATATATAAAAACATATATATAATAATTTTGCAATGCACACATTTTTTTTAATCCAATGAGCCACCTGGACCCCTGCCCTGACCCACACTTGCTTAGACTACAGACAGAAAGGCAGACCTTGCTCCATTAACTGGGTAATGTTTTTGCAGCTTGGCTGGTGAACATCAGGGTTGGGCTCAATTCAAATTGAAGGTAGTCAATTCAGGAAGTGATTTAAATAAAACATTCTGAAATGTGCATTTTCTTTCTGTTTATTGAGAAGTCATTGAAAATAACTGCCCTTTTTTCGATTATTGAATTGTAATTTTTGTTTACTTCCTGAATTGACTGCCCTCAATTTGAATTGAGGCCAACCCCGGTGAACACCTCTGAATCAAACATCGGTAGACTTGAGTGTAACTCAAACCTCAACAACATTCGGTGAATTGCGTGAAAGTTATTACTTGGATGGAAGTGAGCAGTCACATGTAGAACTTATAATCTTCCCCACATCATCCCTCCTCTCCCTTTCCGCAGAGATCCCAATTTGTATGTAAACACTCAAAACATAAAATAAAACTACATGAACAATTAACGTTTTTTTCAACAACAAAAAAAGAGTACATTTCCATTGAAAAGGGTATGCATTTATAAATATATTGATTTCATCCAAACCTACTCACAACTCTTTAAAAATAATAATTATTTGGGTTGATCCTAACCAACAATCTTACCAATTGAGATGGCGAGAAGACATCTGCATAGGTTTGCTCAGGTGCTCTAGATATGACTTTCCATACATAGACAGAGGTCAGAGGACTGTGCCAGTCTCCTTCTTAAACATGCCATGACGGTTCAGATGCATCACAGTTATCTACACACACTCTACAAATATGGAGTCACAGATACAGTCACCTCCAAAATGATTGGCACCCTTGATAAAGATGAGCAATTTTTTTAAATAAATTATACAAATTCAAAGCTATATTGTATGCAAAAAAAAGGAACATTGTATAATTTCATACAAGTACAATATTGCTCAGAGAAAGAGATTTTGTTTAACAAGTAAAAAATAAAAAATAAATTGGTGTCAAAATTATTATCTGCATTATCATTCTACTTGTTTACGTTAATCTCAGCTAAAGGAACTGTATTGTGGCCTTCCATGGCTTCCTGTTTCACTGGGGTATAAAAATGAGGTAACAAACATGTAAAATCCCTTTGTCATCCATCACCATGGGGAAAGGCAAATAACTCCCAAATGAAAAAAAGAAATGGTTGTTGACTTTCATAAATCAGGCAATGGGTACAAAAAAACGACTGAAAATTCCAATATACCACTTACCACTATTAGGGCAACAATGAATATGTTTAAAACCACTGGAACAGTGGTAAACTTGCCTGGTAAGACCCAAGTGTATCTTGCCCCCACGCACATTGAGGAAGATGGTTCGGGAGGCAACAAAAAGTCCAAGGGCCACAGTTGGAGAATTACAGAACTTGGTCGCATCTTGGGGTCACCAAGTCTCCAAATCTACAATTAAACGCCACCTCCTTTATTGAGAGCAACCAACAAAAATGTAAATGCCTGGAGTTTGTTAAACGGCATTGGCACTTGGATAGGAACTGGGTGCTATGGTCAAATGAGACTATAACAGAGCTATTTGGCCACGCACAGTGGTGGGTTTGGCCTCGAATGAAGGATGCATATGCAGAAAAGAACCTCATACGAACTGTAAATTGTGGTGGATCTTTCAAGGAAAGATCCTGTATGGAGGAATGGTCTAAGATCTCTCCCAATGTGTTCTTCAATCTCGTAAAATATTATAGAAAAAGGCTAAGTGCCGTTATCCTCACAAGAGGAGGGTGCACAAAGTATTGAAAACAGGGGTGCCAATAATTTTGACACCTATCTTTTCAATATTTTGGGGTAATTACTTGTTAAACAAAATATTTTCTCTAAGCAATTGTAATACTGTAAAATGATATAATTTTCAAATTTGTTGAGCATACAATATAGCTCAGTATTTTTAGTATTTATTTTATACAGTATTTTTTGCTCGTCTTTATCAAGGGTGCCAATCATTTTGGAGGTGACTGTATGTCTGGCCTGAATGGAAGCCCAAAAACTTGAAAATTAAGTATTCACTATCATAAGCTTTGAAGCAATTGGAAAGGCAGTAGACCTTCTATATTACGGTTATACTATAGCTGAAGCACACTCTGTGGGCCCTGTCAATAGGTTTTCCTGTGAAACTGGATTGGTGGTACCTGACTGAGTAGGTTACTAAATCAATATAATCTACATTTGTGTTCCAATTAATGGTAATTTGACAGTTAACTATAGCACAATATGGATGCCTTTGACTTCTCCTTTCTCAAGCTAATGTAAACAGTTCTGAGGATTTGGTCAGCTAGGAGGAAGATACATGATGATGGCCATTGTACAGACAATGTTTGAAAATACTTGACGTGACATTCTAACTCTAGAAAAAGTCCACCTGGATAGAGGCTGCAGCTAACGCCAGCGGCCCAGAGATTTATTCAGATGTCAGAGACTAACAAGAGGCCTGTGTAGAAATATCCATGGACCTGTAATAGTCCCATAATCACTTTAGATAGGCTGGTTTTTATACATTCAGTGCTTGGTAAATGTAACTGTCCCTTGGTCATGCACTGGTCGCTCAGTCAGTATTGAGTATCTGAGGTAAACTTATGATTGATATACAGTGAGGGAAAAAAAGTATTTGATTCCCTGCTGATTTTGTACATTTGCCCACTGACAAAGAAATGATCAGTCTATAATTTTAATGGTAGGTTTATTTGAACAGTGAGAGACAGAATAACAACAAAAAAATCCAGAAAAACGCATGTCAAAAATGTTATAAATTGATTTGCATTTTAATGAGGGATTTCTGGCTCCCAGGTGTCTTTTATACAGGTAACGAGCTGAGATTAGGAGCACACTCTTAAAGGGAGTGCTCCTAATCTCAGCTTGTTACCTGTATAAAAGACACCTGTCCACAGAAGCAATCAATCAATCAGATTCCAAACTCTCCACCATGGCCAAGACCAAAGAGCTCTCCAAGGATGTCAGGGACAAGATTGTAGACCTACACAAGGCTGGAATGGGCTACAAGACATTCGCCAAGCAGCTTGGTGAGAACGTGACAACAGTTCTCATTATTCGCAAATTCTTTTTTCTGGATTTTTTTGTTGTTATTCTGTCTCTCACTGTTCAAATAAACCTACCATTACAATTATAGACTGATCATGTCTCTGTCAGTGGGCAAACGTACAAAATCAGCAGGGGATCAAATACTTTTTTCCCTCACTGTACATAAAGTGCTATGTTTATGGATTTACTGTGGCTTGATCTATACATTTATACTTAAGTGATATTCAAGCATGGACATTTGGTGTGTTGTGTTAACTCTATTAACCAATGCTATGGCACGACCATAATTGCGAAGTGCAAACCAACTGAATGAAATCCATCCATCGGATTAATTGGGAATAAGGCCTCTTTGTAAATCCCTGAATATATGAATAAACCTGAGAACATGTCGGAGTTAGCTGTAACAATGCTGCTTCCCACCCAGAGGTTGGTTCTTGTCCCTCAATTAATGTTCCCTTACCCAGATCCCTGTCCCACTGTCCCAATCCCTCCACCCCAAGGCCTTGGTGAGTCCCGTATTGAACACCCTCTCCCCAGACTCCTTGGCATGTGACAGGGCAGGACACAGGAGCCATCCCTACTGTATACACTCCCAGTCTGGAGTTTTGGCAGTGGGGTAGAGACGCTGGGAGGCACTACTGGGGAACCGTCCTCTTTGAAATATATGTAACCCTGTTCATGTAAGCCCAATTGGTGTTTATGGGATGGTAGCCAAGGCCTCTGGATGTGTAAACGCCGTACACATCACACCAAATGTGGATTTTGCGTTCGTCTGTCAATCGTTCAGTGTTTTAGGTACTACCCGCTGACTGCCAACATTTTTCACGCTGATTCTACATGTAAAATCGGTGCACTCGGTTCTCCATTACGTTCAGAGGTGCTAAGTGCTCTCGGCCAGCAAGCCCTACTGGTGTCTGTGAGCCCTAACAGTGCTGCTCACTCCTTCTTTAAGTGGCTTTACTCTATGTTTCAACATCTTTAAGGAAGGGCATGATGGGACAGATAAAGTGCAAAATGACCCCTGAACCTCTTTAGCCCCCCCTGTCTGATAGTGTGTATCACTGCCCCTCAGTCTTTGTCTTTACCATTATTTTCTCTCCCTCTGCACTCTCTTTTTATTCTTCTTTCTCGCTCTCTCTCTTATTCGGGCCAGTCCAGAGGCGCTCATTTCTTTTTGAAGAAGGAAAAGAGCCTCTTGTCTCCATCAGAGAGGCGATGGGCTCGTCTGGAGGACTGGCCGGAGGGGCCCCCGGAGGACCCAGCGAGGGAGTAGGGGGTCACCCTCCACTCCTCCTGGTGCTTTTCCATGAGCTGCTGATCAATCATACTGTGCATATCATCCTAAGACAGAGAAAGACAGAATGAATGAGTGACAGAGAGAGAGTGTGAGCACAGTAGAGTGATAGAGAAATAAAGGGAATGGGAGGGGATGTTAAAGAGGACAGGGGTTTTTAGAGAAGAGAAACAGGAGGCAGGAGGAAGGGGTGACAGATTGGCATGGAAGTGGGTGGTTTTGGGTGATCGAATGGCTTAGAATGGGTGAGCGCATTTCTGTTGAGTCAGCAGGCCATGGCATGGAATGGCTCAGCATGGCATGGAAGAGTGGCACAGGACAGGATCAGGCCGAGATGGCACACCTAGGCTCACCTCTAAGGCAGGAGGGGGGTACCACAGGGGAGAAAGGGTGGTACGGAAGCTGAGAAAGGCCACTAGATCAGAAACCACAAGAGCCACACAGTAAAGAGCCCTGAGGAGGCAAACTGCAGCCAGGGAAAGAGAGAGGAAAGAGCTGCTAGTTACGGGTGAGGAAGGGAAGGAAAAGTCATACACTGAGTCCTCAATTTAGTTAGATAGCTACTCGTCCTACTTGCTTAATTGTTTGCAGTATGCTCAATGCAAACCCAAGGTTGAAACTCAGTTAGGTTTCATTGAGGAGTGTATTAGTTCTTCAGACACTAGTGTAAATTGGCGACTCAGAGTACATACAGTATTGTACATGTTAACACACACACATTGGACAGTGGTAAGTTAGAGGAGAGGACAGGATGTGGTGGGGAAAAGATCACCATACACATATTTTCAGTCCAATAGTATACTCTTATTTAATGAATAAAATACAGTACACATTAAGAATGATAATTCCTGTGTGAATGTTATAATTTATACATGTTGTCATTCAGATACACATTAATATCTGTTAATATATATCTCTGTTTGACAGCCCATTCAGTTTGGCAGTCCATTCAGTAACAATGGAAATAAGTTGTTAAACATTATTGTGTTATCCTCGATTATTTTAAATACAGTGTACACACGTGTGGCTGAATTGTGTTTTTAAATCGAATAAAATAATAGCTCATACTATGAATGGCCTAGTGTGCCCCCTCATGACCTCTGACCTCTGACCCACCTGCCAGGCCTCCAGCTGCTGTGATAGGTTCAGCTTCTGCTGGATGGCGTCCAGGAGCTGGCTGTTCAGGGACATGATATCTATCTTACACTTGGCCAGCTCCATCTCCACCGCTTTCTTCCTGTAAGGCAGACAGACATACAGACACACAGCTTAGAGACATGCAACATCTCTCTTTGCTCTCATTCTGCTGAATGAGAGTTTATGACTGGTTTGCTTATTTGGAGATCAATGTAAAAATACTCATTGTTGTTATATGCTAGTCTATTACATAGGTAGTGATTTTATTTAGTGATTTTATCCAGGGAGCACACACAATTTGGTTGTGCCCAGATGATAAGTTATGTTGTGTGGTCTTACTTGGAAATAGCGTCGTCTCGTTCTCGTATAGCACTTTGGAGCTGTTCACTGGGGTCTCGTGCTTCAGACATGGCCCTCATACGCTCACTCTCCTCCTGTAAAGAGCACATCTCCATAGAAAGCATCGCCATCTGCAGGACAGGGGAGGAATGACATAGGCGACCCTTATCAGACACATTGTCAGCCTCATTAATAAGAAATCACATCTAATGTGTCTTGCTTGAATAACAACGCTGTGTTAAAGTGTTCTTGTTTGAGAACAACACTGATGATAAAGCTCTGTGTGCAGTAGTACCTGATTATGGAGTTGTAGAACCTCTTCTTGGCTGTTCCGTGTTCTATCCTGCTCTGCTTCGTACAGCTCTCTCACTCCTCTCAGCTCTTCCCCAAGCTTTCGAACGTGGTCCTCTAGAGCCTCCTCGTCACTCCGCCGAGAACCCTGTTCACACACAACCACAACAACACACCCATAGGTTCATTAAATTGTGATTTCAACTCAATTCAATTGCCATTTTGAGTTGTTTTGAGTGTGTATCAAATATTTCACACTCTTTATTAGATGCATGGAGGAACTATACACTGAGTGTACAAAACATTAGGAACACCTGCTCTTTCCATGACATAGACTGACCAGGTGAATCCTGGTGAAAGCTATAATCCCTTATTGATGCCACCTGTTAAATCCACTTCAATCAGTGTAGATGAAGGGGAGGAGACAGGTTAAATAAGGATTTTTAAGCCTTGAGACAATTGAGACATGGATTGTGTATGTGTGCCATTCAGAGGGTGCCTTTGAACGGGTTATGGTAGTAGGTGCCAGGCGCACCAGTTTGAGTGTGTCAAGTTCTGCAATGCTGCTGGATTTTTCACGCTCAACAGTTTCCTGTGTGTATCAAGAATGGTCCACCACCCAAATGACATCCAGCCAACTTGACACAACTGTGGGAAGCATTGGAGTCATGTTGTAGTCCATGCCTGATGAATTGAGACTGTTCTGAGAGCAAAAGGGGGTGCAACTCAATATTAGGAAGGTGTTCCTAATGTTTTGTACACTCAGTGTATATCTGTATAGTATATCTGTGTGAAAGGTCCGTACCGTGGACTCGTTGCCGTCTAGCAGGTTCTGTGTGAGTCTGCGTAGCTCCAGTAGACTGGTATGTAGGCTCCCCATGGGAACGTCCTTGGCTGAGGATGTCTCAGAGGACTCGTCCATGGAGGAGTCAGTGGACAGGGCCGAGTCTGTGATGTCGTTGCCTCGCAGGTGGGAGACGAGAGAGCGCACCTGGCAGTAGGCCTCCCACAGCTGGAGACGCAGCTGGAGACAGAGGGAAAGCTGCTTAGCGAAGACCGCTGATAACAATAATAAGTTGGTGGGTACTTACATTTGTCCTATTTCACACATGTACAAGTGTGTATTAAAACACGTGTCAATTGGCCAGGGTCACCATTGTCCAGCATCCCTAGAGCAATTATGGTTACATTTTTATTTTACATTTGAACTAGCAACCTATCGGTTAATGGCCCAACGCGCTAACCGCTAGGCTACCTGCCGCCCACAAAAAGTGTTTGGCTGCGATGGCCGGGAATTGAACCCAGGTCAACTGTTTGGAAGGCAGCTATGCTCACCACTATATCACCATCGCGTGATACACTGTAAATCACTTATATAATAACAAGGATTCTCTGTATGCCACTCTATCTCATCAACGGTGTTTGTGCGTGCATGCGTACCTGTGTGTGTGTGCATGCGTACCTGTGTGTGTGCATGCGTACCTGTGTGTGTGTGCATGCGTACTTGTGTGTGTGTGCATGTGTGTACCTGCTCCCTCTCCTGTTCCTGCTCCTCTTGCTCCATGCTCTGTTCTATCTCACAGAGTAGACTGGCAGGGTGTGGGCTGAGGCCTTGTAGACTTCTCTCTTCTGTGAGCTCCTCAAAGCGGGCACTCAGATGTCTGTGGGACACCCGGACCTCCTGGAGCTCCAGCTGGCTCTGCCGTAACTGGACATGTACAGCAATACAGCAGTCAACAAACTGTAGTCAACACAGTGGTCAACACATTGGTCAACACAGTAGTCAACACAATGGTCAACACAGAGCACTGATACCATACAGATGAACACAACACACTCAGAAATACTCCTACTGCACAGATATCTATACACCAACATACACACATAATTCAGGAATATTATGACACTGTACAACAGTTCTATCAAAACCCCTATAGAACGTCAGAGATCGTACCTGTAATTCCTTCTCGTGGTACTGTTTCTCCAGCACTAGCGTCCCTTCCCTCAGGTCGTCAACAGTGTTCTGCAGTAGCTCGTTTTCCTCTAGTACAGCGTTAACCTGACGCTCCATCTCTCTCTTACGCTCCGACAGCATCTTAATCTGACAAAATACATAACCCCAATAGCCAAGTTACACATTGTGCTATGGGAACCAAGGGCAGAGAGGAGAAACTGTTTTGGTAGCTATCTGCACTCAGTGTTAGCCCTCTAGTGTTAACCTGTTTCTCTCCTGACTCTGAGGAGAGTTCAAATGTTCCAGAAGATTAAAGTACTCCTCCTGGTCCAAAGAATGTTTGTTGCCTAGCATTGGCGATTAGGCGTAGACGGTTTCTGCTACCCTCACATACAGGAATGTCTCCGTGATAAGCTGATATTCCAAGTATACCTGATAACAGTCTATTCCTTCATCAGTCTATACAGTGGCCTTGGACTGAAGGCTAACATTGCAAGAACATTGCACATTTCTAGAGATACAAGGAGAGTTTGTGTGTAATATGTTCGCTAGCCGCCTGAGCAGCTTACTTCATTAAACAAACATCAGTTCTTGTTCTTTCTTTCTCATTACCCCCCATCCATGCTTTGACCTACATCTGTTGATCTACTTGACAGCGCAGGAGGCTGACATTGTGTGTACAGCTCAGCTCACTGCCTTTGCCATCATGTGGACGTCTTAGTAGCTTTATGTTCTCACTGTGTCCTTCAGATATTTTGGTGGACATTGCTGTGATTTTCTTTGTCTAGCAGAACTGTGACATATCCATCCTTGTCACATTAAGAAAACCCGTTGCAAACCTGGGAAACACCCAGACATTGCAGTATATCTGAGCTAAATATAGAACGGCAGCGTTTTCACCCAATTACAGCACGGTCTCTGCAGAGGGTTATTCCTCTCCAATAAGAGGCACTTTTAAAGAGGAGGCTGAGAGTTATTATGTACTGTACTGTACGTCATGGTATCATTCTATGACCCTGAGCTAGATGGCTGACATTACACATTACTGATATTACTGTTTATTCCCCTGGTAGGCTACAGTATCTCATGCTCCAAAGCAGTACAGTGGGACATGTACACACATGCGACATGCAGCATGCAGACAAGCCAATATAACCACTCACTTCTAGCCCTTGCTGCTCCAGTGAAGTGGAAGGATTCAATCACGGTATTAAGGAGGGGAACAGGGAGAAAGTGAATGATTGATAGAAAAGGAGGAAAAACAGATAGGGGAATTTTGTTAACTTAACTCAACTGTTTTAATTAGTTTGATAGCAAGCACAACTTGAGGTGTGTATATTCTAATATCTCAGGATATTACTTTTTCAAACACACACAGCGCATTAAAATAACATTTTAAATAAACAACACAACTTTGGATAATGACTGGCGATATATTTCATAGGTAATATCTGTTAAGTTGAAATCAATTTAAAAGAAGATGTTGATTTTTGAGATGGTTAAAAATGACTCCTCGCATGCCTCACCTCAGCCTGTAGGCTCTCTAGTCGTGTCATGTGCTGGTTGGTGGAGACGCTCTTCTCTCTGAAGTCATCCCGTAACGAGTGGACCTGAGTGGACAGCTGCCTCTCCACCTCTGTAGCCTGGAGACAAAACACACCCCAGACACAGTATTAGCACAGAAGACATTAAGAAATAATTGAATACATTGTTATTAATACAATTCAATTCAACTTTATTCACTACCTCAGGGGCAATTAAGAAAGGCATTACCAGACGACAAATCTTCTGCATATAATACAAAGTGCATAACGGTAGTGTTGTAAAGTCATAATTCAGAACAGTTCAGTATAATGCAGGGCTGCAGAGCACAGAGTTTGTTGTTCAGTGTAGAGCAACTCCTGTTATTTGTTGTTGCTTTGAGTGCGTCTCTCACCAAGGAGCCTAGTGTTCACTACAGCTCTGAGAACATGACTCATCCCTCCAGTGCTTGATTCAGAGAAGCGTGACATCGCTTCTTATGCAAAACAATACTGACACACACACACACACACACACACACAATGAAATGTTCACAACATATTGTCCACACACACTAATGCCCCTTACATACTTCACATTGCGCAATGGTGAGACACGTTCTGAGTGAGTACCCAACATTGTAAATGCTTTGAGGGCTATTTGATTTGACACACTGTTACCTCTGAGTCACCACAGTGTTCCTGTAACTGGTACATTCAGCTGCACAGTAGAGCTGTTCCTGTGAAAGCACAGGTTTGAGTAACTCTTGGCCTTTAGAAACTGGAATGTTCCATTTGGAGCTTGGTCCCTCCTTCTGAGTGCAGCAGAGTGCAGGAGAAGCCCCTTCCCTGGCTGAGCTCATTGGACTGTTCTGATCACCCCACTGCCTACCGGCCGTGTGCAGATCACAAAGTCAGACCGACAGAACTTCATTAGCATAAGTGAGGCTGCACTAAGGAAGCCCAGACTCTGATTGTCATCATCACTGACATGGTAATGGACGGTGGAATCCTGGATACCACTCTCTCACTCCTCTCCAGCCTCTGCACTGAGAAATATAAATGCCATATAACAAAGCATCATTGATTTATTCACTGGAGACAAATTCAACTTAACAGGTCTTACTGAGAATATAGAGATATGATAAACTGTCTGTACACACTGTACGATTCATTTACACAATTCTCTGACTACAGTTTTCACTCCATCATGGCACTTCAGTATGTAGAATCTAATAGATATGTGTCCTCATTAGAGCTTCTAGAGAACATTCATCCAACAGGTTGATTCCTGTCAACAATCAAAGGTCAGGTGTATAGCAGCTCTGACAAATAAGAACCAGGTTGAATCAAATCTCTACATCTGTTTGCTACTAAGATATTATCTGTGTCAGGATGTTTGATATGTTTGCCTCTAGGTAGCAGTGTGATGTTTATAGGTTATTTCAGTCAGTGGTTGCAGTGTTGGCCACACTGGTGACTGGTGAGGCCGTAGTGAGTAGTGACTGCATGGGACAGGTCAGAAGAAGGCAACCGCCGCTATCTAATGCCATGTCCCTGTTTTAGAATGAGTCCTAAACAGTGAGATTTAGGTGAGATGGTAATGGTTTCCCCATTGGACAGCTGTTCGTGTTTTTGGAACCAGCATGGCATAGTGCTTTTTGGAACGCTTTTAAAGGTGAGGAGAGATGTCCACTTTGTAATGTTTGCTGTTAAAAATGGGCGACTTCCATTCACACTTGATGCACAAGTGTCCTTAAGTAACTCAGAGAGATGTTGTAATATTGATGTATTCTGTCTGGGTAACCAAGGGAAGAACAATCTGTAAACTAGACACTTTCAGTTGTACCATAACACTGCTCCAACACAGGAAGAGTTTGGTCAGTGCACTATGCTTACAACAAGGTATTGAATCACTTCCACATCCAAGTCCATGTACCCATTTTTCATCTTGTTGTCCCCAGTGACGCATGGGATGAATGATATATAGCATATACTAAATGCAGAATCATATTCACTTTGATGTATTTATAGACATTCAGACATAGTGTACCACATACCAGCTCTACTCTGCCATTCTGAATGTGCTTCACATTCTCCTAACCAGGCCAGGATGATGCATACAGCTCTTCCTCTCTGACCTGACTGATGTATCTCTCCTCAGTGGATGTTTATACAATGCCCAGTCACAGTGGGAATGTGACATTTGACCTAGTGTCACACTGCGCCTGACAGATTGAGATCACAGGAGAAACAGGATATTTCACTGTGGATTGCCAGATTTACTGATATTCCCCTTAATCTGAGCGTCAAATCCTCAGATCCCAGATCAAGCATGATCAGTACATGGGGGAAAACGGACTACTGCGACAGAATCCAGGCCAACAAACTAGGGCTCAATAAACTGAGAGACGAGCGTAATGCTCATTCTTCCTCCAGAGTCCGGACACAAAGGTACATTTTAGTCATTTAACAGACGCTCTTATCCAGAGCGACTTACAGTTAGTGAGTGCATACATTTTCATACATGCTGGCCCCCCGTGGGAAACGAACCCACAACCCTGGCGTTGCAAGCGCCATGCTCTACCAACTGAGCTACACAGTACCTTGTGCCAAGTCATTCTCTTTCAAAGGGAGAATCACAAGATTCTCAAAACCCTTTCATTTACACTAATCTTTGATAGGAGAGGAAACATATCTTCACTACATACAGGCCTAATCCATAGCGTACGTATAATACAAGAACATAGCAAATGTTCTTGCTTACACCTATGGGTGTGCAATTGAGAGGGGGTAGGGGGATCCTTTAGGCATGTACCACTTGTATCCCCTTATTTTTTAACATAGTTAATTAAGTCAGTGATTTCCAATGGTTTATCTGTTCCCTCGTTCTCTCTCTGCCCTCTCCTCAGGAAGCAGAACAATACTGTACAGTACAAGCTACAGTAGACACGTCACAATGTCACGATCGTTCATGAACGAGAAGGACCAAGGCGCAGCGTGATATGCATTCATATTTATTAACGACTAAACACACAACAAAACAACAAACGAAACGTGAAGTCCAAGGTAGCATAACAAACAACATACCTTTACGGAACAAGATCCCACAACTGACTGGTGCCAAAAGGCTGCCTAAGTATGGTCCCCAATCAGAGACAACGAGCTACAGCTGCCTCTGATTGGGAACCACCCCGGCCAACATAGATCTACACATCATAGATACTATAACAAAAAACAAACACAACACGGAATATACACCTCCTGACTCAACAAATAAACGTCCCTTGAGTCAGGGCGTGACACACAAGTCCATGTGTGTACATGTCAGGGGGTCTGTGTTGCAACCTGACATTGGGTTGGCTGTACAGCACACAGTGACGCAGAGAGCACATTCCCATGGCAACACATGGAATGTCACATGTGACACCCAGGTTGTCATAGCAACCAGAGAGAGAGCGACATGACTGGTGGAGCTGTGTGACTTGGTAGCCATGTTTCTGTTATTTCCCTTAGTTATAGCACAGTGTATACTAGTGTATGGACCTACACTCTTAGAAGTAAAGGAGCCTGGAAGAATCTTTTGAGGTTCTAAAAATTGTCAAACAGTGGGAACTTTTCTAGTTCCAAAAGGTTCCTTGAGGAACCCCTCTGAAAAGGGTCTTCAATTTTGAACCTTTTTAATAATATATTGTAGAGGAGGCAGCCTATCAGAAGAGTGGAGGTGTGGCTTATTGGAGGAGTGGCTTCCACCCATTAGAGTAAATGTCATTCCTGTTCATCATGTTAAGTTTATACACTGCAAATTTAAATTTCCCTTGAATATGTATGCATATTACATATTCTAATGTAATATTAATATATTAACATTGATGATTACATATAGTAATAAAGTGGTAACTATTCCAACTTTGGTATGTGCATAGGCTCTTGAGGAACTCATACACCTCTGAAAGCCACATTAAAGCTACAAAAGTGTCAGTGTTCAACCTTAACATGTGATAACAATACAACAGAACAGATAAACAGGAATGACATTTACTCCCACAGGTGGCCTAAAAAGCTCATTACGGTTAGTTGAGGTCCATGACTTTATCACAGTGTAGTGCAGAGCCTCAGTGTTTTCCCACAGAGCACAGTATTACCCCCCATCTACACATTGGCCTTAAATCAAGCAGCTCCAATAAGGTCACTGGATGTGCTATGGGTGTCTGATTATCTTGCCGTTGACAGAGACTTTGGGTTTTTATTCTATCAGGATTATAAAACATGCAGGCATTTGTGCTGGAGTCAGGTCTCCCCCTTTCTGAGTGTGTGCTGTAATGTAATTAGAGAAATGTTCCCTCCCTGCTGGTTCACTCTGATCAGATTAGGCCCTACGTCTGGGATCATCAACTAGATTCAGCAGCGGGACAATTCTTTCTTGAGCGGATGTAGACTGCAAGAAGCCCAAACATATCTAATATTTGACTAAAACATAATAATTTCAAACCTTGCTTACATTTATATATGATCACATATACAGGTACCTGCCAAAATAATGGAAACACTTGAGTAGATGAGGGATGTAAAGCATATTGAAAGCAGGTGCATTATGCTGGGCTATGCCCCCATAGGATGACAATTCCCCCATCCACAGGGCACAGGTCACTGAATGATTTGATGAGCATGAAAACGATGTAAACCATCTCAGTCACCAGATCTCAACCCAGTTGAACACTTATGGGACATTCTGGAGCGGCACCTGAGACAGCGTTTTCTACCACCATCAACAAAACACCAAATGAGGAAATTTCCTGTGGAAGAATGGTGTCCCATCTCTCCAATAGAGTTCCAGACACTTGTAGAATCTATGCCAAAGTGCATTGAAGCTGTTCTGGATCGTGATGGCCTAACACCCTATTAAGAAACTTTATGTTGGTGTTTCCTTTATTTTGACAGTTACCTGTATCTCTCTACTATGGGTGGGAATACTTTGGAACAGATTCTCGAAATTAAAATAACTTAGAGCTGATTTGCAGGTATTTTTACAGTCTTTTATGTCCAACAATAAAATAAAATACATTTGGCCCACGAGCCGCCAGTTGAGGAACCCTGCCCTAGGGGATTGGCCAAGCTCCCACCCCAGCCCAGCCTACCACAGCAGCAGACACCACTGGGTTTGCTGTAGTTTCAAAAGAAACGTCTCTATGAGTAATAAGTGTGTCTGTGTGCGTGTCTGTGTGTGTGTCTCTATGTGGCTGTGTTCTGTGGGTGTTGAATTTGCTAGTGACATGTGTGCTCTCATAGATTTAAGTCTAGCTCATAGAGAATGGCTTCCATGTCCTAGTGTATTAGTGCCAGGTTTGCACTGTCGTTGACATGAGGGGCAATGGCTCACACACAGACTCTCATCCCAAATTGTTAGTTTCTTCTCCACCCAAACAAAATAGTTGAGTGACAGTTTTTAATTAGCTGTGAGCGCAGTATGGAGCAGTGTTGTTGTTCTGGCTGCACTGCACCCCCACCCCACCCCAACCCCCTCTTTTACGCTGCTGCTACTCTGTTTATTAATTATGCATAGTCACTTTAACTCTACCCACATGTACATATTACCCCAATTACCTCGACTAACCAGTGCCCCCGCACATTAACTCTGTACCGGTACCCCCTGCATATAGCCTCCCTACTGTTATTTAATTTTACTACTGCTCTTTAATTATTTGCTATTTGCTATTTTTTACTTATCTATTTTTTTACTGAACTTTTTTTTTCTTTTCTTAAAAACTGCATTGTTGGTTAAGGGCTTGTAAGTAAGCATTTCACTGTAAGGTCTACACCTGTTGTATTCGGCGCATGTGGCAAATCAAATTGTATTTGATTTGATTTATAAGGAAAGGCTATTACACAGGATTATGACCTAATCCCTTCAATGCTGCATTTTACACACTGCGTTTTACATCACTTACTGTGGCCAGCCCTGCCACACCAAGCTAATTCCTGGTGCATCCAATCTGAGACTTGATTACGGTAGACCATTAGTTCCTCTCTCGAATCTGTTTTTATGAGTGCATTGTTGTTGTGAGTGTAATCTTTGAAGCTTTGTTTTGAGAATGGCCCTTTGAAGAGCTGTCAACCACATGATAGGATTATAACCCTTTTCCAGGCTCTCTAATGCAGCCTGCAACATATTATCTCTTATTTCTGTCACTTCCATGGCTCACTTCATTAATTTTATTACACAGGAGGTCTCTCTGGAATCCGAAAGCATTGATTCACGCAGGCCTGATCAATACTCTCAATTAGGACTCATGAATACCATTAGCTCATTAAGGTCAAGAAACATGTCCCCCCCTCCCCAAGCCCTACACAAGTCTCTACCCAAAAATATCTACCCCGATTTCATTTCAACCAGGGCTGCTTTTAAATCAACTGCAACTTAATTATGTTAAGTACCTAGCAGGATCCATAGCAACAGACCAGTTCAGCGACCCATCCATGGTCAGAGACTGATGGTGGATGACAGGCAATTCACTTTAATCTGATCAGAGATGGAAATGGGAGGGAGAACAGGTCTGTATGACACAGTGGTGCTGCTACTCTATCTGTATCTGTAACAGCATACAGCCAGGAGCAGCCATTGACAGCTAGCTAGCTCGCTCCCTGCTGGGCTGTGGAAGGAAGCAGCATCTGCCTGACTGCAGCTCACATCTATTCCCAGGACAGACAGCACCACACCACAGGCAGTGTTACCCACACCCACAACACTGTCACTGGTGTCACCTCAGCAAGCAACACCCATCTATCTCCACATCTGAAGCTCCTGGGGCCTTTAAAATGGAGACTGGTCCTCTATCTGACTGCAATCAACACAAAGCTTTCTCCATTTAACAACCTTAACCAACTCTCAAAGGTTTAGGTGTTCTAGCTTTTAGGCATCGCTATATCCCTGCAGCACGCACAGAAGCATGACACACGTGTCCCTCACGTCAGTGGAAAGCTAGTCACTTTTAGTAACAGCTACAGTTGAAGTCGGAAGTTTACATACACTTAGGTTGGAGTCATTAAAACTCATTTTTCAACCACTCCACACATTTCTTGTTAACAAACTATAGTTTTGGCAAGTCGGTTAGGACATCTACTTTGTGCATGACACAAGTAATTTTTTCCAACAATTGTTTACAGACAGAGTATTTCACTTATAATTCACTGTATCACAATTCCAGTGGGTCAGAAGTTTACATACACTAAGTTGACTGTGCCTTTAAACAGCTTGGAACATTCCAGAAAATGATGTCATGGCTTTAGAAGCTTCTGATAGGCTAATTGACATCATTTGAGTCAGTTGGAGGTGTACCTGTGGATGTATTTCAAGGCCTACCTTCAAACTCAGTGCCTCTTTGCTTGACATCATGGGAAAATCAAAATAAATAAGCCTCAGAAAAAAAATGATAGACCTCCACATGTCTGGTTCATCCTTGGGAGCAATTTCCAAACGCCTGAAGGTACCACGTTCATCTGTACAAACAATAGTACGCAAGTATAAACACCATGGGACCACACAGCTGTCATACCGCTCAGGAAGGAGATGCGTTCTGTCTCCTAGAGATGAACGTACCTTGTTGCGAAAAGTGCAAATCAATCCCAGAACAACAGCAAAGGACCTTGTGAAGATGCTGGAGGAAACAGGTACAAAAGTATCTATATCCACAGTAAAAATAGTCCTATATCGACATAACCTGAAAGGCCGCTCAGCAACGAAGAAGCCACTTCTCCAAAACCGCCATAAAAATGCCAGACTACGGTTTGCAACTGCACATGGGGACAAAGATCGTACTTTTTGGAGAAATGTCCTCTGGTCTGATGAAACAAAAATAGAACTGTTTGGCCATAATGACCATCGTTATGTTTGGAGGATAAAGGGGGAACACCATCCCAACCGTGAAGCACGGGGGTGGCAGCACCAGTAAAATAATTTCAAACAGTCTGTTGATGTAGAGGATAATACATTAATGAAATATTGAGTGTTTTTGTCCTGAATTGAATGTCCATTGGGAAAAAGTGTTTTTAATCAAAATAGAACCATCCCGCTCTCCCAGAAGCTTGGCTGGTGCGTAAAACCCGCAAATTCAGATAAACAAGAAGGTGTAGTGGGTTCGCACTCAAAAAGATGTGGCATAAAGTTTACTTCATTATTCGATTTTTTAAAATTATTTTCACTGCATCAGGGATAGCGTACACGCCGAAACGCTTTATGCGTTTTCTTTTTGAGTGCGAACCCACTACATTATGTTTATCTGAAAAATAGTTTTTACCAGATCTTTTTCAGATAGTCATGTGATTTTTTTGCTGCACCTCGACTCAAGTTGGTATAAGCGCTGTGTACTCCCCTCCTGACCTAAGTTTCTATTCGTTTCCATTGGGATTTAGGCCTAAAAGGAATTGACCACTCTGCTAGTCAGGCTGTCAGGGCAATACCTCCCTCATTAGTTAGGATTGAGTGATTTGACCGAGGGCTGTAGTAAATCCATCTTCTTAGGGGAGTCTAATCAACAGTATTACCTACTGTTGCTCAGCTCCATCAATCCAAACAGGCCATGGATAGAGTCGAATCAATAGCCCTGTTTATACCTGGTGCTAATTATGTGTCCTTTGTCTGGATCTTGTCCACATTCTGATTGTGCCCATATTTTTAGACAGGTGTAGACGATTAAAAGACGCATTGTGATCTGATATATTTTTTTGGGGGTCATTTAGCAGACGCTCTTATCCAGAGCGACTTACAGGAGCAATTAGGGTTAAGTGCCTTGCTCAAGGGCACATCGACAGATTTTTCACCTATTCGGCTCGGGGATTAGAACCAACGACCTTTCGGTTACTGGCACTACGCTCTTAACCACTAAGCTACCTGCCGACAAGATCAGGACAATATCAGGATGAGGACGCATGATAGAACCAGGTATAAACAGGGCTAATGACAGCTTCTCCTCACACTTCCATCACTCTCTACAAAGTGGATGTGGCCCTGAATTAACCTTTACCTCCTCCAGTCTCCCTGTCATCCTGTAATTATTTCTCTCTTTCTCTGTTCTTAACCACGTATGCTATTAAAACTGATTGTGTGTTGCCTAAGATATCAAATCTGTTTCAACAGCCTGTAGTTACTTATCAATATTGACAGGAGGGTTGCATAAGGAGTATGCTGCCCCAGCCCAATCATTCTAAATTCAGTGTTTAAGAGGTGAACGTTCCACTTTAATTTCGATGATTTAGCATATAGTGATGTGTGAGCGAGAGAGATGAAGACATGAGATGTTAACATGGGGGAAAAGATTGAAGCAGAGTGTATGTATGTGTACTATATGAGAACCTAGTTGTACCCTCTCCAGCAATGAACACAGAAGACTGAGACATCCAGTGTTGAGTCCCAGTGGTCCACAGAAAGACAGACAGACCGACAGACGTTTCCACAGACGGACAGTTATCTCCACTCACCCGGTTAAGTTGCTCCAGCAGGCGGTGGTTTTGTTCTGACAGCTCCCTGATGGCCGTGGACTTGTCGCGGTCTGCCTCTCTCAGCTGGACCTGATGGCGCTCCAGCTCTCCTTGCAGCTGCTGGACGTCTGTCTCCAGCTCCGCCACACGGTCCCCCCACTCCCCCTCCTTGTTCTCCAGCCGCCGCCGCAGCTCGTGCTTCTCCTGCTCCAGGTGCTGTGGGTGAGGGGAGACAAGGGACAGGGTTAGAGATTATACTGGACTGGAGGGACCAGGTTAGGCCTGAGACTAGTAGTAGTACTAGTCCTTGGATTTTTGAAAGGATAGCACAAAGCTTCTGCTTTTTTCTATCCATAGCTTTATAAGGCTGAGGCAGGGGATGAGGGGATGAGGGTGGGCTTTTAATGAGAGCACAAGGGGGTCAGGGTATGGGGGGTTGGGATGGGTGGCATGGTTGGTTACAGGGCATGCTGGTTAATCAGTCCTGAACAAAGAGGCCTCATCGGGAGTAAAACACAGTTGGCAAAACGAAGTTGGTAAAAGGAAAAGGAACAATGTTAACTGCCCCTAAAAAGCTTTGAAATAGCTTGATGAATACCGTGCACTGGGTCATAGCATAGTACTATGTTGTTAGAGATCAGTTTTGTGAGCAGATGTAGCCTACAGTAGATACAGTAGACCATCCCCATGGAACATTTACAGGGGATTAGCCTTTGTTCCACTCCAGGCCAAGTGCAGTGGTGTGGGTGGTTTCGGATGAGAAGGACAAAAGCTCTGCTGTCAGCATGACAAATGCAACGGACATCTATGGGGTTTGAGGGCTTTAGTGACACTGCAAGATGTTGTGAACTCATCCTCTCCAACTGTTTCAGTGCTGTCTGTGTGAGACAGTAAAATCATACAAATAAAGCAGTCTGCTTTAAGAGTACTGTTTTGCGCCCAGAATCTGATTTTATGAGAGAGGCATTAGACTGTTATGACACTGTAAGGAGAACTACTGTAGATGTAAGTTGTAGACAGTCTGAAAACACTGTCAAGCCAGTTGTTTAAAGAGTGAAGTCTGCTCAACAGCATTACCAATAATGAGGGACAGTCTTAATCAGTTCAATGTGTTTACATACACTGCTTAACCACATTAGTTCAATAATGATGGCCAAAACAACTATGAACTGAAAATCGAATCTGGCATGATGGTAGCCTACAGTATTTGTCAGTGTGTGTTTGTACTACTAGCTTCTTACCTCGAGTTTATCGTTAAGATCTGTGTTCATTTTCTCATATTGCTTAGTCAGGTCTTGGTTTCGCTCTAGCAGTGCCTTGCCGAGTTTAGCAGCTAAAACCAAGTCCTTCTCCTTTTGACGGAAGAGCGACAAAAAGTCTGTATTATGTCCAATAACAGGCGTCTCCAATTCGGATAACTCTTCCTCCTCCTCCTCGTCCTGCTCCCCGGTAAGCATGGCTAATTCCTCTTCCAACGCCATCCCGAGGCCTCCAGAGTAGGTGTGTAGCAGCGAGTGGCCCTGAAATCCTCCCGTTTCTTGTGGGGTTTTGTTGTCCTGATCCAGTGGGTGCGCCATGCAGTCGCTGTCCAGTTCGGGTGGTGCTGAAATCGCGGCGGTAGATGTGTGCAGGTCGAGGCAGAAAGCTGACATCGCCGCCCGGCGGACAAAAAGACAAGAGATTAGCCAATTGATTTATTCCGTCTGAACCCGCTCTGTCACTGTGTCAGGATGACAGTAACCTCTCCGTGTAGATAACATCTCCATAGATACGGTTCCTTGGTATTCAAAATCACGGCAATAGCTAACTTGTCTGACTAAAATGTCCCTCACACTCCGAAGACCTTATACACCAAGCTCTTCCTTTATTCCTGCAAACAGTGCCGCCTCCTCTGCAGCTGAGTTGACGACAAGCCTCTTGCTGTCTGTTGCTGGCTATCTTGTATGTAAAGATTATCGGTCCAGCGTGCTTTGTCCCCACGTTAACCGCCCTGACGAACTCTCAACAGAGGTCGGTCTGTCCACCCCGTTGCGGCGGGGTCCCAGTTCCCCATAATGGTTGGCCCCTTTACACCGGAGGCATTTTGCAGAAGCTATTAGGCCTGGGCCTGATATCCAAAATACCCACTCGAGAAGAGCGCGAACCCGATTGCGCCACCTCCTTCCCTCCATGGAATGCGCGCCCCAAATTGCTGACGTCAACAGCAAGCTGTTACAAATATCCACCCATTGGCTGAGGATGATAACGCCATATTTTGTTATTTTATATACAGCATAGGAATGGGGCACGTTTGATAGGCCGCCAGGCATGGATTAAGCAGTTGCCTTCAATCATCCATATTAATGTAATGCTCTTTCTCTTTATACGAGATAAATGTATAAAAACAACCGTTGCTTCAAGATGTTTCAGTACAGTAGCTTCACATCATCATTATCATCATCATCTATACCATCATCACCATCATCATCACCACCACAGTGATGATATTAGTGTGTTAGTCTGTTCTTTGACTATGATTTGAGTATGAATATGACAATATTTTTGATATAGGGTCGACAACATGAATATGAGTTGATAGATGTTATAAGAACACACAGGGGTCCAGGAACAGGGTGATGGTTCAGTGTTCTACTTGGAGCTGTAAACATAAAACTGCATGATAATATATTCCTCTCCAGGATTGCTTTGTACACTGAGTGTACAAAAGAGTGTACAAAACATTAGGAACACCTGCTCTTTCCATGACATAGACTGACAAGGTGAATCCAGGTGAAAGCTATGATCCCTTATTGATGTCACTTGTTAAATCCACTTCAATCAGTGTAGATGAAGGGGAGAAGACGGGTGAAGAAGTATTTTTAAGCCGTGAGACAATTGAGACATGGATTGTGTATGTGTGCCATTCAGAGGGTGCCTTTGAACGGGATATGGTAGTAGGTGCCAGGCACACTGGTTTGAGTGTGTCAAGAACTGTAACGCTTTTTCATGCTCAACAGTTTCCCGTGTGTGTTAAGAATGGTTCACCACCCAAATGACATCCAGCCAACTTGACAAAAGAGTGGGAAGCATTGGAGTCAATATGGGCCAGCATCCCTGTGGAACGCTTTCGACACCTTGTAGAGTACATGCCCCGACGAATTCTGAGGGCAAAAGGGGCTGCAACTCAATATTAGGAAGGTGTTCCTAATGTTTTTTACACTCAGTGTATATGGCGCAGGTTGACGTTTATTGTTATTAATCTTGTCCTGAAGACAGAGCGGTTTCCGCTAGATGGGCCAGCCGCAAAGTCATAATTGGCCATATTGTAAAGATTGTATGAAAACAACTTTTTGGTCTTAACTTAAGGTTAGGGTTAGGCACAAGGTTAGTACTGTGGTTAGGGTTATGTTTAAATTCAGATTGTATTACTTTGTGGCTAGGCCAGCTAATGACCACTCTGCAGAGCTGCCTCCAGGACAAGATTCATCCCAATAAATGAAAACCTGCGTACATGGCAGAGCAATGGCGCTCTCTGTGGAGAAGATATGGTATCTCCATCACAGACTCAGCTCACTGGTTAGTACAGTAAGTAGCTTGCCTTCTTTCCCTACCTACTGTATTTATTACTTTTTACATTGTATAATAATAGTGAAGATATCAAAACTATGAAATAACACATATGGAATGATGTAGTAACCAAAAACGTGTTAAACAAATAAAAATATATTTTACATTTGAGATTTTTCAAATAGCCACCCTTTGCCTTGATGACAGCTTTGCACACTCTTGGCATTCTCTCAACCAGCTTCACCTGGAATGCTTTTCCAACAGTCTTGAAGGAGTTCCCACATATGCTTAGCACTTGTTGGCTGCTTTTCCTTCACTCTGCCGTCCGACTCATCCCAAACCATCTCAATTGGGATTGTGAAGGCCAGGTCATCTGATGCAGTGTGCCTTGAATTCTAAATAAATCACAGACAGTGTCACCAGAAAAGCACCCGTTCACCCACACCGCGTATCACAAAGACACAGCGGTTGGAACCAAAAATCTCAAATTTGGACTCCAGACCAGAGCACAAAGTTCCACCGGTCTAATGTCCATTGCTCGTGTTTCTTGGCCCAAGCAGGTCTCTTCTTCTTATTGGTGTCCTTTAGTAGTGGTTTCTTTGCAGCAATTCGACCGTGAAGGCCTGATTCACACAGTCCCCTCTGAACAGTTGAAGTTGAGATGTGTCTGTGACTTGAACTGTGAAGCATTTATTTGGGCTGCAATTTCTGAGGCTGGTAACTCTAATGAACTTATCATCTGCAGCAGAGGTAACTCTGGGTCTTCCATTTCTGTGGTGGTCCTCATGAGAGCCAGTTTCATCATAGCGCTTGATGGTTTTTGTGACTGCACTTGAAGAAACTTTCAAAGTTCTTGAAATGTTCCGTATTGACTGACCTTCATGTCTTAAAGTAATGATGGACTGTCATTTCTCTTTGCTTATTTAAGCTGTTCTTGCCATAATATGGACTTGATCTTTTACCAAATAGGGTTATCTTCTGTATACCCCCCTACCTTGTCACAACACAACTGATTGGCTCAAACGCATTAAGAAGGAAAGAAATTCCACAAATTAACTTTTAAGAAGGCACACCTGTTAATTGAAATGCATTCCAGGTGACTACCTCATGAAGCTGGTTGAGAGAATGCCAAGAGTGTGCAAAGCTGTCATCAAGGCAAAGGGTGGCTATTTGAAAAATCTCAAATTTAAAATATATTTTTATTTCTTTAACACTTTTTTGGTTACTACATCATTCCATATGTGTTATTTCATAGTTTTGATATCTTCACCATTATTATACAATGTAAAAAGTAGTAAAAATAAAGAAAAACCTTGGGTGTGTCCAAACTTTTGACTGGTAGTGTACTTTTGAAACTTAAGTATATTTAAAACCAAATACTTTTAGACTTTTACTCAAGTCGTATTTTACTGGGTGACTTTCACTTTTACTTTTACTCAAGAATGACATTTGGGTACTTTTTCGGCCACTGGTTAACAGTAAATATTTTCTACTAGGTGAGAAGAGAACACTTATGTAACATCTGCCTTAGTCATACAGCAGGCCTGCTCTGGTCTGACACTGTGTCTGCCTGTCAGTGTGCTGCCTGTTCTCTACATTTCAGCCAATGCAAGGGGGATCTTCCAGACTCCAGTTATGTAAGAGTCACTTTTGATGAAGAGGCACTCACCTCCAGACTGCAGCAGTGTTCCTCTTTAAGAACTCTACCCTTACATAAACCATCATGTGTTATAGCCTGTAATGTCATTTCATTTTTGTACCAATGGAGGGCAATATTTAATCACTGGTATTTTCTCTAGGAGGGCCTCAGCGTGTTCTGCCCCCATTGGTTACCACTCTCCCCGATTAATCATCTTACAGTCTTACAGCCTTCTTGCAGTCTTACAGCCTTATTGAGCTTTGCTTAGAGCTTTCATTCAACTTCTGTCCTCCTAATGTCCCTGAAATTCAGCATTCATTGTGCATGAGAAGTCACAATGTCTTGAAAAAAGTATGTGACACATTGTTATAAAGATGAGTGGAATATAGATTTAATTGATTGTGCTTTGTGGAGTGTCATTTCCCCTGGATTAAGAATCCCCATCTGTACTCTAGCAACAGAGAAATCCAGTCTGAAGGATCATTTATACAAGCTCAGTGAATTGTGATGAAACTCTCATTATTCTCCTCCTTCGATATTAAGCTGTGAATGGCCTTAGGTACGTACAATACCTTGTTGCTAGGTAACATCAGCAAAAAGCCTCTGCAAAAGCCTCTACCCATCCTCATATTCTCTCTACGAAACCATAACCAATTTCACATTGATGTGTTTTGGAGAGGAGTGTAATCCAAGATCTGCTGACAAATGTTTAGAATTGTCCTAACCTAATCAGCTAACTTTACCATACTGTACATTTAAACCATTGCATGCATTTATCTCTATGAACTACTATAGAAATGGCACAAAATGTCATACTTTTACAGAAAATTATGTGATGTGTTTGACTGCGTAATGAATTGTAACAGTTTTTTGTGTTTCCTTAGTTTGAATGGCCTTTTAGAGAGACGTCATCAGGAGGCAGATTGGCAGGTTTTAGCTGCAGTTAGATCAGATGGAAGTGGAGATACAGCAGTAAGGCTGTTGATCATGTCCCTCTGGCAACACACTGCATTACGCAATGCTTTTGAGCCAAAAGTGGGTTCTATATCTAAATCCTAACAATTAGTTGCACTTAAAAGGATCTCAAGAGATGTTTAGAGAACACTGATTGGTTCTGCAGGTCTATATATACAATACATGCACAAACATCAAATGGCATAGCATGGTATTCCTTAGGGGACAGCACTGTTCAGTATTTTGGTTCTCAGCCTAGTCCAAAGACAAATGTACTGTTTTCGTAGACTTAGAGCATGACCTCATGCTGTAATAGCAGAAGTCCGCTCCGAGAAATCAGTAATTGAGGGTTCTTACTGGATTTGCTTTCTTGCAGACCCAGATTTCTGTTCAGATTGAGACGGCTGCTTGACTGAACCATTGGGAGTCTGATGCAATTATATTCTCGGCTCATAAGACAAAGCATGCCTCCAATGTTTTGCTTTCATCTTAGCTGAGTAAACACTCAACAGAAACAAAGTCAAAGTCATTGTTTGTGATTTGTTTGCTGGTCCATTTTCCCCACTCATGCATGATGCAAGTTTATAGCCTACTTATTTCCTACTTCGCTCCACATCCAATTTGATTTGAAAGTTCATTTCAAACAATTCTTCACTTTAAGAACTAAAATCAATGAATGATTGCATAGACTCATAACAACAATAGTAGCCTGCAATATGAATACTGAGTTGTGTTCTGGTGGTTTGACAGGGTCATAACATCCATTGATTGGTTACCTGGACTTGCCAAGCTGTTTCATATCTCTACTGCTGTGATGGAGTGTTGCTTACCAGGACAGGTCCTGCCATCTGTTCCCAAGCTGGGATCTCAGAGGCCCCAGTGCGATGTCTGTTGTGTGTGTGAGTGTATGTGCTTGTGTGTGTGTGCTTCTGCTCACATGTGCGTGTATGTGTCTGTTTGGCTCATCTCAGCATTGATACAGTGTTAGAAAGGCCAACCAGCCTGACTGTGACATAGGGATCATCTATATGTGATGAATTTGCTTCCTCACTGACTTCTGTAGAATTACTAACACAGCTCGAATGCATGTCTAAACAGCTTGGCATTGAAGTGCATTCATGTATTTATCATTTGGAGTTGATTTGGAGCAGGTGTGGACAGGTGTGTGGAGAACTTGTAGCTTTAGATTTAGCTATTGCAAAGAAACAGTCATCAGTTACAGGACCACTTTGCCTTCCACTAAATTGGACATTTGATAGCAGTGCAGTGTGATAGGAGAGACTGTGTTAGGTAACAGATCACTGTGTTTGAAGTCTGAAAAGAGCTGGGGTCTCTGTAGAGTGGTTGTTACTGAAATGCATGTGTTATGCAGAAGAGAACACACAGTTTAGGCAGTGACTCAGGCTGCATCTATTACTGTGATTAGCGTAATCTATTGCAGTGTGGGGAGAAGGAGAGGGAGAGAGAGAGAGAGAGAGAGAGAGAGAGAGAGAGAGAGAGAGAGAGAGAGAGAGAGAGAGAGAGAGAGAGAGAGAGAGAGAGAGAGAGAGATGGTGAGCAAGAGAGAGAGAGAGAGATGGTGAGCAAGAGAGAGAGAAAAAAATAGAGAGTGGGGAAGCGAGATTTTCCCTGCGTGATTGGGTTTTCGCTGGTCTACTGCATTACTCTTCAATGCAGTTTCCCTCTCTCCTCCATTCCCTCCCTCTCTCCACTTTATCTCTCTGTGTGCTAATCTTCCCTCGCTCTCACTGCTCACATCTCTCTCTCCTGCCAAAGCTCTTCCCTCCTTTTCATTTGGCTCTACTCTCTACAGTGAAGATGACATCCCCAGTTTTGATGAACCAGCGAGTCCCCCGTACTGGCCGGTGGCTGCCCAGCAAGACCCCACATGATTGGGCTTTCTGGGTGAGGAGGTGCCCCCTCTAAGGTGGTTCTTCAGCAAGGCACTGACAGCACTGGCCAGGTCTGAGTAAGTACTGCTCTGAAGGAATCTTTCACTAATAACAGGGTGGGATTGATAGCACTGACAGTGACAACAAAGACTGTGTGTAACAACAAGACTGTGTGTAACAACAAGACTGTGTGTGCAGAACCTCTAAACTGCAAGTGCTCTGCTTTTGTTTGCCCATCTCAGCATGTTGTTCACGTTGATTGATTTGTGGTTATGCTATTGTCAGTGGAGTTTCAGTCAGATGTGATAGCGGTATAGCACAGGTGCCTGCTCCATCAGTGGGAGAGCAGAGTCTTCTATTGTCACGACTCTGAGATGCTGTGTTAACATTACATGGTTTTCTTTGTTTACCCATCTTCTTCAGGCAACGGTGTGCAGTAGCATCTCCCCTCTCATAGCATCTCCTCTGTCCACTCTCAGTAGATCTCCATCAACATCTTAGGGGAATCACAGCTCTCACATCCATGTACTGTTTCCTTCAAAGGATTTTGAAAATATCAGTGTTTAAGCTCACTTTTTTCCTGATGGCTTTCTTTTGCCTAGAATTTGATGTAGGAAGTTCATGTTGGAAAACAGAATCTAGGCACTGTGTATTTATTGTCCTTGTTATATCGAAGCGTGGTAGAACAAAGAATCATCTCTCTTGAGAGTTTGATTGTGAATCACATGAATTGTTCGCTACAAATTGTGTGCCACAAAACGTTGATTTGTGTCCTGAGATAGTTGCCATTGTTAAGGCACTTGGTGAGTTATTGTTAGGGAAATGTGTGCATAGGTAGGCCTGTGTGGCAAAAAATAGATTCTGTAACAAAAAAAGAAGTGCTGAAATGTTGGAAATGATCAATCAAGTCTATGTTGAGAGAAAATGTATTTCTAGGGAAACAATTGTTTCACCCCTGTCTCTATCTCTCCCCTCCCTCAGGTACCTCTCAGAGCAGGTGAAAAGAGGAGGTAGCTCCTGTTTCTTTATCTGGCCAACATTCAATTTGATTACAATGCATACATATTAATGATAGTGGTTCAGAATAAATGTTGATATTCAAGTCTGTAGTCTTGTTACAATACCCCTCACCATGCCTTGCTTTAAAGTAATCATCATAAAAAAATATATGATGATTACTATGAAATATCTGCCTTTCCACTCTGTCTTACACTGAGGTGGCTTATGAAGGTATAGTACTGTATATCTTACTCAGATACACTGGACGTGTAAAGATTTTCAATGGACTAAGTTCCTATCAAAGACAGAAACGTGGTTTGTATAGGGAGGGGTCTAACTAGGGACAGATATGGTTGGGTTTATTCGTGTTCCCAATGGGGCATAGAGGGCTAAATGGAGTGGACTGAGCAAGGGGCTTATCTACACTCTTGGAAAAAAAGGGTTCTACAAAAAGGGTTCTACAAAAAAAGGATTCTACAAACATTTCTACATGGAACCCAAAAAGGGTTCTCCTATGGGGAAAGCCGAATAACTCTTTTGTAACCCTTTTTTCTAAGAGTGTACATATTAAGGATAAAGTACACTACATGGCCAACAGTATGTGGACACCTCCTCATCGAACATCTCATTCCAAAATCATGGGCATTAATATAGAGTTGGTCCCCCCTTTGCTGCTAAAACAGCAACCACTCTTCTGGGAAGGCTTTCCACTATATGTTGGAACATTGCTGCGAGGACTTGCTTCCATTCAGCCACAAGAGCATTAGTGAGGTTGGGCACTGATGTTGGCCGATTAGGCCTGGCTCGCAGTCGGCGTTCCAATTCATCCCAACAGTGTTCGATGGGGTTGAGGTCAGGGCTCTGTGCAGGCCAGTCAAGTTCTTCAACACCGATCTCGACAAACCTTTTCTGTATGGACCTCGCTTTGTGCACGGGGGCATTGTCATGCTGAAACAGGAAAGGGCCTGGGTTTGCCACAAATTTGGAAGCACAGAATCGTCTAGAATGTCATTGTACACTGTAGAGTTAAAATGTCCCTTCACTGGAACTAAGGGGCCTAGCCCGAACCATGAAAAACAGCTCCAGACCATTATTCCTCCTCCACCAAACTTTACAGATGGCACTATGCATTCGGGCAGGTAGCGTTCTTCTGGCATCCGCCAAACCCAGATTCGTCCGTCGGACTGCCAGATGGTGAAGCGTGATTCATTACTGCAGAGAACGCATTTCCACTGCTCCAGAGTTTGGAACTCGGTAGTGAGTGTTGCAACCAAGAACAGACGCTGTGAGCTTGTGAGCTTGTGAGCTTGTGTGGCCTACCGCTTCACGGCTGAGCCATTGTTGCTCCTAGACGTTTCCACTTTACAATAACAGCACTTACAGTTGACCAGGGCAGCTCTAGCAGGGCAGAAATGTGGTGAGCTGACTTGTTGGAAAGGTGGCATCCTATGATGGTGCCACGTTGAAAGTCACTGAGCTCTTCAGTACGGGCCATTCTACTGCCAATGTTTGTCTATGGAAATTGCATGGCTGTGTGCTCAATTTTACACACCTGTCAGCAACGGGTGTGGCTGAAATAGCCGAATCCACATACTTTTGGCCATGGAATAAATGTACTAGATTTACGGAGTATCCATATAATGACATAAGTGTAAGGCAAGAGGAATTGGCAAGAGAGGAATTTGTTTATTTGCACTTGTGTTTACCTGTAGACAGGAGACGGCACCGAACAGTGTGAAATGTGACTTGGAGAAAGAGAAAGGGCTGAAGGCAGTGAGCAGATACAGTCAGGTAGTGTATCTGCTCTCTAGCGCAAATCCATGCATGTTAATGTGAGTCGTGATGAGAGGAGAGCTCTGCTGCTCTAGCTCTCCCATATCCTCAAGTGTCATTTCCAAAAGACCCCTTATCTGTTCTGTGATCCTCTTTGTGTGATGTCTCTACATCTAATAGTTCCTTTGTAAAGAGTCTGAGGTACGAATGATTGTACCCATATGGTATCAGGTTCACTGAGTTGCTGTTGTCGTGACCAGGGATTTAGCTATAGAAAACAATCCTTGTCCATTTTAGAGTTTAGGGATTGGATCTGATAGGTCTAGATAGGGGAACTAGAACTGGGAGCTTGACAGAATCTGTAAAATACTGTAAAAACACCTGCAAATCAGCTCTAAGTTATTTTAATTTTGAGAATCTGTTCCAAAGTATTCCCACCCATAGTACAGAGATACAGGTAACTGACAAAATAAAGGAACACCAACATAAAGTGTCTTAATAGGGTGTTGTGCCACCACGAGCCACCAGAACAGCTTCAGTGCGCCTTGGCATAGATTCTACAAGTGACTGGAAGTCTATTGGAGGGATGCGACACAATTTTTCCATGAGAAATTCCATCATTTGGTGTTTTGTTGATGGTGGTGGAAAACACTGTCTCAGGCATCGCTCCAGAATCTCCCACAAGTGTTCAATTGGGTTGAGATCTGGTGACTGAGACACACATACACACACACACACACACACACACACACACACACACACACACACACACACACACACACGCACACACACACATACCCTTTAAACCCCCTATGCTCCTTTGAGACCTCTCTTTCAAAGTCACTGAGATCTTTTCTTCTAGCCATGGCAGCCAAAAGAATAAGCAACTGGACATATTTATACATAACCCTAAGCATGATGGGATGTTAATTGCTTAATTAACTCAGGAACCACACCTGTGTGGAAGCACCTGTTTCTAATATACTTTGTATCCCTCATTTATTTAGGCAGTTACCTGTACATTTGCAACAGGTTAGTGATTCACTGCCACCTACAGCCCATATATTATAGTAGTCCCAGTAGCCCCTGGTCACCCTGCAGTCTGAATGTAGAGCAACACCATGACTGGGATGCAACTTATCTCTCCTCCTCTGCAACAGGACTGACTCATACCCCACATTATTCAACCCACAGAAAACATCACAGAGAGTTGATCTAGCTGCAGATCTCAAATTCTCCTCAATGTGTTTTCCCTTTGCTGTTAATAAGCTCTTATCACTCTAACTAAATGAATAGAGAGCATCTGGTTATCTGACTGGCTATGCACCAACTTTATTGTAATAGAGTCAAGCTGAGGTTGAAGCCCTGCCAGCTCAACAACTGGCCAACAAATGTGTTTGAAACCATGGGGGAACAAGTGGATTTCTCTTCCACTTTCTGACCAGAGAGTATGTGAGAAAAGCTGCTTCAGTGCTACCAATCATCCAAAACATGTCAAACTCTTGTAAAGTAGTTTGCATGCATTTGATCAAATAGACTTTAAAGGGTAGACATGCAGAGATTCCTCTTGTCAAAAGTCTTGCTGTTACGAAAGTATTTCTTCATACAGTGTAACAGGTTACAGGGTCTTCCTGGAGGAGCCCTTGAAGGGTTTTATCATTGCTGAGAAGACCCTGATGAGGAGCGTTTTTTGATAGGATGAGAGATGGAAAGAGAAACATCTCCAACTGGAGATTCAGCATCATGAGCTCCAATGTGGGGGCCTAGAAACACAAGATAAAGGGGTGGGGTTAGGGGTGAGAGAGAAAGAAATATAATAACTTTGAAAAATAACAGTGCTATACATTTACATTTACATTTTAGTCATTTAGCAGACGCTCTTATCCAGAGCGACTTACAGGAGCAATTAGGGTTAAGTGCCTTGCTCAAGGGCACATTAACGTCATTTAGCAGACGCTCTTAGCCAGAGCAACTCACAAATTGGTGCGTTCACCCTATAGCCAGTGGGATAACCACTTTACAATTTTGGGGGGGGGGGGGGGGGAGGGGGGGGGGGGGTAGAAGGATTACTTTATCCTATCCCAGGTATTCCTTAAAGAGGTGGGGTTTCAAATGTCTCCGGAAGGTGGTGAGTGACTCCGCTGTCCTGGCGTCGTGAGGGAGCTTGTTCCACCATTGGGGTGCCAGAGCAGCGAACAGTTTTGACTGGGCTGAGCGGGAACTATGCTTCCGCAGAGGAAGGGGAGCCAGCAGGCCAGAGGTGGATGAACGCAATGCCCTCGTTTGGGTGTAGGGACTGATCAGAGCCTGAAGGTACAGAGGTGCCGTTCCCCTCGCTGCTCCATAGGCAAGCACCATGGTCTTGTAGCGGATGCGAGCTTCAACTGGAAGCCAGTGGAGTGTGCGGAGGAGGGGGGTGACGTGAGAGAACTTGGGAAGGTTGAACACCAGACGGGCTGCGGCATTCTGGATGAGTTGTAGGGGTTTAATGGCACAGGCAGGGAGGCCAGCCAACAGCGAGTTGCAGTAGTCCAGACGGGAGATGACAAGTGCCTGGATTAGGACCTGTGCCGCTTCCTGTGTAAGGCAGGGTCGTACTCTCCGAATGTTGTAGAGCATGAACCTGCAGGAGCGGGTCACCGCCTTGATGTTGGCGGAGAACGACAGGGTGTTGTCCAGGGTCACGCCTAGGCTCTTCGCACTCTGGGAGGAGGACACAGCGGAGTTGTCAACCGTGATGGCGAGATCATGGAACGGGCAGTCCTTCCCCGGGAGGAAGAGCAGCTCCGTCTTGCCAGGGTTCAGCTTGAGGTGGTGATCCGTCATCCATACTGATATGTCTGCCAGACATGCAGAGATGCGATTCGCCACCTGGTTATCAGAAGGGGGAAAGGAGAAGATTAGTTGTGTATCGTCAGCGTAGCAATGATAGGAGAGACCATGTGAGGATATGACAGAGCCAAGTGACTTGGTGTATAGGGAGAAAAGGAGAGGGCCTAGAACTGAGCCCTGGGGGACACCAGTGGTGAGAGCACGTGGTGCGGAGACAGCTTCTCGCCACGCCACTTGGTAGGAGCGACCGGTCAGGTAGGACGCAATCCAGGAGTGAGCCGCGCCGGAGATGCCCAGCTCGGAGAGGGTGGAGAGGAGGATCTGATGGTTCACAGTATCAAAGGCAGCAGACAGGTCTAGAAGGACAAGAGCAGAGGAGAGAGAGTTAGCTTTAGCAGTGCGGAGAGTCTCCGTGACACAGAGAAGAGCAGTCTCAGTTGAATGACCAGTCCTGAAACCTGATTGGTTTGGATCAAGAAGGTCATTCTGAGAGAGATAGCAAGAGAGTTGGCTAAAGACGGCACGCTCAATAGTTTTGGAAAGAAAAGAAAGAAGGGATACTGGTCTGTAGTTGTTGACATCAGTGGGGTCGAGTGTTGGTTTTTTGAGAAGGGGAGCAACTCTCGCTCTCTTGAAGACGAAAGGGACATGGCCAGCGGTCAAGGATGAGTTGATCAGCGAGGTGAGGTAGGGGAGGAGGTCACCGGAGATGGTCTGGAGAAGGGAGGAGGGGATGGGGTCAAGCGGGCAGGTTGTTGGGCGGCCTGCAGTCACAAGTCGCAGGATTTTATCTGGAGAGAGAGGGGAGAAAGAAGTCAAAGCATAGGGTAGGGCAGTGTGAGCAGGACCAGCAGTGTCATTAGACTTAACAAACAAGGATCGGATGTCGTCAACCTTCTTTTCAAAGTGGTTGACGAAGTCATCCACAGAGAGAGAGGAGGGGGGGGGGGGGGGGGGGAGGATTCAGGAGGGAGGAAAATGTGGCAAAGAGCTTCCTAGGGTTAGAGGCAGATGCTTGGAATTTAGAGTGGTAGAAGGTGGCCTTAGCAGCAGAAACAGATGAAGAAAATGTAGAGAGGAGGGAGTGAAAAGATGCCAGGTCGGCAGGGAGTTTAGTTTTCTTCCATTTCCGCTCCGCTGCCCGGAGCTCTGTTCTGTGAGCTCGCAATGAGTCATCAAGCCACGGAGCTGGAGGGGAGGACCGAGCCGGCCGGGAGGATAGGGGACACAGAGAGTCAAAGGATGCAGAAAGGGAGGAGAGGAGGGTTGAGGAGGCAGAATCAGGAGATTGGAGGGAGAAGGATTGAGCAGAGGGAAGAGATGATAGGATGGAAGAGGAGAGAGTAGTGGGAGAGAGAGAGCGAAGGTTGCGGCGGCGCATTACCATCTGTGTAGGGGCAGAGTGAGTAGTGTGGGAGGAGAGCGAGAGAGAAAAGGAAACAAAGTAGTGGTCGGAGACATGGAGGGGAGTTGCAGTGAGATTTGTAGAGGAGCAGCATCTAGTGAAGATGAGGTCAAGCGTATTGCCTGCCTTGTGAGTAGGGGGGGACGGTGAGAGGGTGAGGTCAAAAGAGGAGAGGAGTGGAAAGAAGGAGGCAGAGAGAAATGAGTCAAATGTGGACATAGGGAGGTTGAAATCCCCCAAAACTGTGAGGGGTGAGCCATCCTCAGGAAAGGAACTTATCATGGCGTCAAGCTCATTGATGAACTCTCCAAGGGAACCTGGAGGGCGATAGATGACAAGGATATTAAGCTTAAATGGGCTAGTGACTGTGACAGCATGGAATTCAAATGAGGAGATAGACAGATGGGTTAGGGGAAAAATTGAGAATGTCCACTTGGGAGAGATGAGGATTCCTGTACCACCACCCCTCTGACCAGATGCTCTCGGGGTATGCGAGAACACATGGTCAGACGAGGAGAGAGCAGTAGGAGTAGCAGTGTTTTCAGTGGTGATCCATGTTTCCGTCAGCGCCAGGAAGTCGAGGGACTGGAGGTTGGCATAGGCTGGGATGAAGTCAGCTTTGTTGGCAGCAGAACGGCAGTTCCAGAGGCTGCCTGCGACCTGGAACTCCAGGTGTGGGGTGCGTGCAGGGACCACCAGGTTAGAGAGGCAGCAGCCCGCGCGGTGTGGTGCGTTTGTGTAGCCTGTGCAGAGAGGAGAGAACAGGGATAGGCAGAGGCATAGTTGACAGGCTGTAGCAAATGGCTACAAAAATGCAGAGGAGATCGGAATGAAATGAGCTAAGCATCTGGGAGAGGAGAGAGCAGGGCCTCCCTCACCAAAAACTTCTACCTCAGAAACTAAAATTGTTTCACTGAACCACCCGAACAAAAACTCTCCCAACTTCCACCTTTAGAAATCAGAATTGTTGTGAACCACAGCGGTTCAATGTTTAAAGGAATAGACTCAACCCACTTTATTCAGCTAGCTAACTATGACACCATAGCTAACTAGCATGCTAGCATCCAATAACACACAGTTTAACACACAGTTTAGCACCAACACTTGGTCACAACAAACCACCAATAGTGTGTTAACTAGCTAACTAGCATGCTAGCATCCAGTAACACACAGTTTAGCACCAACACTTGGTCACAACAAACCACCAATAGTGTGATAACACACTAAACAGATCATTCGTGTCTGTGTCAAGTTCCTTTCATGACGCAGCAATGATTAAACGTTGGCTAGCTAGGACAAGTATATTGTATTTAGCTACTTCCGTACAGTTAGCTGGTCGTGTTGGGTAGCTAGCAATGGCCACTGTGTTGACTTTGTTTGAAGAACGGCTAGCTAGCTAGCTTCGTGCTACACCCGGCACACAATGGCTATTGTGTTGACTATGACTCTGTTCGAAAAAACGGCTAGTTTACTGCCAACCTACAGTAACTACCCACAAGCTATGACGCCATAGCTAACTAGCAAGCTAGCATCCATTAACACACAATTTAGCACCAATACTTGGTTACAACAAACTGCCAAGAGTGTGTTAGCACACTAAACAGATAATTCATGTCCGTGTCTAGTTCCTTTCATAACGCATAACGCAGCAAAAATTAAACGTTGGCTAGCAGCACATTAACATTGGAAACAGCTCTCCACCGTTGCTAAACGTTACAGTCAATTGTACCAGTAGCTACCCGCTAGCTAGCTAGCCTCGTGCTTCGATACTAACCTACAATTACCTACGGAAACCTACAATAACAACAATACTAACCTACAATAACTACACTACCTAACTACAACTAGGGTAACTACAACTAACTACCTACCTACGATCTAATACATGGTTAAGCTTTACTCAACACCATATGAGAAGCTTACCTCCTGCTTACCTCCAGCTAGAGAAGAACACAACCTCTGCTACAACCTCTGCTATAAGTGTACTAGACCTACTCTATGTTTCTAACACACCTAAACAAAACTTCAAGCTATAGCAGAGCTCTAAAACATCCTTACCTATGCAATGTCCATCAGTAGAGGGAATCTCAGTCTGGTCCTGGACTGAATGGCAGTCATTTTTGTTTCCTCTTTTGGAACGCTAAAATGAGAAGGAAGCACCTTTTTGCTTTCAACTCAGCCCTCATCTCTGTCTCAGCCTGGTCTGCTGGGTTTGTTGCAGCAGAAGCTGGTCTTGACGCCTCCTTGCATCCCTGCACCAGCTGCTGGGTCAATGATTTTACCAGGAACTGTCAAATTCAGAATCCTGGGAGGCCATAGCTGCTTGGAGGGTGTTATAAGAGCCAAACACCTCCAGGAGGTTTTTATGTATACCCCTGGACACTGTGTGGATGTGCAGGTCCTGAGGGTATGCCTGTGTCCTGGAGAATCCGGATGCAGCACAGAACTCAGACAGAACTTGTCTGATGAGCTGTTGAAATATTGCTGTCATGTCTGCTGCCTGTTGGGTCCATCTAGGGCTGAGGGCCCGATCTTCGATAGCAACCTTATTACCAGTATGGTGACCAAACAGATGAAATCATCTTTGCCGGAGTCCATCAAGGACTGCAGAGGGAATGCAGTGGCACTGCTGATGTCTGAGGTGATTAAGAGCTCCCTCAGATGGCCAGAGCTGCTGGGGACTTCTTTCTCTTCCATGTCAATCCCAACCCCCTTTGGTACCAAAGAGGTTCCCTTGCTGGTGCAAGAGGGAGTGAAGAATCGAAGAGAGGCTTTGGCACTCGATGGTCGGCTACTGTCAGTCCTTGGACTGTTACGATGCAGGGCTTCATCTGTGTGTGTCATCATCTTTGTCCTTAGGTCACTCGTAGAAAACCCTGGCATTATAGAGTCCCTGGTGTCGATGCAGGAGCTCCTTACGATGGGGAAGGTCAAATCATCAGGAACCTCGTCAGGGATGGGAGTGCCAGGGAGGTTGATCTCTAGCTCACACTTTGATATTGGACCCTTTGAAGACCTGGATAAGGAACAATGACCCTTTGAAGAAATGGACAAAGATGAACATGTTCTAGGGATGTCTTGGCAGACTTGTTCACTGTCATCCTTGCTTTTCTTAACCTCCTTCAGCATAGTTCCTACCATGTCATTGATCTGAAGGAGCTCCCTGGAAAACTTATTTCGCCCTAAGTTTGATATTTCACTCTGGATAGCAACCAGGATTTCCCCAAGGGTCTCTTTGGAAGAAGCATTTTCTGTTCTTTCGGATCTGGATGGCTTCAACCCTGTGAAGAAATTCTTAAGCGTCTTCTTCATACCGACGCAGATGGTCTTAGCCATTGACCAAAGCTTCTCCTCTGATATTTTAATACTAAATTCAGTATCATCCAGTTGGGAGCCAACGAGGGAGGACTGCAAAACTCTCCCACTTCTTTCCAGTAGCACAGATTCTGTTGGCCAAATAGTGTCAGTGGACTCATTGTTATGGATAATAGTCGCCATGCCTTTGACAAAGGTTTCCACTAATACAGAAGCTGTATTCTGAGAGGACATGAAGGCCATCTCTGATGGCAAGCCAGATAATAAGCTACCCTAAGGACTTTCCTGAAGACTAGTATTGCTGATCTGTGTAATAAAGGAATGACTGGATCTTGTCAGCACTTTACTCACTGCCTCTTTTGCCTGAGTCTTAAAGTCCTTGCTAGAGATGTTCTTAATGCTCTGAATCAGACTAGTAGATGACTGTGTGATTCTGACACTCTGTTCTGAGCTCAGTTGAGAATATTGAAGACTCACACTCAAGTCTTCATCGGGTGAGGGTGACTGGTATATGGTATAGGCATCAAGCTTGGATAGGACACCATCAACAAACCTACAAGCTTCCAGGGACTCATCAGATGAACTCACAATGACCAACGATTTACTGTCCACTTTTGATAACTGTGACTTGTAGATGGAAACAAGACTGCTGAGAACTTCTTGATTATTGGTATCCAGATCAGAGAGACAGAGAGCTAGTATTGGTTGGCTCTCACTGGGTACTCTATCAAGTTTGGTGCTGGGTAACTGGACCTCACCAGTTGAAACAGCCTTTTCCACTTTGTCTGAAAACTCCTGAAGAGAAGCATCCTTAGCCACACCATCATCTCCAGTGGATAGAGTTAAAAGGTCCCTCAGCTTTGCTTATATACGACCATAGAGTGTGTGGGCTGCAGAAAAGGCTATCTTCTGTGAAGACCCTGTCTTGTGCTCATTTAGAGGAACTGGCCAATCACCTGCTTCACATGTGCCTTCAAATGATGCTATCGTCTCCATGCTTCCCACAAATGTCTTATTAATCACTGTGGCAGTGGAAGTTACAGATGTCAAGGCTGTGCAGCTGGTATTCAGGGGAGCCTCAGTCAGACTGGAAACAGCACTAGAAAGCCTAGAGGCAGGTGCCACGCCAGAAGAGCTGCTGACTTTCCTTGTAAGGATGATGCTCACAACCTTGAGTGCTTTAGACTGGAAGTCTGGGCTAGAGAGGGTCTGAAGTTTTCTGGCCACCACACTAGTAGAGGATCCAGTCTCCTTGAGAAAGTGAGTGGTCTCTTCTTTCCCAGATTGACATTCAACATCAAGGTCACATTGAAGTTTGGTCAGAAATTGAGACCCTAAGATTTTCATCTTCTTGTTCAAGTCCTGTGCCATTTTTTCCATAGGGCCAACAATGGCATCCAGCACATTGTCGGTCACAGGGTCCATGAGGGGCTCGATAAACTCTATCCACTCTGGCTCAGATCTTTGGCTCTGTAGCTCGGCCAGGATCTGCACCGAGGCTACACAAATGACCTCCCTGCCTGCTGCCATATCCTGACTGTCCAAAGGGGGGCAACTCCATAGGCTGGCCTGAATGGCCACTGAGCGGCCAGAGTTAAGCTGGTGTACTACCTCCCCCGCAATAGCACAGCTCAACTGGAAGGAGCTGGAGGAGGCGAGGTTGGAGTGGCCCTTAGCCAAGGACATCAGGAGGCTTTCATCTGTTACTCCAAAGAGAGCCTTCAGAGGCTCCTCCATGAGGGGAGCCTCTCCAGTTTCAGGCGAGCTCTGCAACCAGGTCTGGCACCTTGAAGATACACACACAAACATCACTTATGCCATGCATAGAAGCCCAAAATCAAATAACACGATTTTTAACATGATTTTGATGTTTGTACGATATCAGAATTTGATTATTTCTGAAAGACATGTACTGTACCTGATCTCTTTATTCATAGTTTACTTTATAATGGCTTACCCAAGACCCACCCCTCTGGTGCAACATTTCTGATCAGAACACAAAAATACAAGGTGTTAATTCCAATTGATGATAAGAATGGGTCAGGGATAAAAGCCTCGGAATCAATAAGTTGAAATATTGCTGTGAACATACCTCTTAGGAGAGTAGCATGGTTGTTTGGTTCGGCGAGCAGAGTTTTGGCAGCACCCTGCCCTGCTATTCCTCCTCCTTTCCTTGGTCCAGTAGTTCATGTCACTAATCATCAGCCTTTTCTCCCGCTCATCCAGACAGTCTAAGGAGTCCTCAGATCCTGTCAGAGAGCGCTGGGATTCTGGGGAGGTCGCCCCACTCCTCAGGTTCACCCCCATGATACGAGCCAGCACTGGTAGCAGAATGCGCAGGGTCGTCTGGTTCACGACCTTAACAATCTTCAAGACACAGCATGGAGAGCTGCTCAAACGTCAGCTATGGCCAACAAACAGAGTAATATTCAATCAAGCTATTCCATGACACCTTCTCCTATATAGTGCGTTACTTTGACCAGAAACTTATGTGGAGACTGCAGAGACATGTTATTCTTCCTGCCATGCTGAATCACTGGCTAGAGAAAAGAAAAGAAAGGAAACATAATTTAGTTGCATATTTTAATGTTGAGTTAGGGAGTCAAGTGTATTTGAGTAAGCCATTAAGTACATGAGACATTTTGTTATTCATTTAGGGGTAGAGGTAGGGGTATGGTTAAGGTGATGGTTAGGGGTAGGTGTAGTGGTTGAAATCACATTTGTGGTTAGAAGGCGCATTATGATTGTAAATTCAGAGTTGTTGTATGTGAGGTTGGAGAAAGTACTCATCAGTTAGACTCCTCAGGAAGGAGAGAAGGACTGGGGCACAGCTTGTCCCAATCTTGAGAGAAGGCATTAGAGTCCTCTGAGCCTCCTTCTCCAGCTGCTCAATGATAAATCCCCTGTCCCGGAAACCACACCTGGGTGCATGAGCAGACCCTGGGAAACCACAAAGAGAAATCTGAAGTTGAATCGTAACTTTATTTCTAATTTCCTTCACCTGTACTGATTTGATTGCACTGGACAGGTGAAAGCATATCTCTCTGTGGCCCTCTACAATACGTGACTCACCACATCGATTCGGTCTTATGTAGTAACATTTAATTATTTTTTATTTTTTTACATTGGATAAAAGTAGAGACTCAGCGCTAGAAAATAGTGTATCATACACTGCAGATGAGGAACAATGGGAAAGGAATTGTGCTTTGAAAGTTGATAAACTTGTAACCCCACTTTTGAGAAAATGGCCCTTGAAACTTCCCGACCATTGTTACTCCCCCTTCCGGGATGGCTACAAGGCCCTCCCCCACCCTCCCTTCGGCAAATCAGATCACGACTCCATCCTAATCCTCCCTTCCTATAGGCAGAAACTCAAACAGAAAGTACCCGTGCTAAGGTCTATTCAAAGCAAATCAGATCACGACTCCATCCTAATCCTCCCTTCCTATAGGCAGAAACTCAAACAGAAAGTACCCGTGCTAAGGTCTATTCAACGCTGGTCTGACCAATTGGAATCCATGCTTCAAGATTGTTTTGATCACGCGGACCGGGATATGTTCCGGGTTGCCTCTGAGAATAACATTGACGTATACACAGACACGGTGACTGAGTTCATCAGGAAGTGTATAGGGGATGTTGTTCCCACAGTGACTATTAAAACCTACCCAAACCAAAAACCGTGGCTAGATGGCAGCATTCGCACAAAACTAAAAGCGTAAACCACCGCATTTAACCACGTCAAGGTGACTGGGAATATGGTTGAATACAAACAGTCTAGTTATTCCCTTCGTAAGGCAATCAAACAGGCAAAATGTCAGTACAGAGACAAAGTGGAGTCGCAATTCAACGGCTCAGACACAAGACTTATGTGGCAGGGTCTACAGACAATCACGGATTACAAAGGGAAAACCAGCCACGTCGCGGACACCGATGTCTTGCTCCCGGACAAGCTAAACACCTTCTTCGCCCTCTTTGAGGATAATACAGTGCCACTGACACGGCCCACTCCCAAGGACTGTGGGCTCTCGTTCTCCGTGGCCGACATGAGTAAGACATTTAAGCGTGTTAGCATTCGCAAGGCAGCCGGCCCAGACGGCATCCCTAGCCACGTCCTCAGAGCATGCACAGACCAGCTGGCTGGAGTGTTTACAGACATATTAAATCTCTCACTGTCCCAGTCTGCTGTCCCCACTTGCTTCAATATGTCCACCATTGTTCCTGTACCCAAGAAAGCAAAGGAGCTGAACTAAATGACTATCGCCCCGTAGCACTCACTTCTGTCATCATGAAGTGCTTTGAGAGGCTAGTTAAGGATCATATCACCTCCACCTTACCTGACACCCTAGACCCACTACAATTTGCATACCGCCCCAATAGATCCAAAGACGATGCAATCGCCATCGCACTGCACACTGCCCTATCCCATCTGGACAAGAGGAATACATATATAAGAATGCTGTTCATTGACTATAGCTCAGCCTTCAACACCATAGTACCCTCCAAGCTCATTATCAAGCTGTGCAACTGGGTCCTGGACTTCCTTACGGGCTGCCCCCAGGTGGTGAAGGTAGGAAACAACACCTCCATTTGGCTTGGCCCCTAAGACCCTCACAACTTTTACAGATGCATAATTGAAAGCATCCCGTTGGGCTGTATCACCGCATGGTACGGCAACTGCACTGCTCGCAACCGCAATGCTCTCCAGAGGGTGGTGCGGTCTGCCCAACGCATCACCAGGGGCACACTCCCTGCCCTCCAGGACACTTACAGCACCCGATATCACAGGAAGGCCAAAAAGATCATCAAGGACATCAACCACCCGAGCCACCCCGCTATCATCCTGAAGGCCAGGTCAGTACAGCTGCATCAAAGCTGGGACCGAGAGACTGAAAAACAGCTTCTATCTCAAGGCCATCAGACTGTTAAATAGCCATCACTAACCGGCTACCACCTGGTTACTCAACCCTGCACCTTAGAGGCTGCTGCCCTATGTACATAGACATGGAATCACTGGTCACTTTAATAATGGAACACTAGTCACTTTAATAATGTTTACATACTGCTTTACTCATTTCATATGTATATACTCTGGTCTACTGTATTTTTGTCAATGCCTAATATTTATATATTTCATAATTCTTTTACTTTTAGATTTGTGTGTATTGTTGTGAATTGTTAGATACTACTGCACTGTTGGAGCTAGGAACACAAGCATTTCGCTACACCCGCAATAACTTCTGCTAAATATGTGTATGTGACCAATACAATTTTATTTGATTTATTTATTTTTGTTGTTGAATGTTTTGGTACACCTACTGGAGAGCTCTTCTTTGTCTACACCCATTCAACATTGTTCACACCCTCTTAAGCCTTAGCCCCACCCATCTCTTTAAGGATTCACATGTGAGGCCATGTGCTAAACAGAGTGAGTGTAGTAAACAACCAAAGATTTAAAGACTAAAAGTGGTAAAAGTAGAAGCAAAAAGTAGTGGTAAAAATACACTTTATCTAGACCTTGGCCTATATCCTAATCTGACTTTGGTGCAGGTCATGTTGTTCTTCACATTACCATCTCTGGTATTTACGTTTACATTTTAGTAATTTAGCAGACGCTCTTATCAGAGCGACTTACAGTTAGTGAGTGCATAAATTTTTTCATACTGGCCCACTGTGGGAATCGAACCCACAACCCTGGCGTTGCAAACGCCATGCTCTACCAACTGGTACACTACTATATCAAATAAAATCACATGCACAGGATGCAGACGGTGTAAACGGTACAGTGAAATGGTTACACTTGCATATTTGTAAAAATATTTTATAATTATTAGATTATTCTTACCCAGACACACTTGTCTAAATTGATGGTCATGTGAAAGAAAATGCTATAACCACCCCCCAGCCACATCTAGCTAAGTGGATGGGTCACTATTGTCTAGACATGTACACATGTTAATGAAATACAGTAGATGGCCGTAATCACCCCCAGACACACCTGGCTAACTTGATGGGTCATGTAATCATCTGGCAAAGTGGAGTCTTTTGTTTAGACATGTAGCTAGCTAGCTAGCTAAAAAATGTACCATCATTCCCAACCCATACAGTACTAGTAATACAAACTGATTGTCATAGCTAGCCACCATGCATGAATCTGCAGGTTGCTAAAGCTAACATTGGGCTATAACTAGCAATGCAAATGGCTTTCTGATATACAAAATAATTATTATAATAATAGGGTTCTGAACACGTTTGGGTGTTCGTTACCTGGAGTGATGCGTGAGTACCCTGCCTACCGCCTCCAGACCCAAAAGAACATTCGTTACTCCCTTCGTGCCACCAGAGTAATAATATTACTACATAGATCATGCACGTAACGTTAGTTAGCGAGCCAGAAAGCTAACAATCTCTAGTTACCTAACATTACACTTTAACTTGCAATGAAAATGACTTTCTGACAAAATTAGAAACGTATAATATCTGAAATTATAAACTGGGTGGTTCGAGCCCTGAATGCTGATTGGCTGACAGCTGTGGTATATCAGACCGTATACCATGGGTATGACAAAACATTTATTTTTACTGCTCTAATTACATTGGTAACCAGGTTATATTAGCAATAAGGCACCTCGGGGGTTTGTGGTATATGGCCAATATACCATGGTTGTCACGACTTCCGCCGAGGCTGCCCCCCCACCTGGTTCGGGTAGGCTTCGGTGTTCGTCGTCACCGGAGTGCTAGCTACTGCCGATCCCATTCTCATCACTCCACTTGTCATGTCTTGTCAATCACACACACCTGGTGCTCATTCCCCTAATTAGTATGTGTATAAGTGTTCCCTCTGTTCCCCTTGTCTTTGTGAGTGATTGTTTTGTTGTGAGAGCGTGTAGATCGGTTGAGCTACATTTCACTGTGTTATTTGCCAAGGTGGATGTTTTCCCTTGTACAGTTTTGTTTGACGCTTGGGGTGTTTGATTTACGCAAACAGATTAAACTCTGGACTTCGGTATTTTACCTCCTGCGCCTGACTCCTTCTTTCACACCTCGTCACAATGGTAAGGACTGTGTCCAGGCATTTTGCGTTGCATCGTGCGTACGAGCAGCCCTTAGCCATGGTATATTGGCCATATAACACACCTCCTCTGGCCTTATTGCTTAAATGTAGCTAGACTCTTACCCGTATACATGGGTGAACGCATCACGGGCAGTCTGCTACCCCTTTAACTCTGTTTTGTTTATAGGTACAGCTTGTTTGGCCCACGTTGTGTCAAGTCACTCCAGTTCACACTGACCGTAGTAGTAGTCCATCACAACTTTTTCCCACTGATCTTTGTCTATAGCACCTGCTAAAATTCAGGGCAGCAATGTTGTTGAGAGCAGTCCAACGTTATATCTTTCAAAAAAGCTCAGATAGCCAGGATTATCTTCACATACTGAGCAGCTCACATTATAGACACATTATAGACAGAAGCATGCCATGTAGGCAGACCAATCCGAACTCATCTCTCGGCATGTCCAGCCCATCCATTATCTCAGCCCAATCATGGCTAGCAGGAAGGTTCCTGTCTTTTTCCGTGGCTAAACCAACTAGGCTCATCATTTAACAATTGTATTCGTATTTACAGATGGCATACATGTTTGTTATTAAGGCACATGAAAGTTCACGTTCCAGAAGGCATTTCTGCCAAAAAACACATTTTAATATACAGTACCAGTCAAAAGTTTGGATACAACTTCTCATTCCAGGGTTTTTCTTTATTTTTACTATTTTCTACATTGTAGAATATTAGTGAAGACATCAAAACTATGAAATAACACATATGGAATCGTGTAGTAACCCAAAAAGTGTTAAACAAATCAAAATAGATGTTATATTTGAGATTCTTCAAATAGCCACCCTTTGCCTTGACAGCTTTGCACACTCTTCGCATTCTCTCAACCAGCTTCACCTGGAACGCTTTTCCAACAGTCTTTAAGGAGTTCCCACATATGCTTAGCACTTGTTGGCTGCTTTTCCTTCACTCTGCGGTCCGACTTATCCCAAACCATCTCAATTAGGTTGAGGTCGGGGGATTGTGGAGGTCAGGTCATCTGATGCAGCGCTCCATCACTCTCCTTCTTGGTAAAATAGCTATTACACATCCTGGAGGTGTGTTGGGTCATTGTCCTGTTGAAAAACAAATGATAGTCCCACTAAGCCCAAACCAGATGGGATGGTGTATCGCTGCAGAATGCTGTGGTAGCCATGCTGGATAAGTGTGCCTTGAATTCTAAATAAATCGCAGACAGTGTCATCGGCAAAGCACCCCCACACCATAACACCTCCTCCTCCATGCTTTACGGTGGGAACTACACATGCGGAGATCATCCGTTCAACCACACCGCGTTTTCGGTTGGAACCAAAAATCTCCAATTTGGACTCCAGACCAAAGGACACATTTCCACTGGTCTAATGTCCATTGCTCGTGTTTCTTGGCCCAAGCAGGTCTCTTCTTCTTATTGGTGTCCTTTAGCAGTGGTTTCTTTGCAGCAATTCGACCATGAAGGCCTGATTCACACAGTCCCCTCTTAACAGTTGATGTTGAGATGTGTGTGACTTGAACTCTGTGAAGCATTTATTTGGGCAACAATTTCTGAGGCTGGTAACTCTAATGAACTTATCCTCTGCAGCAGAGGTAACTCTGGGTCTTCCATTCATGAGAGCCAGTTTCATCATTGCGCTTGATGGTTTTGCGATTGCACTTGAAGAAACTTTCAAAGTTCTTGAAATGTTCTGTATTGACAGACCATCATGTCTTAAAGTAATGATGTACTGTCATTTCTCTTTGCTTATTTGAGCTGTTCTTGCCATAATATGGACTTGGTCTTTTAGCAAATAGGGCTATCCTCTGTATACCCCCCCCTACCTTGTCACAGCACAACTGATTGGCTCAAAAGCATTAAGAAGGAAAGAAATTCCACAAATTAACTTTTAAGAAGGCACACCTGTTAATTGAAATACATTCCAGGTGCAAAGCTGTCATCAAGGCAAAGGGTGGCTATTTGAAGAATCTCAAATATAAAATTGTATTTTATTTGTTTAACACTTTTTTGGTTTATACATGATTCCATATGTGTTATTTCATAGTTTTGATGTCTTCACTATTATTCTACAATGTAAAAAATAGTATAAGTAAAGAGAAACTCCTGAATGAGTAGGTGTGTCCAAACTTTTGACTGGTAGTGTATATATTTTTTTAAATGTTCAAATGTCTCTCCTGTGAAGTAGTGACGTGCGACATACACCTAATTTCTTGAAACGGGTCACATATTGCTTTAACCTAAAGGTATAGATGCTACCTTCTCAGATCAGTGCTGATTAATTTGAACACAACCTGCACCCAACATAAAACAATCTCTGACCTGCACCAATGCTGCTGTCCTCCTCCACTGAATTATTCTTGGCACAGCCACTGGACTTATGTTTAGCCTACAGGACAACAGATTATAGGTCTCATAGCAGATCTAAGGTCAATTTAGCGTTTCCCCCCCTAATGTTTTAAGGTTAGGATTTAGTGATTGCAAACTAATCCTATATCTGTGTCTAAGTTGGCAGAGGATGTGTAAAGAACTGCATATTGTCCATCTTACCTTGCTTCCTGTACTGTTCTTTTTGGTCTCATGAGTCTCTGTTTCATCCTTCATATCCTCCCCAACTTCCTTTTGATCATCAGGGGTATCCTCCCATTTCATGCTCTGGTGGATAAATGAGAGGGCAATATCAGTCTTCTTTTGTGACTTTATGAAACAACTTATTTGCTCCTATTTTACACAAAATGGCAATGGTAGTCAGCTTTTAGTCCATGGGTCAAACCAGTGAGACATACAGTATTGCTTTGGTAGTGAGTGACCTAAAATATTGTTAGTGATTTCTCCTCGAAACTCAAAGTATGCTTAATTAACCATACCTTGGTGTCCTCAGACATGATGTGTAGCCTATTGTAGCAGGCTATTTATAGGTAATACTGATAGTCCCTTTAAAAGCACATGGGTGAACCATCAGCAGACGCAACTGAAGTAATATGGACGTTATCCTTGAATTATACCAAGGCATTGTTGAATACTAGTTTCTGATAGGCTTAAGCATGGGGGATTCTTAAAATACATCATATACATTATGTAACAATTAGGCCTAAATCTATTGCATAAATCCAATGGATTAGCTATATTTGTATGGTCTAATGTCGACAACATCAGAAAACAGATCATAGTGTGTGATTTATGGTTCATCAAGCATCCCCATCCTCTTCTTAGGCATCATCATCACCATGCACAACAACGTAACTCGCTGCAACCCATTAGCTAGAATTCTGAGGCTGCAAAGCAGCAAAACTAGCATGTGCAATAAATTATAATCACTTGCACTTAAAATAGTTTAAAATCATTTATGTTCTCTGGGGCTCTATCTATTTCAGCACCGTGGAGCTGTCAATTTCTGAGTTTGTAGGTGTTAGTGGACAGCGCCAAGGAACCTGAAATGTTTTGAATCTGGGCAGCACCTGAGACAGTGGCATGATGTTGAAATGGAACATTGCTCAGTTCTATGGTTATCTCATGGGGCTTTCCTGCTACTCTATATAATAACGATACTATAATTACATTATATTCATCCATCCATCAACACAAAGGGCTTGTCAAAGTTTTCTAAATAATCATGCAATGAAGCCAAGCCGAGATGCATGGTTCTTCATGCAGAGGCCGAATCACCGCTTTACCATCATGAAACCATCAGAGACCCCATAAAGATGGAATCCGCAGTAGGGGGATCACACCCCACCGCCGTTGTTATTGTTTTTGTTGACTAAGCAGAGGGGGGTCGCAAATCGGGGTAAAAAAGATTTAAGTAGGCTTACATCCCACTGGTCACACTGGTTGAATCAACGTTGTTTCCATGTCATTTAAATGAAATCACCTTGAACCAACGTGGAATAGACGTTGAATTGACGTCTGTGCCCAGTGGGAAATACTTATGTTCTATCTTGCGTGCAATGATGCCCGAGGGAGAAAAAAAACAGTGTTTGCAGTAACTTCTTTGCTGTTGTAATATCGGACGTGGTTGTTTCACCATTAAGGATTCCAGCTTTAAAAATGCAGTATAAATTCTCCCCAGTTATGGTAGATTAAAATAGCAACACAGGGACAAATCCAACACTGTTCTACTGAGTCCTGCTCAGACAGAGGTGACTGACTGTCATGTCGCTAGTTATAATGGTGCTTTTAAAACAATAATAGTTATTTGTAATTGCTCTCTGGGAGCTAATTATTGCAGAGGCTGAACCCAGCTGCCCAGCCTGCTCGCTGGGCTCATTATGGACCGCCAGTGAGCACTTTAGGCTGTGAACAAGTCAGCCAGATCTGATCCCCATCTGCTACTCCATACTACGGCCTGCACCATTCTTCACGGCACTGATTCTACACGTGCTGTAGGTTTATGGCATGCTAACATCCCACAACAATTACCCAATTGGAATTACTTGCCTAAACCTCAAATCATACTTCGGCCGTAATATCAATCACATTTGTTTCTGCCCTTAAGGAAGCACTGCCCTTTAAACAACATGGAATTAGGACAATTATAAAGGTACTTATTGACTTCTCTTTTAAACTTTAAAATGTAGGCTTAAATTAACCTTACCTGGCTGTCGTCAGCCATTATGTGTAACCCGTTAAGAGGCCCGCTCTGCGATTCTGATACAGGAGCGCCTCTGATAATGTAGCTTGGTTGAAAACCCATCTGTGAACCCTCCTCAGACACAATGAACTGAAGTGAATATGGCAGTGGTGTAAAGTACTTAAGTAAAAATACTTAAAAGTACTACATAAGTCGTTTTTTTTTTTTAGTATCTGTACTTTACTTTACTATTCATCTTTTTGACAACTTTTACTTTTACTTCACAACATTCCTAAAGAAAAGTATGTACTTTTTACTCCATACATTCTCCCTGACACCCAAAAGTACTTGTTATATTTTGAATGCTTAGCAGGACAAGAAATTGGTCTAATTCACACACAGAAAATTATGCCATCTGGTTTGCTTAATATAAGGAATTTGAAATTATTTATACTTTTACTTTTACTTTTGATACTTAAGTATATTTTAAACCAAATACTTTTAAACTTTTACTAATGTAGTATTTTACTGGGTGACTTTCAATTTTACTTGAGTCATTTTCTATTAAGGTATCTTTACTTTTACTCAAGTATGACAATTGGGTACCTTTTCCACCACTGGAATATGGACATTACTCATGGCATAAAGATATCATACAGTGGAGAAAAAAAGTATTTAGTCAGCCACCAATTGTGCAAGTTCTCCCACTTTGTGACACTCTGGCTCTGGGACTTTTGTATTTGAGCCAGGGTGTATTTTGTTATGTTTGGTTGGGTGTTTCTAAGTGTTGTATTTCTAGGTTTGGTCTATGACTCCCAATCGGAGGTAACGAGTGTCAGCTGTCGGCTCGTTATCTCTGATTGGGAGCCATATTTATTTCTGTATGTTTTCCTGTGGGGTTTGTGGGTTTTTGTTCCAGGTTCAGTCATAGTCACTGTAGGACTTCACTATCGTCATTTGTTTGTTGTTTTCGTGGTTGCTTTTATTTAAATAAAGTCATCATGTTCACTCCACGCGCTGCGTATTGGTCCGCTTCCTCAGACGATCGTGACAGAAAAACCCACCATAAGAGGACCAAGCAGCGTGTCAAGCGGCAACAGGACCCAGCTCCAAAGGTCTGGACATGGGAGGAGATTTTGGACGGAAAAGGGTCCTGGACTTGGGAGGAAATCCTGGAGGGGATGGATCGCCGTCCATGGAGCGAGACAGTGGAGAGGCGACGGAGAGAGGAACAACGGCGTCGGCAGGGCCATCGTCGGAGGGACGAGAGGCAACCCCAAAAAGTTTTTTGGGGGGGGCACATGGCTTGGGCGGTTGGGCAGCAGGAGGCTGCCACAGGGAGATGTGGAGAGAAGGCTATCGGATTACGGGAGCCATTGGCGAGTAGAGGGAGGGAAGTTGTTGTGGCACGGCATGAGAGACTGAGGTGTGTTACCAGTCCGGTCCGGCCCGTTCCTGATCCCCAGTTAAGGCCAGTGGTGTGTGTTCCCGGTACGGACCGGCCTGTTTCTACTCCACGCACCAGGTCCACGATGTGCGTCGCCAGCCCAGCTCGGCCTGTTCCTACTCCACGCACCAGGTCCACGATGTACATTCCAGCTCCACGTATCGGCCGGGTTAGTGTGAGCATTGAGCCGAATGTCATGAAGCCGGCCCAACGCATCAGGCCACCAGTGCGTCTTCTCGGGCCGGCGTACATGGCACCAGCCTTACGCATGGTGTTCCCGGTTCGCCCACATAGGCCGGTGCGGGTTATTCCACCTCCCCGTACTGGTCGGGCGACGGGGAGCATCAACCCGGGTAAGGTTGGGCAGGCTCAGTGCTCAAGGGGGCCAGTAAGCCTGCACGGTCCGGTATTTCCGGCGCCACCTCCCCGCTCCAGCTCAGTACCACCAGTGCCTACACCACGCACCAAGCCTCCTGTGTGTTCCCCGAGTCCTGTGCGTCCTGTTGCTGCTCTCCGCACTAGGCGTTATGAGAGTCCCCAGGGTCCAGTATGCCCTGTTCCGGCTCTCCGCACTAGCCCTTATGTGCGTCCCCAGGGTCCAGCATACCCTGTTGCTTCTCCCCGCACTAGCCCTGAGATGCGTGTCCTCAGCCCGGTACCTCCAGTTCCGGCACCACGCACCAGGCCTACGGTGCGCCTCAGACGGCCAGAGTCTGCCGTCTGCCCAACGGGGCCTGAACTGCCCGTCTGCCCAAAGGCGCTTAAGCCGCCCGTCTGCCATGAGCCGGAGCCGTCCGCCAGACCGGAGCCGCTAGAGCCTTCGTCCAGACAGGATCAGCCAGAGCCTTCCGCCAGACAGGATCAGCCAGAGCCTTCCGCCAGACAGGATCGGCCAGAGCCTTCCGCCAGACAGGATCGGCCAGAGCCTTCCGCCAGACAGGATCAGCCAGAGCCTTCCGCCAGACAGGATCAGCCAGAGCCTTCAGCCAGCCATGAGCAGCCAGATCCGTCGGCCAGCCATGAGCAGCCAGATCCGTCGGCCAGCCATGAGCAGCCAGATCCGTCAGCCAGCCATGAGCAGCCAGATCCGTCGGCCAGCCATGAGCAGCCAGATCCGTCGGCCAGCCATGAGCAGCCAGATCCGTCGGCCAGCCATGAGCAGCCAGATCCGTCGGCCAGCCATGAGCAGCCAGATCCGTCGGCCAGCCATGAGCAGCCAGATCCGTCGGCCAGCCATGAGCAGCCAGATCCGTCAGCCAGCCATGAGCCGTTCAGCCAGGATCCGCCAGAGCCGTCCAGCCAGGATCCGCCAGAGCCAGCCAGCCAGGATCCGCCATTGAGTCCGGTGCTGTCCCTTAGCCCGGTGCTGCCCCTTATCCTGGTGCTGCCCCTTAGTCCGGTACTGCCCCTTAGTCCGGTGCTGCCCCTTAGTCCGGTGCTGCCCGTTAGTCCGGTGCCGCCCCTTAATCCAGTGGGGTTTAGTTGGGGGGTGGTCATGTGGAGGAGGCTACGGAGGCGGATAGTGACTAAGGTGGGGTGGGGACCACGACCAGGGCCAGAACCGCCACCGTGGACAGACGCCCACCCAGACCCTCCCCTAGACTGTATGCTGGTGCGCCCGGAGTGCGCACCTTTAGGGGGGGGTACTGTGACACTCTGGCTCTGGGACTTTTGTATTTGAGCCAGGGTGTATTTTGTTATGTTTGGTTGGGTGTTTCTAAGTGTTGTATTTCTAGGTTTGGTCTATGACTCCCAATCGGAGGTAACGAGTGTCAGCTGTCGGCTCGTTATCTCTGATTGGGAGCCATATTTATTTCTGTATGTTTTCCTGTGGGGTTTGTGGGTTTTTGTTCCAGGTTCAGTCATAGTCACTGTAGGACTTCACTATCGTCATTTGTTTGTTGTTTTCGTGGTTGCTTTTATTTAAATAAAGTCATGTTCACTCCACGCGCTGCGTATTGGTCCGCTTCCTCAGACGATCGTGACACACTTAAAAAGACGAGAGAGGCCTGTAATTTTCATCATAGGTACACGTCAACTATGACAGACATAATTAGATTGTTTTTCTCCAGAAAATCACATTGTAGGATCTTTAATGAATTTATTTGCAAATTATGGTGGAAAATAAGTATTTGGTCAATAACAAAAGTTTCTCAATACTTTGTTATATACCCTTTGTTGGCAATGACACAGGTCAAACGTTTTCTGTAAGTCTTCACAAGGTTTTCACACACTGTTGCTGGTATTTTGGCCCATTCCTCCATGCAGATCTCCTCTAGAGCAGTGATGTTTTGGGGCTGTCGCTGGGCAACACAGACTTTCAACTCCCTCCAAAGATTTTCTATGGGGTTGAGATCTGGAGACTGGGTAGGCCACTCCAGGACCTTGAAATGCTTCTTACGAAGCCACTCCTTCGTTGCCCGGGTGGTGTGTTTGGGATCATTGTCATGCTGAAAGACCCAGCCATGTTTCATCTTCAATGCCCTTGCTGATGGAAGGAGGTTTTCACTCAAAATCTCACGATACATGGTCCCATTCATTCTTTCCTTTACACAGATCAGTCGTCCTGGTCCCTTTGCATAAAAACAGCCCCAAAGCATGATGTTTCCACCCCAATGCTTTACACTAGGTATGGTGTTCTTTGGATGCAGCTCAGCATTCTTTGTCCTCCAAACACGACGAGTTGAGTTTTTACCAAAAAGTTATATTTTGGTTTCATCTGACCATATGACATTCTCCCAATCCTCTTCTGGATCATCCAAATGCACTCTAGCAAACTTCAGACGGCGGGCCTGGACATGTACTAGGTCCCCCCGTGTGGTTCTGGCATTTTTGCTCACCGTTCTTGTGATCATTTTGACCCCACGGGGTGAGATCTTGCGTGGAGCCCCAGATCGAGGGAGATTATCAGTGGTCTTGTATGTCTTCCATTTCCTAATAATTTCTCCCACAGTTGATTTCTTCAAACCAAGCTGCTTACCTATTGCAGATTCAGTCTTCCCAGCCTGGTGCAGGTCTACAATTTTGTTTCTGGTGTCCTTTGACAGCTCTTTGGTCTTGGCCATAGTGGAGTTTGGAGTGTGACTGTTTGAGGTTGTGGACAGGTGTCTTTTATACTGATAACAAGTTCAAACAGGTGCCATTAATACAGGTAACAAGTGGAGGACAGAGGAGCCTCTTAAAGAAGAAGTTACAGGTCTGTGAGAGCCAGAAATCTTGCTTGTTTGTAGGTGACCAAATACTTATTTTCCACCATAATTTGCAAATAAATTCATTAAAAATCCTACAATGTGATTTTCTGGATTTATTTTCCTCAATTTGTCTGTCATAGTTGACGTGTACCTATGATGAAAATTACAGGCCTCTCTCATCTTTTTAAGTGGGAGAACTTGCACAATTGGTGGCTGACTAAATACTTTTTTCCCCCACTGTATGCATGACATCAAATATGTCTAGACCCCATAGAGATCCTAATAAATTAGTATTCTAATTCCTGATTCTATGCTAGAGGCATTGTTGACGTCATTAGAAAATCAAACAGTAATCCACTCCACCGTGATAAGAAATTCATCAAACAGTTTTGACATATCACGTGGGATATGTTCCTGATTCTGAGATACTATATATAAACACCCCTCAACAGGAGATAAAAAATCTGTTGATCTATTTCACAAGTTTCTGGGTGGTTTCTGCATGTGTTGAGGAATGGGTGTGGGATCTCTCAGAGCATGTAATTACATCAACCATGTCTTGCATTACATAAATAATGTTATGTACCATGCAAATATACATTGCCTAATGCTGCAGTGCTATACCTCATGGAGACAGTGCTCATTGTTAATTGCACATGATGGATATACAGTGCCCTCCACTAATATTGGCACCTTTGGTAAATATGAGCAAAACGGGCTGTAAATTTTTTTTATTTGCTGTTTATCCTCTTGGTCTTTCATTCAAGATATTCACAAAAATTCTAGATAATTTAAAAAATGAATGTGAAATAAATTAAATAAATATTTTTCTCCCGAAACATGTGTGCCACTATTATTGGCAGCCCTAGAAATTCTTATGAGTAAAATCTAACTGAAGTATATTCCCATTCATATTTTACATTTTTAAGTTCACCTAAGTGATTGGGAACACTTAATTGGTAAGCCATGACTTCCTGTTTCACTGGGGTATAAATATTTTACATTTACATTTACGTCATTTAGCAGACGCTCTTATCCAGAGCGACTTACAAATTGGTGCATTCACCTTATAGCCAGTGGGATAACCACTTTACAATATGTTATTTTTGTAAATTATTTTTTTGGTGGGGTAAAGGGGGGTAGAAGGATTATTGTTTCAAGTGTCTCCGGAAGGTGGTGATTGACTCCGCTGTCCTAGCGTCGTGAGGGAGCTTGTTCCACCATTGGGGTGCCAGAGCAGCGAACAGTTTTGACTGGACTGAGCGGGAACTGTGCTTCCGCAGAGGTAGGGGGGCCAGCAAGCCAGATGTGGATGAACGCAATGCCCTCGTTTGGGTGTAGGGACTGATCAGAGCCTGAAGGTATGGAGGTGCCGTTCCCCTCACAGCTCCGTAGGCAAGCACCATGGTCTTGTAGCAGATGCGAGCTTCAACTGGAAGCCAGTGGAGTGTGCGGAGGAGCGGGGTGACGTGAGAGAACTTGGGAAGGTTGAACACCAGACGGGCTGCGGCATTCTGAGGTGACATACAGGCCAAGTTCCCATAGTCATCCATCACTATGGGAGAGATCCGAGAATACACTAATGATGTGCGACAAAAGGTTGTTGAGCTGCACAAATGAGGAAATGGCTATAAGAAAATAGCTCAACGGTTGAAAATGGCCATTTCCACTATCAGGGCAATAATTAAGAAGTTTAAAGCAACGGGAGATGGTAACAATCGGCCTGGAAGAGGACGTGTGTCTATATTGACCCCACGCACAGTGAGGAGGATGGTTCGAGTGGCCAAAAAATCTCCAAGGATCACAGCTGGAGAATTGCAGACGTTAGTTGGGTCTTGGGGTCAGAAAGTCTCCAAAACGACGATCAGATGCCACCTACATAACCACAAGTTGTTTGGGAGGGTTGCCATAAAAAAGCCTTTGCTGTCATTGTGGTTGGATCTTCCAGCAGGACAATGATCCAAAGCACACCTCAAAATCAAGACATAAATGGTTCACTGACCACAGAATCAAGGTTTTGCCATGGTCATCCCAGTCCCCTGACCTAAACCCCATAGAAAACCTGTGGGATGAGCTGAAAAGGAGAGTCCACAAGCGTGGATCTGGAGAGATTCTGTATGGAGGAATGGTCTCAGATCCCTTGCCATGTGTTCTCCAACCTCATTACGCATTATAGGAGAAGACTCAGAGCTGTTATCTTGGCAAAGGGAGGTTGCACAAAGTATTTAGTGAAGGGGTGCCAATAATTGTGGCACACATATATTTGAGAAAAATATTTGTTTTATGATAATAATCTATTTGTTCTTTCAATTATATTACTTAAATTAAAGGTTAGATTTCTGTGAATATTTTGAATGAAAGACCAAGAGGATAAAAAATAAATAAAAAAATTCACAGCCTGTTTTGCTCATATTTACCAGGGGTGCCAATATTAGTGGAGGGCACTGTATGCTACTCCATTTGTTTGGATGTGATGTGTGAAGCGTTATCTTATGGGTTTGGTGATTGTTCTGTGGGATGTAGAATGTGATGTGAAGCTCCTGGGCATGTGGCTGTCGAAGCTCCTCCACTGAGCTGCTGCTGTGAGCAGGAGTGGGAGAGAAGCCCATGCTTAATAAACAGTGACACTCTTCTTTTCTTCTGTCGCTCATTCTCCTGCCTCTCCATCTCAAAGGCAGCCAAATATAGAGAAGGGTGCTTAAAGAGGCAGCCATGTGCACACACACTCAGAATCACACTCTATTTATAGGTTTGTCTTATTCCAGAGTATACTTATGGTCCACACGGTATGGTTCTATGTTTTTTCACTCTGTGATTGAAAGTAGTTCTCAGAATAGATGCTAATTATGTGTGTGATTATGTAATGTAAGGAGTATGCCTTCAAATCTAAAGCATCGCAGATTGAGCTGCTGTGGAGTTTTGTGTTGGGCTTGGTCTGATTACAGAGTTTTAGATTATGAATTTTGAACATGGGCATGAAAGGGCTCATTTAGTTATTTGGAATTCTTTGACTTGCGTTTCACTTGATTAGTTTAATTACCTTAATTGTTTGATTAGAAGATAATATTTAATTATGATTAAGAATAGCACTAAAAGCAGCTTTTGTATAGGGTTTCTAAACCATGTTTCCTATACAAGCTAAACATGTTACTAGAAGAATACATTTAGGAAAAGGAATGTTATAGTCCATTTATGTAATGTTGTTACGACATTAAACATCAATTCAATGGTGCTAATAATTTCCCATTTGATAACTGTAAAAGGCGGTGTGGTATAACAGAATGACATGAAAAGGTAAGTGCCAGAGATAAAAGGGTTGAGTCAGCCCCACAGCTTTCAGGAGAGGTTGTGTATATAAAGTGTTTACTGCAATTTGTCTCTCTCCCACGCTTTTTATTCTCCTGCAGATTAGTGGCTACATCCCTCAGCTCTCTAGATAAGACCTGCTAAAGACACCAAGACACTAAATACAGAGAGCATTGAGAAACACAAGACACATGTCACAGGTACTATTATGTTTGATATACTCTGTGTGTGTCAAGTTACTCTGTGTTTGTCTATTTTTTTTATTTTTTTTTAAATTTTACCTTTATTTAACTAGGCAAGTCAGTTAAGAACAAATTCTTATTTACAATGACGGCCTACACCGGCCAAACCCGGACGACACTGGGCCAATTGTGCGCCGCCCTATGGGACTCCCAATCACGGCCGGTTGTGATACAGCCTGGAATCAAACCAGGGGGTCTGTAGTGACGGGGGTCTGTAGTGACGCCTCAAGCACTGAGATGCAGTGCCTTAGACCACTGCGCCACTCAGGAGTGTGTGTCTATGCTTATTTGTTCATGTCCTATGACTGACTGATGGTTCTCTGCTCTGAGACTGTGCTGTTGTTATGTGGTGTACTGTACTCTGTGTTGTCACTCCACATTGATGTGGTTCCCTGTGTTGCCACCATGTGCTGTGACTCTATACCATAACCCTTTTTTGTGTGTTATGTTGTGATTGTGTTAGTGGTAGCTCTCCAGTATGTACTGTGATTGTGTATCTGCACCCGTGACATTCAGTGCTCCTCAGGGGCTCTAATGGCTTCTTTAATTGCATCCGTCACCCCACTGGCTCATCTCTTAAACCACACATACATACTGAGATGTGTAGCTTGGCTTAGGAGGGACAGAAATAACTTCCTATAGCTTAAAGGAAAACCACCCCCAAAACTGTTTTGATATTTGTTTCATTAGTCCATTGTTGATATAGTCCCAAAATGTTTTGCATGTCAGCAATCAAGATCTCAAGATATATAATGTTCAAAATACAGAAATACAGCCGGTGTGATGAATTTTGCATCATATGATGCTGTATTTTGAAAGTTATATATCTTGAAAACTTGATTGCAGTTTTTCCTTTAAGCTTTTACCTCACCATTTCTTCATAGTGGGCTGGGTTCAAAGGAGATTTGGCAATGGTCATTTATTTTTACATAATGGACTTAAATGTTCTGTTGTCTTTCATGTGTTTTCCTGTGAAGCACTGCTGCAATGATTCATCTATGTTTTCACCACTCGCACTACAAAGTCTTCTTCAACCCCAATAGCTGTGATCAAGGAAATGCTTAGCACAATCAACTTCAATCCATTGGTTCATTATAAATGGCCATGTTTACTGTAAGAAACAGCTGGAAAATATTATTACGTTAATATAAGGTTTTGGTCACCTGCAAGAGTTCAGTTGACATTGGGAAGATGAACTAATGCTGAAATGGACAAATAAAGCTGTCATGATAACATCCTCCATGTTGCTGTATTCAGATGGAACAGGAGATCTCTCTAGTCCAGAGTAAGATGTCTGATCTGGAGTCAGTGCTGCAGCAGAAGGATGTGGAGCTGAAAGCCTCAGAGACACAGAGGACCATCCTGGAGCAAGACCTGGCTACCTACATCACAGAGTGCACCGTGAGTGGCCCATGATCCTGACTCTGTGTGTGTGTGTGATTCCGTAAAGCAGATAGGGGTGGGTGCTCTTGTGTACTACATGCAGTGTTGCCAAGGGGCTTTATATACAGTTGAAGTCGGAAGTTTACATACACCTTAGCCAAATACATTTAAACTCAGTTTTTCACAATTCCTGACATTTAATCGTAATAAATAGTCCCTGTTTTAGGTCAGTTAGGATCACCACTTTATTTTAAGAATGTAAAATGTCAGAATAATAGTAGAGAGAATGATTTATTTAAGCTTTTATTTCTTTCATCACATTCCCAGTGGGTCAGAAGTTTACATACACTCAATTAGTATTTGGTAGCATTGCCTTTAAATTATTTAACTTGGGTTAAAACATTTCGGGTAGCCTTCCACAAGCTTCCCACAATAAGTTGGGTGAATTATGGCCCATTCCTCCTGACAGATCCGGTGTAACTGAGTCAGGTTTGTAGACCTCCTTGCTCGCACACGCTTTTTCAGTTCTGCCCACAATTTACTATAGGATTGAGGTCAGGGCTTTGTGATGGCCACTCCAATACCTTGACTTTGTTGTCCTTAAGCCATTTTGCCACAACTTTGGAAGTATGCTTGGGGTCATTGTCCATTTGGAAGACCCATTTGCGACCAAGCTTTAACTTCCTGACTGATGTCTTGAAATGGTGCTTCAATATATCCACATAATTTTCCTTCCTCATGATGCTATCTATTTTGTGAAGTGCACTAATCCCTCCTGCAGCAAAGCACCCACACAGCATGATGCTGCCACCCCCGTGCTTCACAGTTGGGATGGTGTTCTTCGGCTTGCCCTTTTTCCTCCAAACATAACGATGGTCATTATGGCCAAACAGTTCTATTTTTGTTTCATCAGACCAGAGGACATTTCTCCAAAAAGTACGATCTTTGTCCCCATGTGCAGTTGAAAACCGTAGTCTGGCTTTTTTATGGCAGTTTTGGAGCAGTGGCTTCTTCCTTGCTGAGCGGCCTTTCAGGTTATGTCGATATAGGACTCGTTTTACTGTGGATATAGATACTTTTGTACCTGTTTCCTCCAGCATCTTCACAAGGTCCTTTGCTTTTGTACTGGGATTGATTTGCACTTTGCGCACCAAAGTACGTTCATCTCCAGGAGACAGAACGCGTCTCCTTCCTGAGCGGTATGACAGCTGCGTGGTCCCATGGTGTTTATACTTGCTTGTTTGTACAGATGAACGTGGTACCTTCAGGTGTTTGGAAATTGCTCCCAAGGATGAACCAGACTTGTGGAGGTCTACAATTTTTTTTAGGTATTTGCTGATTTCTTTTGATTTTCCCATGATGTCAAGCAAAGAGGCACTGAGTTTGAAGGTAGGCCTTGAAATACATCCACAGGTACACCTCCAATTGACTCAAATGATGTCAATTAGCCTATCAGAAGCTTCTAAAGCCATGACATCATTTTCTGGAATGTTCCAAGCTGTTTAAAGGCACAGTCAACTTAGTGTATGTAAACTTCTGACCCACTGGAATTTTGATACAGTGAATTATAAGTGAAATAATCTGTCTGTAAACAATTGTTGGAAAAATCATGCACAAAGTAGATGTCCTAACCGACTTGCCAAAACTATAGTTTGTTAAAAATAAATTTGTGGAGTGGTTGAAAAACGAGTTTTAATGACTCCAACCTAAGTGTATGTAAACTTCCGACTTCAACTGTATGTGTGTGTTTCAGAGTCTGAAGCTCAGTCTGGAGCAGGCACGTATGGAGGTTTCCCAGGAAGACGACAAGGCTCTGCAGCTCCTCCATGGCATCCGGGAGCAGAGCAACAAGCTGCAGGAGATCAAAGAACAGGTAGAGGAGAGCGCCTTCTGTGGGGCAACAGAGGCCTGGTAGGGGTTGTGGGTTGTGGAGGGAGGAACACAAAGTTGCCCCTAAACGCTGTTTAACTGTAATGTTCAGGGTTAAGATTTGGGGAGGGTAAGCTGATCCTAACTCAGTGCCTACGGGCAACTTCTACCCAGAGTGCTGTGGAGAGATGTACTGTAAAGGGTTGACCTTGCCCATCCCTATGGTGTGTGAGTCGTGTGGGGTGTGAGGAGAGTGCTACCCCTGTCAACGCCGTGTTAATTACAGAGGAGGAGGGTGTTGAGGCTTCTCCACTGCTCCCTGTTTAGGTGGAGTCAGTAGACTATTAAACACCCTTGGTCTGGATTCCTGACTACATGGAACCATATTCATGTCAATGAGTGTTATTACTGTGGTTTCATTGCCTTTATCGAATAAGGGTAATTAGAGTTAGGCAGCAAATGAGAAAAAGCCTTGAGTGCCACATAATAATAGTCTGATAGCAATAGATGTTATAGTAGCGGTAGCCTTCTGTGAGGGTCAACATTGAGAATTTACTAGGTGTTAGCAGTATGCTGTCCAACAGTGGGCGTGAACTCAAATGCACTCTGTCATGCACTCAGGACTTATCCTGCCCATGAAGAAAGTCTCAGTGGACATCTCTCTAGTAGTGGCATGCCTTTGCATAGCTCAGCGCCCCAGTACTTCAAGGTGTCTCCTGTGTGTTCATCACTCACTACTCTCAGGGGTGATGTAGTGTCTCCTGAGTCTCTGCTGATTGAGGAGTGTAGAGGAAGGACAGATTCACGTTCAGCCCACCATTATCCAAATAGTGTGTGTGTGTGTCTCTGTGTGTGTGTGGGTGTGTGTTTGGGTGTGTGAGTGTGTGTGTTTGTGTGTGTGTGTGTGCGCGCAATGCGCATACAACAATGATCTGATTTGGTGAAGGGTTGCCAAGTTTGAGAATTAAGATATTGAAAGGTTGACAGCAGAGGACAGTGAGATGAAAAATCCGCCCCCCTCTCCTCCACCGCACAGAGCAGAATCCCTGGCATTGGTTACCAGGCACAGGCTCTATAGTGCAATGGTTGCCATGGCAATGTGAACCATCCATACCTAGAAGTGGAGAGTATGCAGTGCCGCTGATGCAGTAGGCAGGCTGTCGTGATGAGGCGATGGGGTTTTCGATCTTACATTATGGGAACCAGAGTGTTGGTGTTAACCCTGTCACTACCATTAACACTGCACTGTAGCCTTCACACCAATCCATGGTCATCCATGGTTGGTAAAGTTACCGCTTACTGATACAGCGCATCGGTCTGCTAATGCAAACCTGGAAATTAGCAATGGAAATTATTGACCCACTTATAGTTAAAGTTCATAAAGTGGTTTGTAATTGTCATACATGAGAATGAGTTATGCTATTTGATATTTTCAGAAGTACTTTCCTGCTTGATTCTGACCCAACTGAATGCTGCATAAGGTCTTGAACAGTGTCTCTCTCCCAGCGCTGTTTTAAGAGTCTGGAAGTCATATTCATATTCATGCAGAATGTATTCAGTGTTGGCACAACAAACATGGAAGATTGGGGATATGAGAGATAAAAGCTTTTCAGTGAGAGAAAGAGAAATCCATTGCAAGAAAATCAGTACATGCAAATTCTGTAATTTTGTGAAGCAGTGAGAACAAAACACTAGGCTAATTGGAAGAGATCCCTAGCACGCAGGCTGACAGACTATAACTGGGATAAGACACGTTTTCTACCTCTTAGTATTGTATTTGTGGATAGGTAGGTTTAATCCAGTTCTAATGCCTTCCTAAAGTAAGCTTCATTTGACCACTTTGTCAGCAAACTTATCTTTGGCACATACAAACATGTCTAAAGTTGATTAAAAGGAAGGATTATTCTGTTTTGTAAGGCAGAGTGACAAGGTAGAGGCAAAGCAGTGTTTTTTCCCAGGACCAAGGACCATTAGTCTCCCCCATCCTGAGAGGCTGCAGTGCAACTGTCACTTTCCCTGTCAGGGCTACACTTGCTGCATTTGAAGCTCCCATGTCAGGACGATAGGGAGACACTTTCTGTGTGAGTGTGATTGTGTGTGTGTGTGCGTGCGTGTGTGTGTGTGTGTGTGTGTGTGTTTGTGAGTTAAGTATATGCATACTCTTAATCAGCTCTTCTGGTGTGCACTGTTCCATTCTATTCACCCTGTATTCCCCCTTTCTCTCTCTCTGTCTCTCTCTCTTTAATCTCATCCCTTCCTTCCTCCCTCCTCCTCCATGGGTATCACTCAGCTTTGTGCTTAAGCCCAGGCCTAGTTCAGTTCTCCTGCTAACTGATGTTTAGGGCTGCCAGAGATTTGCTGTGATCCAGTCAGGGACCTAGGGGACTAGGGACACTGAGGAACTGATATGCTGAGTCGGCCCGCTGGCGAAACACACTGTAATTTTGTGTGAAGATCTTTTCCCACTTGAAATGGATTTGAATTTGACTCTACGAAGAGATTAAATGAAAGGTCCCTGTGGTTTTAGGTTTATTCAGTTGATGCAAATATAGCTCAAGTGAAAACCTTTAATTATCATTCCAATGATCAATTTAATTTACTGTTTGCTTTTTTCTTCCTCAATTCATAGAGTCATGTCATTAATCCTATTTGACAATGCCAATCATCATTTACTCAAATAGCAAATGCTTTTTGTATCTTAATTAACGTTATATAGGAGATCCAAACATAATTTGGGAGGAAATTATGCTGATTATGAAATTCCGTTGTCTTTCATTTTAATTGTAAAACATGTCATGAGTCACTTATTACACATTAAATTAGAGGATGCAAAATACATTTTATTTTGTTTCTATAATAGTTAATGACTCATAAAGTGTATTCCTGTCACTTACTGTAGACGACAGGCGGACGTCCTCGGAGGCACGCTTTAGGGGTTGATGGAGGAACACTTAGCAAGGTTTGAAACTTAATGGAAACAGGAGGATAACTTTTAATTGAAAAGGGACTGACGAGGCACTGGCTGGTGCTGCTGATGCTATCTGCTGCGCCTGTCGGGTTCCATTGTCAGGGTGTCCTCACCCTCCCCAGGCACAGAGGCCATGCTACTTTTCATTAACCTTTGTTAGTCCTAACCAGCCTGATAGACAGGACTGCTGCATGCCCCGTGACCAGACCATGAGATGGAAATGAAGGCTGTTAGCCATAGCTAATCATTCACTAGAAGACAAGGACACTAATTGATTTTAGCTGATGCACTTTTTCTCTGCCCCACCTTTTCTTGTTCCATAACGCTTTGTTCAATAGATTCCATTATACAGTATGTCATTTTCTGTCTATTCGTTGTACCTCTCCGCCCCATCCCTCCCTCTCTCATGTCTGCCAATCTAATCTCTTTCTGTGATGCTTTCCGTCCTTTCTATTCACTTGTTCCTTTTTGGCACTTATCCTTCCCCTCATGTCTTTCACCTCTGCACTCCTCCGCTATCTTTCTCTCTCATCCCTCGTTCCTCTCGCATCCCTCTGCAGGAGTACCATGCCCAGCTGGAGGAGATGCGCGTGGCCATCAGGCAGCTGGAGGAGGACCTGTCTGCAGCCCGTCGTCGTAGTGACCTGTACGAGTCAGAGCTGAAGGAGTCCCGTCAGACCAGCGAAGAGCTGAAGAGGAAGGCAGCAGACTATCAACAGAGGATGCAGAAGGTTCTGGAGCTATTCACTCTGATATTGATCTCTTGACTCAGACCCACATTCTGAGAAGTTGAAAGGCATGTGTTGGTTTAACTGATTTTCTGCTTTTTTTCTTACAGGCCAAGGAGCAAGGCAAAACTGACACGGAGGAGCTTCTGTCAAAGCTGGAGATGGTACAGCTTCAGTTCCATTGGCTCACTTGTTGACCTATATGATTCCATATGATCCTTCAAGGAATGCTGTTCAGTCAGTGGTTAGGAGACAAATGCCAAATTATAAAACAAAAGTTATGTTATCATGACATGAATGAAACAATGAAGATGGTTTGGGACTAAAACTCATAGGGACCAAGGAATGTGCAGCTTAAAAGGTTGATTTTCTCTATCTTTCTCTTTCTGTTTCAGACCAATACTGAACAGCAAGTGAAAATTCAGGATCTCCAAGATAAGCTTACCAAGGTAGAATATTTTGGTTGAAAACTTCATGGATAATTAATTAATATTCAGCATGTGCCGTGAGGGGAGAGGGGATGCTCACCACACACAGACGTGAAAAGTCATTTTTCTCTCCTGCTAATGATGCGTGTCAACTCCCCATTGTCCTGTGAAGCAGATGTTGAGTTGTGGCCTGAGAGTAATTCAACTGTCTCCGCTAAAACCATAATTAGTCAGTTTCAGTTTAATTGCCAGCTATCCAACTATTCTGCCCCTGTCATACAATGGCTGGTTTCTCCATTTACTATGTTTTATATAGATTAATATTCATTTAATACCCTTTTCGAAAAAGTTCTACTTTTTTTATCCAAATGGAATTCTCTAAGCTGTATGGTCCCACATTTTAGAGGCACAATCAATCACATTTTCACCCAGTTAATGGCTTAAATTATCAATCAACTCTTTAGAGCGTTAACTACAACAGTTTAACGTTATTTAAATGTAAGATAGATGACAGACAGTGTTTGTTGTACCCCGGCCCATAACACAGGCAGTGAAGGCAAGTAGTGAGACCACAGATCTCCTCCATAGTATTCGGGTGGCTAAGGAGCGCATGGAGCGTGAGCTGGAGAGGCTGCAGACCAAGGAGGACTCCAGTGACAGCCTCCGCAGACGCCTGAGGGAGACAGAGGTATACAGTACTGACACACATTAGACAATAACTGCAAAGAAAGGACTAATTGAAAGAGACCTGGATAAACTCACTGTTACTGCTGGTAGCAGATGTTCTCTAGCCTGAGCGGTGTGTGTATGTGTGTGTGTCTGTCTATGTGTGTGTGTGTGTGTGTAGGATGGCAGGAAGACCCTGGAGAACCAGGTGAAGAGGCTGGAGATAGTGGAGCGCAGGGAGAGTAAGCTGAAGGAGGACATGCAGAGCAAGGCCCAGCAGATCCAGCAGATGGCTGATAAAATCATGGTAAGGGGAGGGGAAAGAGGGCCCCTCAGTCCCCTTCCGGCCCTCACAACTTTGCCCCTTCGTTGGAGGATTGCTCTCCATCCGAGTGAGCATCACACAAGCCCTCCAGGAGTATGTGTGCTCACTGCTCATACACACACACACACATTCTCTCTATTAGTTATGCACACATACTCACACACGTATTATTCAGTCTGTGCCAAATCCTAACTTGAGATCTGCAAGCGTATGTGTAGTTTTTGCACATCTCCACGTTATGTGCGTGAATCTCACATTAGGATTCGGCCTTCACGCTCTGGAGATTATTTATATCGTGCTATCTCTCTGTCTCAGACCCGAAAGTGACAGATTGTGAACACAGATCATTTTTATTTTGTCTGAGAAAAATTATTTGTAGCATTTTATCCTTGCTGTACTGAATAATATCATGATGTTGGGTCCTGAATTGAAAAGGGTGAATTAACAATGTACTGTCACATGTTTGTGTGTTTGTTTGCATAGGACCTGGAGGAGAGACTTCGTGAGAGCCAGTCCACAGCCCAACGCGTGGAGACACACCTGGAGCAGAAGGAGAAGCTCTATGATGAGAAGATCAAGGTAGAGCTTCAGAGCCTCAAGGGACCTTTACTATTCATCACAAACATTCAGTACAGTATAATGTTATGGGCTACTGGTGTATTAACTTTGTTATGGGAGGTTGTCGGCTACAACAAGAGCACAGATTTCCTGGGCAGGTCCCTTGGATCCCAGTTCTGGGCCTTGATCCTGAGCTCTAGCATGGTTGATATTGTGTTTTATCTCTCTTATATTGACCAGGTTCTGGAGAACCAGATGAAGGCAGACATGGCAGATAAGGAGATGCTGGAATCCAGTCAGAGCAAGTATGAGGAGGAGGTCCAGGAGAAGTGCTGCATCATCAGTGAGCAGAAGGCGGTAAGAGCTGGCCAGCCTAGTAAGGATGTGGCCAGGACAATTTTTACAATAATCACATGGACTTGGTTTATTTTTCACATTAATCACACTGACTTGGTTTATTATAAACTTGCAATAACCTTTTGCTAGGCAACTGTGATATATTGTACATGTGATGTATTGTTTTGACAATAGTTGTGCAAACTGTCAGACATGTTGAGGCTGCATGTAAATGTGTGTTGAAACCTGTCTCTTCTGTCCATCCTAGACCATCAATGCCATGGACTCTAAGATGGCCAGCCTGGAGCAGAGGATTGCCGAGCTGTCTGAGGCCAACAAACTGGCAGCCAACAGCAGTATCTACACCCAGAAGAACATGTGAGTGTTGTGGACTATCTCAGGTAGTTACATAGTTAGTTAGTTAGTTAGTTAGGAAGATTGTCTACTGTGCTGCGTGTCTATTTATCTGTCTGGGCCTGACAGGAAAGCCCAGGAGGAGATGATCTCGGAGCTGAGGCAGCAGAAGTTCTACCTGGAGTCCCAGGCTGGGAAGCTGGAGGCCCAGAATGCCAAGCTGGAGGAGCACCTGGAGAAGATGAGCCAGCAGGAGCAGAGCAACAAGAGCCGAGTGCTGGAGCTGGAGACCAGGCTGAGAGAGGTGAGGAGAGAGCAAAGAGGAGAGGGGGAGAGGACGAGGGCAGACAGGGGAGGAGAGGGCAGAAAGGTTGGGGTCACAGGAAGGCGGAGAGTGAAGGTGAGAAGAGGAGGAGGAAAAGAGGGCAAGGAGCCAGGAGAGCAAAGAGGGATGCCAGATAGAGGGGTCATGTAAGGTGAAATGTCACGCTCCACTGTGGGTTGTTGATTTGCCAGATCAGCATCTCTCTGACTCACTGATCCAATGGACTCTCTCCTTCCTCTTCCTGACTCCTTTCTGTCGCTCCCTTCCCTCGGTGTGTCCCTCATGTCGTTAGATGGGCCTGGAGCACGAGGAGCAGAAGCTGGAGATCAAACGTCAGGTGACAGAGCTGACTCTGTCGCTGCAGGAGAGGGTGTCTCAGATCAGCGGGCTGCAGGCGGCACGCCACTCCCTGGAGAGCCAGCTGCAGCAGGCCAAGTCAGAGCTGGAAGACACCACCGCTGAGGCTGAGGAGGAGATCTGTGTTCTCAGAGTGAGTGCAGGAGGGCCATACATACCAGTCTACTGTTATTACTCCTGTTATTACTATGCTATTATGAAGTACAGCAGTACTGACACCAAACCTGTCTCTCTATCTGTCTGGTAGGCCCACCGAGATGAGATCCAGCGCAAGTATGATGCCCTCAGAGACAGCTGTGCGGTATGCCATCCCTTTGTATCCCTTGTTTTCTCTCTCTCTCTCTAGTGCTGTCTTTATCTTTCTCTCTGCTACCTCTCTTTACCCTGTCTCTTTCTCTCTCTTTCTATTCTCTCTCACTCCTTTCAGAATTAGAAGGCATTAACTGAGTTGAATCAGATAAGATCAGCTATTATAGATTTCCATTGGCCGTGTTTCCAGCCATCACACTCAATAAGGCCTTTGTTTTTCCAGGATAAAAGGAGACCATCAATTATGTTATCTATCTGTTTTCAATCCTCACTGCTATTTCTATTATTTTGAAAAAAATCAATTTGTTTTATGCGGTTCCTCCATATCTTTTTGCCAAGAATAGAACTAAGTCTTGTATTTAGGTTGATGTGATTAATAATATATACCCATATCTTTGATTTTCATATCTCTTTGTCAGCGAGCGCGTGAAAACTAACCCTGAGAAGATGAGGTTATTATGTTGTGGTGGGGGATTTAAAAACCTTCAAAGTCACATAGTTTGAATCACCACTGGGTCTCATCATGGTCTCTATTTATCCCCTTGCCCTACTTTTGTGATCCTCCCACTCACAAGCTGTTGAGAAAGAGTATTCTTCCTAGATTCGGCTGGCCGGTATTCAGGCAATCATTCCCAAGTTCGGAAACAAATTGAGGTTGTTATGCCTGGCTCCCCATGTCTATTTTTGTGTATGGCACCATTTGTTCTGTTCAGATCCTTGATGACACAGTACTTCTGGCAGCCCTGCACCATTCAAAAACAACAGAAATGAAACATGGGCAAGGTTGCATTGACATGAAGTAGTAGTATATCAATAACAGATACTGTTATGTACTGATGACAAGTGTTCCGTAACAAGCCTGGAGGTAAAGGTCTGGGTCCTTTGTCTGTTGTTGGGAATTAGCTAGGTTTTGTTTACACATTTTTAGAGGGTAGTGAATTCAAACCAAACCCACTGTAATTAATCACAAACATTCGGATGTTAGCACCAGTTTTTATCTACCCTGGTTACTGCTACTAGACTGTACTGTGTTTCTGTGTATCCTTTAAGGAAACTACAGAGCTTCAAACATGTCTTGTTCTGGGGTGTGGTGGTGTGTTTGTGTTATCATGTGCACACAGTAGGATGGAGAGAGTACATTGCTGATGGACAGATCACGGCTTATCAATCCCATTGTTGACCTCCCATCTCTTAGTATTTTGTCATTTCTGTCAGTCCTCAGCCCCTAGGGCCTGCTATAGAGAGATGATTTATGTACATAAAAGGTTTGTTCACTCCACTGCCCGGTAGTCCTACATGGTACAGAGCAGCCAGGCTCCCCAGAAAGAGGAATAACATCTAACTCAGGTTCAGCCACCTCTAACCTTCATTTGCATAGAGTATGCACACCATTTATCCTGGCTAATTAAGAGGACAGAATAGTGATGATGAATTGATTATGCAGCTTCCTGCTCAGCCTGGAGAGAGACATGAAGGCTGTCTAAGAGAAGAACGTTTCCATGGATATATATCTCTAATTGCAAAATGGGTGCCTTAGTGTGCTGTAATGCATGTAGCATTCACTGAAGGAAACTCACGTTGATTGTCTCAAGTGTATGGTAATCCAGCGATGCGCTGAGTGGGTTTCAATTAAATCCATATGTTCTGGTGAGGACTTTTCACTCTTATCTGTCAACGGTCATTTAAATTATGAATCTTATGCCCCTCCCCCCCTTCCCATTAATTGATCATTCTATTTCACTACATGGTGAACAGGTCCACCACTACATCTTACAGTAGTATACATTGAAATGATATACTGTTCTGTTGAGAGGCTGGTAATAAACCTAGTATAATTCTCCTCCCTCCCTCCCTCCCTCAGGTGATCACAGACCTGGAGGAGCAGCTGACCCAGCTAACCCAGGAGAACGCTGAGCTGAACAGACAGAATTTCTACCTGTCCAAGCAGCTGGACGAGGCCACAGATGAGACAGAGGAGCGCCTGCAGCTGGGCCAGGATGTGGACCGCCTCCGCCGCGAGGTGGCTGACCGCGAGATGCACCTCAACAACCAGAAACAGGTGTGACACATACACTCACACTCACATCCTGTACAGTTTACACACACTCTAACATGTTTATTTATATATATATAAAAAAATATTAGGGGGTAGATCAGCTTTAATATTGCAGATAGATTGTAACTTCCATCAATGTAATTGTCTGCATCACTTCCAATCCCCCATATGTTTTTTTTTCTTCTCGCAAATATATATATATATACATATACATACATACACATACATATACACATACATATAAATACATATACATATTCTTTAAAAAAATATATTTCCCTTTATTACTTTCCAACCCCACCACCCTTTCCCTATTTGGAGTAAACTAGTGAACAACAATACTTAGGCCTCTACTTCCAGCTTATACATACTATATACATTTTATGGACACAGTCAATTTTACAATAATTGAACTTCCTCTACCCTCAACCTCTCCGATCATTTTCATGATGTCCATCCAGTTTGCTTCTAAATGCCATATCTTTCTAAATGTGCTCTTTCATAAAAGCTCTCAACCTATAACCTATTTACTTATTATGGACACAGTATGCTTTACATTAGTTATCTTGTTGTTATTAGTTGTTGTTAGTTGTTATTAGTCCCATCCTTCAACTCCATTCAACACCTTCAATCTATCTCTTAACACCATCCATATTGGATTTCTATTTGCCATATATTTTTCAACTGTACTGTGATGTTTTACAAAAGTTCTGAACCCTTCTATTCTCATTGTTTCTACAGATTGTAAATTGAAAATAAACATTATATTGGTAGCAAGGATTTTGTATAATAACTTAAATTGGAAAATTCTAAGTTTTGAATGCGGCGTCGTTTTGCGTATCAGTTCATAAACACAATGCCATGGAATCGGTATGTCAAAAATCTCTTCCCAACTATTTTGCAATCTATATGGGATGGCTGTCAATCCTTTGGTCCTTAAATGAAACTGGTATACTTTTTTATTTATCACCATTTTCTTTAACCAATTATGTTCTTTAATGAAGGGCCGACAGACAAGTTCCTTACTTTTTCCCCCTTCCACTTTCCTCTTCCATTTTTGCGGTAATGCTGCAATTATTTGGTTGTAATTTTGGGTAGAGCAGACATTTCCATATGTTTTTGTTAGCTGCATGTGCGACATAACTCCACCAGTCCTACCTATGATATCATTTACAAAGATTATACCTATTTTTTTTAAATCAAAACATTATGTTTTTTTATCAATTAGTATATTTGAGTTTAACCACAACATTTGTTGCATTATTTGTTCTGTCGTTTCTGGAGGATTAAATTGAAATTGCAACCAACTTTCTATGGCTTGTTTTAGAAATAGTGATATTTGGGAGATTAATTCCTTTTAAAATAACTGAAAGTGAGTGGATGTAATCTGAATAAAGGGAAAAAGGCCTTTCTTGAACATTGGGTGAGACAATCTTACTAATTTGCTAGAGAACCAGTTCGGATTTAAGTATAACTTTTATATGACTGAAGCGTTTAGTGATAGGTCTAATGCTTTAATATTTAATAATTTCTGTCCTCCGAATTCATATTCATTATATAAATAGGCTTGTTTAATTTTGTCTGGCTTGCCGTTCCAAATAAAATTGAATATTCTTTTCTCATATAATTTAAAAAACGGTTCGCTAGGCGTAGGCAAGACCATATGCAAATAGGTAAACTGTGATAATACTAAAGAGTTAATCAGGGTGATTTTTCCACAAATTGACAGGTATTTACCTTTCCAAGGTAGCAAGATCTTATCTATTTTTGCAAACTTTCTATTAACATGTATTGGAGTGAGATCATTTATTTTATTTGGGATATGTATTCCGAGTATATCCACATCACCATCAGACCATTTTATTGGTAAACTACATGGTAATGTAAAATCTTTATTTTTTAGTGATCCAATACGTAATATAGTACATTTGTCATAATTTGGTTGTAATCCAGAGAGGTTAGAAAATGTATCTAGATACTCTATGAGGCTGTGGAGGGATTCAAGTTGTGGATTTAAAAGAAAACATGAATCATCAGCGTACAATGACACCTTTGTTTTTAAGCCCTGGATTTCTAATCCCTTGATATTATTGTTGGATCTGATTTTAATAGCTAGCATTTCGATGGCCATAATAAATAGATATGCTGATAGTGGACAACCTTGTTTCACTCCTCTTGACAGTTTAAAACTTTAGGAGAAATAGCCATTATTTACTATTTTACACCTAGGGTTACTATACATGATTTTAACCCATTTTATAAGAGATTCTCCAAAATTGAAATGCTCCAGGCATTTATATATAAACCCCAATTGTACTTTATCAAATGCCTTATCAAAGTCTGCTATGAATAGCAGGCCTGGTTTCCCAGATTTTTCATAGTGTTCTATTGTTTCCAGTACTTGCCTTATATTATCTCCAATGTAGCATTCACTGAAGGAAACTCACGTTGATTGTCTCAAGTGTATGGTAATCCAGCGATGCGCTGAGTGGGTTTCAATTAAATCCATATGTTCTGGTGAGGACTTTTCACTCTTATCCAATGTATCGTCCATGTAAAAAAACCTGTCTGATTAGAATGAATAATGTCCGACAATACCTTTTTAATTCTATGCGCTATTCATTTTGCTAGAATTTTTGCATCACAACACTGAAGTGTAAGGGGCCTCCAATTTTTTAAATGGACTGGATCTTTATATTTTCCACTTGTATCCTGTTTCAGTAATAAAGAAATCAGATTTTCTTCTTGAGTGTCTGATAATCTACCATTTACACAGGAGTGGTTAAAACATGCTAATAACGGTCCTCTGAGTATATAAAAAAAGGTTTGGTATACCTCGACTGGTATGCCATCCAACCCTGGAGTTTTCCCGGACTTAAAGTCTTTCATTGCATTCAGAAGTTCCTCCTCTGTAATTTCACCTTCACATGAGTCTTTCTGTATGGCTGTTCATTTTACATTATCAATAGAAAAAAATCTCTACAATTAGCTTCAGTTAGAGGAGATGGAGATGGAGGCGACTGAAACGAAAACATATGCTTAAAGTACTTTGCTTCCTCCTTCAAAATATAATTTGGTGAATCATGGGTGACTGTCATTTGTAACCAGTTTCAGTAAATTATTTTTGGTAGCATTTCTATGTTGAAGATTAAAAAAGAAGTTGGTGTATTTTTACCCATATTCCATCCAGTTTGCTTTTTCTTTTTGTTTTTCCTCTAATTTATTCTGAGCCTCTATGTTACAGTTTTTATTGCTATTTATCTGTTCTGTTAGACCTTCTATTTCCTTTGTTAGTATGGACTCTTTTGACCTAAATTGCTTTTGTTTTCGAGATGAGTACTGAATTGCATGGCCTCTAAAGGCACATTTAAAAGTGTCCCATACAATAAGGGGATTTGCTGTACCTATGTTATGTCGGAAGAAATCAGTTATACATTTCTCTGTCCTAGTTAAAAATAAGTTATCATCCAATAGGCTTTGATAAAATTTCCAATCTCCTTGCCCACGTGGAAATTCAGTAAGAGTAATGTATATGCCAATTATATGATGGTCCGACCGCATTCTGTCCCCTATCAACACTTTTTACGTTTGGTGCCAACGAGAATGACATAAGAAAGAAGTCAAGACGACTAGCTTGATTGAGTCTCCGCCATGTATATCTCACTAGATCAGGATATTTAAACGTCTGCTAAATGACTAAAATGTAAATGTAAAAAAATCTACTAGTTCTACTGTATCCATGACATTCACGATTTCCTTAAGAGCATGAGGGTGATAGTTTGTAGTGTGATTTCCTTTACGGTCCATTGAGCTATTTAAAACGGTATTATAATCTCCCACCATAATAATAGAGTCTTGTATTGCTTGCAGGGTTGATAATTTATTATATACATTGTCAAAGAAGTGTGGATCATCATTATTTGGTCCGTAAAGGTTAATGAGCCATATCTGTTTATGGTCCAATAACATATTTAAAATAATCCATCTACCTTGCGGATCACTCTAACATGTTACCGGAATCTGTTAAGAGAGCTCACTCTCTCTAGTTTTCTCATGTTCTCTTTTCCCCTCAATTCAATTCAATTCAATTCAGTTAAATAGGCTTTATTGGCATGGGAAACATATGTTTACGTTGCCAAAGCAAGTGAAATAGATAATAAACAAAAGTGAAATAAACAACACAAAATTTACAGTAAACATTACACAAAAGTTCCAAAAGATTAAAGACATTTCAAATGTCATCAAATGTATATATACCCCTCCCCCCTTCCCATTAATTTATCCTTCTATTTCACTACATGGTGAACAGGTCCACCACTACATCTTACAGTAGTATACATTGAAATTATATACTGATGTGTTGAGAGGCTGGTAATGAACCTAGCAGTGGGGGCTGGTGGGAGGAGCTATAGGAGGACAGGCTTACTGTAATGGCTGGAATGGAATAAATGGAAAGGTATCAAACACATCAAACACATGGAAACCACATGTTTGACTCCATTCCATCAATTCCATTCCAGACATTACAATGAGCCCATTCTCCTATAGCTCCTCCCACCAGCCTCCACTGGAACCTAGTATAATTCTCCCTCCCTCTCTCCCTCCCTCCCTCTCCCTCTCCCTCTGTCACACCCTGGTTCTGGGACTCATTATGTTGAGCCAGGGTGTGTGCATTCTATGTGTTTATTTCAATGTTGGTAGTTCTGTTGTGTCTATTTCTAGGTTGTTGTATTTCTTTGTTTGTATGACTCCCAATCGGAGGTAACGAGTGTCAGCTGTCGGCTCGTTATCTCTGATTGGGAGCCATATTTAATCTGTATGTTTTCCTGTGGGTGTTGTGGGTTTTTGTTCCGTGTTCGGTTAGTGTAACCGTTTTGGACTTCACAAGTCGTGTTTGGTATACTTTAATATAATAAAGTCATGTTCGTTTCACACGCTGCGCCTTGGTCTACTCTCCTTTACGACGATCGTGACAGAAAAACCCACCACAACGAGACCAAGCAGCGTTTCCAGGAGTTGGATGACGAGTGGTGGAGACAGAAGAGCGAAGGTTGGGAGAGGACTATAGAGGCCTGGTCCACGGAGAGGAGAGACCCCCAGAAATTTTTTAGGGGGGGGCTCACGACGTCGGGGCAGCAGGAGTACGGGTTAGAGGAGTGCAGTAGGTTGGCAGAAAAGGCCGCCAGGTTAAGGGGGCCACTGGTCACGAAGGGGAAGGAAGGTGTGGAGGCACGGCAAAGGGTACTGGGGTGTGTTACCAGTCCGGTCCGGCCCGTTCCTGATCCCCGTGTAGGGCCAGGGGTGTGTGTCCTCAGTGCGGTCCTGTCTGTTCCTGTTTCTCGCATGGAGCCTGTGGTGCGCGTCGCCAGCCCAGCCCGGCCTGTTCCTGCTCCCCGCACCAAACCTGTGGTGCGCGTCGCCAGCCCGGCCCGGCCCGTTCCTGCTCTCCGCACAAAGCCTATGGTGTGCGTCGCCAGCCCAGCCCGGCCTGTTCCTGCTCCACGCAAAAAACCTACGGTGTGCGTCGCCAGCCCAGCCCGACCTGTTCCTGCTACTCGCACCAAGCCAAGGGTGCGAGTCGCCAGCCTGGTCCAGCCCGTTCCTGCTACTCGCACCAAGCCAAGGGTGCGAGTCGTCAGCCTGGTCCAGCCCGTTCCTGCTACTCGCACCAAGCCAGGGGTACGAGTCGTCGGCCTGGTCCAGCCCGTTCCTGCTACTCGCACCAAGCCAAGGGTGCGAGTCATCAGCCGGGTTCAGCTCGTCCCTGCTACTCGCACCAAGCCAAGGGTGCGAGCCGTCAGCCTGATCCAGCCCATTCCTACTACTCGCACCAAGCCAGGGATGCGAGTCGTCAGCCTGGTGGGGCCCGTTCCGGCTCCACGCATCAAGCCTAGGGTGCGTATCGTCTGTCAGGTCCGGTCCGTTCCTGCCTCACGCGCCAAGCCAGGGGTGCGCGTCGTCAGTCCAGATCCTACCAGCTGGGTCAGATCGGACTGGGGGCGCTACGGGGGGATTGAAGAAGGGTGGTGGTCAAGCCCGGAGCCGGAGCCGCCTCCGAGGAGTAATGCCCTCCCCTGTTTGGGGTTTTTGAGGCGCGGTCGCAGTCCGCGCCTTTAGGGGGGGGTACTGTCACGCTCTGGCTCCGGGACTTTGTATGTTGAGCCAGGGTGTGTTCGTTTCGTTGTGTTTTGTTTGGTTGGTTTGTCATTGGTTGTGTTTGGTCAAATGACTCCCAATCGGAGGTAACGAGTGTCAGCTGTCGGCTCGTTATCTCTGATTGGGAGCCATATTTAAACTGTCTGTGTTCACCTGGTATTTGTGGGTTTTTGTTCTATGTTCAGTCGTTGTCACTGAGGACTTCATGATCGTGTTTTGTTTTGTATTCTCGTGTAGTTCATTAAAGTAAATATGTTCGCTACCAATGCTGCGCTTTGGTCCTATTTCATAGACGATCGTGACAGAAAAACCCACCACAAAAGGACCAAGCAGCGTGTCCAGGAGCAAGGTGATTGGACATGGGAGGAAGCGCCGGGTAAGGAGATCGAGAGGCTGGCGATGGCCCAGGTGGGCAAATCGTGGTCCTGGGAGGACATGCTCGGGGGCAAGGGACCTTGGGGGAGGATCAAGGCCCTGGCGAGAGAGGAGCAACGGCGTCAGCAGGGCCATCATCGGAGGGACGAGAGGCAACCCCAAGAAATTTTTAGGGGGGGGCACACGGCATGGACGACGGAGGCAAAGATGGGGCGAATCCAGGAGGCCACCAGGCCAGGGGTACACCGCCCTGTACGTCCTGTGCGGATGCCTCACACAGAGTGTGTGAGGGTAGGCATTCAGCCAGGACGGGTGGTGGCCGCTGTTCACTCCAGGCCTCCTATCCGTCTCCACAGCCCGGTCCGGCCTGTTCCTGCCACCCGCACCAAGTCTACGGTGTGCGTCGACAGCCCAGTCCGGCCTGTTCCTGCCACCCGCACCAAGTCTACGGTGTGCGTCGCCAGCCCGACCCGGCCTGTTCCTGCCACTCGCACCAGACCTACGGTGCGCGTCGCCGGCCCGACCCGGCCTGTTCCTGCCACTCGCACCAAGCCTACGGTGCGCGTCGCCAGCCCGGTCCGGCCTGTTCCTGCCACTCGCACTAAGCCAGGGGTGCGAGAAGTCAGCCTGGTAAGGCCCGTTCCTCCTCCACGCACCAAGCCTACGGGGTGCGTCGTCAGCCCTGTCCGGCTCGTTCCTGCCCTCCGCACCAGGTCTGTGTTGCGCGTCGCCAGCCCATTCCGGTCCATTCCTGTTCCACGCACCAAGCCAGGGGCGCGTGTCGTCAGTCCGGCTCCGGCCAGCGGGGCTAGACAGGACCAGGGGTACTGTGGGGGGTGTATCGGAGGGTGGTGGTCTAGGCCGGAGCCAGAACCGCCACCGAGGAGGTATGCCCGCCCAGCCCTCCCCTGTTTGGGGTTTTTGAGGCGCGGTCGCAGTCCGCGCCTTTAGGGGGGGGTACTGTCACACCCTGGTTCTGGGACTCATTATGTTGAGCCAGGGTGTGTGCATTCTATGTGTTTATTTCAATGTTGGTAGTTCTGTTGTGTCTATTTCTAGGTTGTTGTATTTCTTTGTTTGTATGACTCCCAATCGGAGGTAACGAGTGTCAGCTGTCGGCTCGTTATCTCTGATTGGGAGCCATATTTAATCTGTATGTTTTCCTGTGGGTGTTGTGGGTTTTTGTTCCGTGTTCGGTTAGTGTAACCGTTTTGGACTTCACGAGTCGTGTTTGGTATACTTTAATATAATAAAGTCATGTTCGTTTCACACGCTGCGCCTTGGTCTACTCTCCTTTACGACGATCGTGACACCCTCTCCCTCTCTCTCTCTTCCTTTCACACACACATTTCATTTCACATACCCCTAAACACACAAACTCACACACATCTCTCCTCACTACTCAACAATCAATTACAGGTGACACACACACACAAACAGACACACACACTTCACCAGCTAATGTGATTAAGTGGAGTTTACATCAGGCAGAAGATACTGGACTGTTCTTTTGTTATGTAGCTCTAGCTCAGTGAGCAGAGAGAGGAGAGGAGGCTGTTGTGAGGCTGTGCTCTGCCTCTGTGAGAGGTGGTGTGTGTAGGCGTTCAGTAGCCAGATCTCTCAATCTCTCTGTCCTAGCTAGTGGTTGTGTAACCAGGGATGGAAGTCATAGATGAGGGATCCGACCGTGAGTGGGAGGGATGTGTCATCCACATCGTTCCCAGGTAGTGTCAGCCCTGGATGCGTGGACTTCAGAGGGCCATGGTGCTGCTGCAGTTATATTTGTATCCCAGTGTTTGTCTCAAGCAGAGGAATAGGAAGCATAAAAACCTAGCTCAGTATGAGCCCATGCACATTGTCGAAATGTATTGCATTCATGAATCTATAAAACTCTCAAAAAACGTTTAACTGTGGCGCACAACCTATTGATTATCAGAATATGACAATACTGATGTTGGTTTGGGATAGTATGTCCATTACGCAGAGGGCTGTCTTCATTAAGACCACAAAACGGCAAAAGAAAGTTCCTTAAATAGTTGTCTTAGTGTACGTTTTTTTTCCTGCAATCTCTCTGTGTTGTTCATGTTGTCTGTAAGAACAGAACAGACCAGTTGAAAGTTAAACAGTTGAATAGCATGCCTTCTATTCTCCTATTCTCATGTAACCCCTCCTATGTGTTCCATGTCCTGTGTCAGAACATTGAGACACTGAAGACCACGTGCACCATGCTGGAGGAGCAGGTCCTGGAGCTGGAGACCCTGAATGATGAGCTGCTGGAGAAGGAGAGGCAGTGGGACGCCTGGAGGGGAACCCTGGAGGACGAGAAGAACCAGGCTGAGAGGAGGACAAGGGAGATCCAGAGACTGCTGGACAACGAGAAGCAGAACAGGTAACACAAACACACACACACACCAACATACAAACACACACACACTCATATGGTCCCCTCTCTGATTCCTGTTCAGGCTGCGTGCGGACCAGCGCAACTCGGAGGCTCGTCAGTCTATTGAACAGGCAGTGAAGGAGCACAAGGCTGAGATCCTGGCCCTGCAACAGGCCCTCAAGGACCAGAAACTCAAAGCAGAGAGCCTCTCTGACACAGTGAGCCTTACGTGTATACCTGTTCATCTCTCTCTCTCTGTCTGTCTGCCTGTCTGTCTAAAGCAGACCTGTACATCTTTTCTTGCCTCTGGCCCTCTAGCTGAATGAACTGGAGAAGAAGCATGCCATGCTGGAGATGAATGCCAGGAGTCTGCAGCAGAAGCTGGAGAGTGAGAGGGAGCTGAAACAGAGGCTGCTGGATGACGTGGGTTATGTTTTCCTCTCATTCTGTGTGTGTTGTATTTGAGTTATTAATATCATGTCATGTTAAAAATGCCTCTGGTATAATCCAGTATGTTTGTGTGTCTTGTGAGAAGTGAAATATCACATCATGTTTATACTGTTTGTGTCCCTCCACAGCAAGGAAACCTGCAGCAGCAGATGGATGTTCAGAAGAGCCACATCTTCCGGCTGACCCAGGGCCTGCAGGACGCTCTGGACCAAACTGACCTGCTGAAGACTGAGAGGACTGACCTAGAGTACCAGCTGGAGAACATCCAGGTACAGCTACACACACACACTCACACACACGCACAAACACACACACGCAAACACACGCATGCATGCGCAAACACGCACAAACATAAACGCACACACACTCACGCGCATACACACACAAATGCATGCACGCGCACACACACACACAGTCTTGCACGCACACACACACACACACACACACACACTCACACACACACACACACACAAACACACACACACACATACACCCAGAGAGGTACATCAGTAGAAATTCATTGCATTAGTAATGTTCACTTAGCTCCACCTGCAGGCTGTGTTCTCCCATGAGAAAGTGAAGTTGGAGGGGACCATCACCCAGCAATCCAAACTCATAGACTTCCTCCAGGCCAGGGTGGACCAGGGGGGCTCCAAGAAGAAAAAGGTGAGACAGGACAGCTCACAACACAGGTACAGTGACACAGAGTACATGAATACATACATTATCATTTATAGAGCACATTTAACTAGCGTTTGCTATGGACCTTTTCATTTTACTCAGAATGTTTGCCAGTGACAGTTATTATGTGTGTGTGTGTATGTGTTTGTCCCAGGGTCTATTTGGTCGGCGCAGAGAAGACCTGCTGGCTGCCATGGCGGCCCAGGGCCAGTCCCAGGTGCCCCAGCAGGTGTCCCCTGTACCCTCTGTGCAGCCGGTGCCCCTGCAGTACAGCGACATGAAGATGGCCCTGGACAAGGAGCGCTCCCGCTGCTCTGAGCTGGAGGATACACTGCAGAATATGAGACTGGAGCTGCGCTCCCTACGAGAGGAAGGTAAGGACACTGTCATCTCAAACAGGAAATAATCCCACTAAAGACCACTGCTGTAGTCCAGCGCATGCTATCTCACTACAAGCAGCACATCAAACTCACACCAGGGCCAAACACCACTCCCTTGTGACTTTCCTTTGATTCCTCTCTCTCTCTCTCTCTCTCCTCCTAGATGCCCTTCTCTCTCTCTCTCACGGAGCCTACATCCTTTCCTCTCTTCCTTTCGCTTTCGCTCTATCCCTCTTCTATCTCTCTCGAGCGATAGAGTCTCTCTCTAGAAAGATCTCCGAGATGATCTCTCTCTCAAGAAACTCCTCCAACCTCCATCCCTCACATCCCGGTCTCTCCGAGCTCTTTTTCGCTGCTCTCTCCTCTCTGAGACCTCTCTCTCTCTCGCTCTTCCTCTCTCTCCTCTCTTCTCTCTTCTCTCTCGCCTCTCTCTCTCCTCTCTTCTCTCTCGCTCCTCTCTCTCTCCTCTCTCCTCTCTCCTCTCTCGCTCCTCTCTCTCTGTGTGTCTCTCACTCTCACACATATACACACATTCAGCAGTCCAATACAAGCCTGTGGACCATGGTGGTACCCCTGCTACCCCTGGCACAACGCGGCAGCAGATGATGATGTCTGCTATGGTGAAGTCTCCTGAGCACCAGCAGGGCCCGAGCAGCCTGCTGGCTACCTCTAACTCTGGCCGCAGGAAGGAGGTTGCCACCCCCGAGGGTGAGTCCTTCTGGAGAAGAAAAGGGGGAGTGTTTATGCCCAGCTAACACACACTGCACCAGATGAGACCTCTGTGTGGCCTTCAGCAGTGTGTCCATATTTCCATATAATGCAGTATAATTAAAGTGATAGACCACCCCTGACATAATGAAGATACTTTCCTGATGGCCACTACTGTCCTACAAAACTTCCTCTTCCTTCTAATGCCTTAGACCTTTGTCATTTTCCTCTCACACTCAACAGAGAGAAGGAGGGTCACTTTTGAAAGTAAGTTCTCCTAACTCATGGAGCACTCGATTTGCTATCCCCTCCCCTTTTGCCTCTCTACAACACTCCGAATGGGCCAGATTTTAAAAGCTCTGCACTAGGATCAAGTGGCAGATGTTTCTTTAGAGTATGGTATGCTAAGTTCTGGTTTCTAACGCTTGTATTGGAGTTTCCACTTTCCAGTAATGCCTCTCTACTGAATTATTCAAGCTCTGAAGTTAGTATTCACCAATGAATAATTGAAGTATTTTCATCTAATGTAACTTTATAATATATAATATGCCATTTAGCAGACGCTTTTATCCAAAGCGACTTACAGTCATGTGTGCATACATTTTTACGTATGGGTGGTCCCGGGGATCGAACCCACTACCCTGGCGTTACAAGCGCCATGCTCTACCAATTGAGCTACAGAGGACCACACTTTACATGTCGTAACATACATAAATCATAAATACATTTTTCTTGGTAGCTTATGGTAAAAGGGTCTACCACCATGTTGGAATATTGTATAAATGTTCATTCCTGGCCGCAGTCAGGTAAATAAATAATTGTAGAAATTTAATTCAAACCAGCAGATTGGATGATTGGACATTACCAGCTAACATAAAATCAACATATCATGTTAAAAAAGCCATTATTTGTTTGTGACACACAGTGTATGTGTCTGTATTCTACTTGGATAGATGAGACTGAAAACATTTATGTAGTTCTCTGTTGTTGAGCTAAACTTTCCTCCCTCTAAGTGCACAGCTTTGGAAATCTGAAGCAATTACCTTTACTTCTGTTTGCCTACACTCCAATCCATTGACTCTCACACAGCTATCTGCCCTGCACCTTAAACCACTGCAACCCAACCCAGACCTGCACACCTTACACAGGCCAGTTTTCTTTTCACCTTATACCGCAATGTTGGAACCACAGGAGGTTGGTGGCACCTTACTTGGGGAGGACGGGCTTGTGGTAATGGCTGGAGCGGAATAGGTGGAATGGTATCAAATACATCAAACACATGGTTTCTTTGTGTTTGATGCCATTCAATTCACTCCGTTCCAGCCATTATTATGAGCCGTCCTCCCCTCAGCATCCTCCACTGGTTGAAACATATTCCTCCAGTTCCCTCAATGAGAAGATTCCTGGATGCATGTGTTAAGTTCCAGTCATGAACTGATCACTGGTGGATGATGGGATCAATATGATTTACCTTTTTATTTCAGATCTTCTTATCTTTATCGTTGCCTCACTTGCACAACTGACATGGCATGGTGCACTGATTTTTTGTTGTTGTTGAAAAATGATAATTGTGGTTGCTATGGATACTTTCCCTCCTCACTGTCTTCCCTGGCTGTGTTCAGAGTATGGCCATCGCATGAAGGACAGTCAGAGAGACAGGGAGAGGGAGAGGGGGAGGCAGAGGGAGAGCATTCACCACAACACCCCTCACCGCTTCACCGTGGGACTCAACATGAGGGCTGCCAAGTGTACTGTGTGCCTGGATACCGTGCACTTTGGTCGCCAGGCAGCCACCTGTGTTGGTATGTTACGTTCCAACCATCCACTCCCCATCACAATGATCAGGCATGGCACATTTCTGTTGAGCAAGGCTTTTTCAGAAGGGTGGCCAGTACAGTATTGTGTTTCTGGCATTCCTAGTTTTTAACAGTATTTTATTCTCTCCTTCAGAATGTCATGCCTTGTGCCATCCAAAATGCTCCCCCTGCCTTCCTGCCATGTGCGGCCTGCCTGGGGACTGTGCCCTGCACATGGCTGAGGCACTGTGCCGGGACAAAGGCAGTTCTCCTGGCCTGCAGCTCAAAGAGGCCAGCGGACATGTTCGCCTGGAGGGCTGGATGAAGCAGCCAAGGTGGGTCTGGTAACTCTGGTGTGTGGACTTCATACCCACTACTACTGTGAAACAAATTTGACTAATAGGACTATACTATAGATCAACATTGCCTGTCTGCTTGCCCTTCAAGTTGATTCAATTTAGACTGATTGCTAATCCCTCCTACTGTATTTGATCTGAGATGGCTCTTTAGTGCTAAAGTATAGTTGTAGGCTACAGTATTATCCTCATCTGTTCTAGGCATTGACTATCTCTGTGATAGTCTATGCTGCGGGCCCTGTGACAGACATGTATGTTCTGTAGGAATGGGAAGCGTGGCCAGGGCTGGGAGAGGAAGTATGTGGTGCTGGATGGGACCAAGGTGACCATCTACGAGACAGAGTCCAGAGAAGGTCTCACTCCCTTTCCTGTCCCTACAGTACATATGATTATGAAATAGGTTGAACTCTTTTTTTTTACAATTCATTCTTATTCTATTTAGCTTACAGTGTTCTTGATTGATGCCAGTTGGTGCCTTTTAGTCTGTGTATTTCTTAGTGCATTTTGATTTCCCTCTGTTTGTGTTGTTCAGACTCAGTGAAGCCACTGGAGGAGTTTGAGCTGTGTCTGTCTGATGGAGAGGTGATGGTGCACGGGGCTGTAGGGGCGTCTGAGCTGCCCAACACGGCCAAGTCAGGTACACCAAACTTAGGCTATTATTAACTTATTAGTAGTATCATGATCTGTGCTTAGGAATGAACTGTCCCCTCGTTCCCTCACTGTGCTGTGGTGTGTGTAGATGTGCCGTATGTGCTGAAGCTGGAGTCCCACCCCCACACCTCGTGTTGGCCTGGACAGACTCTGTACTTCATGGCTCCCAGTTTCCCAGACAAGCAGCGTTGGGTGGCCGTGCTGGAGTCTGTGGTGGCAGGGGGGCGAGCATCTCGGGAGAAGGCTGAGGCAGATGCAGTGAGTACCACAGTACTCACCACTATGGAGTTAAATTAGTAGAATTATTTACTGACACACATATGCACAAACCCTAAACCTTACCCTAGCCCCAGTGGTGGAAAAAGTACCCAATTGTCATACTTAAGTAAAAGTAAAGATACCTTGATAGAAAATGACTCAAGTAAAAGTGAATGTCATCCAGTAAAATACTACTTGAGGAAAAGTCTAAAAGTATTTGGTTTTAAATATACTTAAGTATTAAAAGTAAATGTAATTGCTAAAATATACTTAAGTATCAAAAGTAAAAGTAAAAGTAAAATAATTTACAATTCCTTTGAAATCCTCTTAGATGTAAAGTCCCCTGTTTAGGGGATCTGCGTGGTTCTGGTACCGGTTCCGACCGACATTTTCGCTTATAAATCGATCTGTGGACACCGTAGATCGAATTAGTTTGCATTGAGCGATAGCCCTGGTCCCACGGACACAGAGTATATTTTCTGAGCCTGTGTGACGTAGGATGTGAAATCATGAAACCACTTGAAACTGGGATAGATGTGCCTCCTACCATTTAATTCGCTCTTCCGACTGTCCATCAACTCCTGGCTGAACCATATATCACATGCCTGCAATCGTTACATCCTAGTGCAGCAGGAGAGAGTGGCGTCATCACGGTAGCACTTTCAGTCAGAGATCGATTTATAGCCATTAATCTAAAATAATTATTAGATTTTGAACAAAAAACACTTTCTGGTTGTCACAAGATTAATATGAGATGAAAGGCAGGTTCCTACCGAGTTCAGGAAGACAAGCTCTGTGAGACGTTCACAACGATGTGGGCAGACGTTTTGAATAAGAGAGACCTTTAGAAAATATGCACATTTTCTCTAAAACTAAACATACAAATATGTATTTTACAGTTATAAGGAAAGTGAAATCTTATAGTTAGTCATTTTATAATTTGATTTACTATATTTAGAAAGCATATAAGTCATTTCAAGCCCTATTCATACATTTTTGTTGAATAGGAAATAAATCATATAAAATATTTCATATTTTCCTATTCTTTCTGGGATTATGTAGATTACATTTTCGATTACATTTAGTTACATTTAACTGGTTTAAGCAAACCAGAAGGCACAATTTTCTTGTTTTTTTTAAATGTACGGATAGCCAGGGGCACACTCCAACACTCAGACATAATTTACAAACGAAGCATGTGTGTTTAGTGAGTCCACCAGATCAGAGGCAGTAGGGATGACCAGGGATGTTCTCTTGATAAGTGCGTGAATTGGAATATGTTCCTCTCCTGCTAAGAATTCAAAATGTAACGAGTACTTTTGGGTGTCAGAGAAACTGTATGGAGTAAAAAGTACATTATTTTCTTTAGGAATGTAGTGAAGTAAAAGTAAAAGTTGTCAAAACTATAAATAGTAAAGTATAGATACCCCAAATAAACTATACTGAACAAAAATATAAATGCAACATGCAACAATTTCAAAGATTTTACTGAGTTGCAGTTCATACAGTATAAGGAAATCAGCAAATTGAAATACATTCATTAGGCCCTAGTCTATGGATTTCACATGACTGGGAATACAGATATGCACCTGATGGTCACAGATACCTTTAAAAAAAAAGGTAGGGGCGTGGATCAGGAAACCAGTCAGTATCTGTTGTGAACACCATTTGCCTCATGCAGCGTGACACATCTCCTTCGCATAGAGTTGATCAGGCTGTTGATTGTGGCCTGTGGAATGTTGTCCCACTCCTCTTCAATGGCTGTACGAAGTTGCTGGATATTGGCAGGAACTGGAACACGCTGTCGTACACGTCGATCCAGAGCATCCCAAACATGCTCAATGGATGATATGTCTGGTGAGTATACAGGCCATGGAAGAACTGACATTTTCAGCTTCCAGGAATTGTGTACAGATCCTTGCGACATGGGGACGTGCATTATCATGCTGAAACGTGAGGTGGTGGTGGCGGATGAATGACACGACAGTGGGTCTCAGGATCTCGTCATGGTATCTCTGTGCATTCAAATTGCCATAGATAAAATGCAATTGTGTTCATTGTCCGTAGCTTATTCCTGCCCATACCATAACCCCACCGCCACCATGTAAGGCACTCTGTTCACAACGCTGACATCAGCAAACCGCTAGCCCAAAATACGCCATACACGTGGTCTGCGGTTGTGAGGCCGGTTGGACATACTGCCAAATTCTCTAAAACAACGTTGGAGGTGGCTTATGGTAGAGAAATTAACATTCAATTCTCTGGCAACAGCTCTGGTGGACATTGCTGCAGTCAGCATGCCAATGGCATTCTCCCTCAAAACTTGAGACATCTGTGGCATTGTGTTGTGTGACAAAACTGCACATTTTAGCGTGACCTTTTATTGTCCCCAGCACAAGGTGCACCTGTGTAATGATCATGCTGTTTAATCAGCTTCTTGATATGCCACACCTGTCAGGTGGATGGATTATCTTGGCAAAGATAAATGCTCACTAACAGGGATGTAAACAAATTTGTGCAAAAATATGAGAGAAATACGCTTATTGTGCATATGGAACATTTCTGGGATCTTTTAATTCAGCTCATGAAACATGGGACCAACACTTTACATGTTGCGTTTATATTTTTGTTCAGTACAATTAAGTAGTACTTTAAAGAATTTTTACTTAAGTACTTTACACCACTGCCTAGCCTTAACCCTAACCCTAACAATAACCCTAGCTTCATGTCCACATCCCATTTCAACCCTAACCCTAGCCTCAACCACAACCCTAACCCTCAACCACAACCCTAACCCTAGCTTCATGTCCACATCCCGATTCAACCCTAACCCTCAACCACAACCCTAACCCTAGCTTCATGTCCACATCCCGATTCAACCCTAACCCTCAACCACAACCCTAACCCTAACTTCATGTCCACATCCCGATTCAACCCTAACCCTCAATCACAACCCTAACCCTAACTTCATGTCCACATCCCGGTTCAACACTAACCCTCAACCACAACCCTAATCCTCAACCACAACCCTAACCCTAACTTCATGTCCACATCCCGGTTCAACACTAACCCTCAACCACAACCCTAACCCTCAACCAGAACCCTAACCCTAGCTTCATGTCCACATCCTGGTTGTGCTCAACACTCAACAGTCAATCACAGGGCTCACTCAGCAATTAGAGAGAACTCATCGTTTACCATAAGAGTTTGGTATATGTTGGAAAGTGTCAGTCCTCATTCAGCTTTCACCTACATTATATATCTGTCATTAATGCCAGGTGGATATGTAGACCTGTTTCCCTGGCTATTGTCTTTTAAGGTAGTTGCTCTGTTTAGATGCCTGAGGTCTGACTCATCAAGGGTTAAAACATAATTTTTTACTGTATGGGGGTTATACTTTACATTTATATTTACCATCTGATTTTTTCTTTGATACAGCATACTTGTATGCTTGATATGACCCTAAGTATAATGGATGCATCCATTCAATATTTTATAAATAATTTTAAATTGTTTAGTTTTTTAATCAGGTGGTACATTTACTGCAGTAGTAAAGTTTTATAAACAATCCCTGATGTCTCTTATACATGGCGTTAATTGTCCCTCTTCTTCTCTCTCTCTCTCTCTCTCTCTCTCTCTTGCTCTCCCTCTCTCTTTCTCATTCCTGTTTGTTGCTTTTTCATCCTGTCATATTGTATGTCCCTGTATGTGGGCATGGTTTATTGATTTGCTCTATTCTGCCTGCTCCATGGGGTTTCACTGCACATAGGCTGCTGTGTCCAAAAGACAGATGGTTCTGTCTCCTCTGGTCCAGGTAAAGAGTCTAACGAGGTTACTTTTGTCTGCTGTCCTGTTGATACCAGACACACAGGCACTTAATACACACAATTACAATTACAATACATTTACGATTACAGTACAACATTTACAATGACAAAACTGAAAATAATTCTGTGCATGTTTGTCTTGAATGTGTGGTCATCTTTCCTGCTGTTCACCTCATGCTGTGACCACATGCTGGATGTCCTCACTGTTCTTTCCTCTATTGTCTTATCAAAGTTGTGTTTAGTGTAAGTGATTGTCTGACTGTTATAGCACCTGGCAACTATCTTTTGTTCAATATCTTTGATTAGATGTATTATGATCAGATCATTTGATAATCTTTTTTGCTATTTATTTCTTTACTCAAATGTTAGATTTATCATGTTTTGCGAGGTGTTCAACTTTCATGACGAGTGAACATAGACTCCTCACAAAGCCTATTACAGTAATATAACCAGCCCTATGCATGCGATAGGCCTTCCTGTAGCCAGGACAGGTGTCTGGTAGTACCGTCAGCTTCCACTTCTTACCCTGTAGAGCACGTGTCAAACGCATTCCACGGAGGACCGAGTGTCTGCGGGTTTTCAATCCATCCTTGTCCTTGATTGATGAATTAAGGTCACTAATTTGTAAGGAACTCCCCTCACCTGGTTGTCTAGGTCTTTAACTGATTGGAAAAACCAAAAACCCACAGAAACTCAGCCCTCTGTGGAATGAGTTTGACACCCCTTTTGTAGTATCTCTACCCCCTGTTCACTCTGCCAAAATACCCTTTCTGCACCCACCCGTTCTACCTTAATATAGACCCTCTTTCTGTTCCTATACAAACCCTGACAGCTTCCCGACTGTGCCTCTCCCACCATATTGAAGCTGTGAGCCTCCTGACCCTCTGTTTCTGTCTCCCGTTCACCAGAAACTGCTTGGGAACTCTCTGCTGAAGCTGGAGGGAGATGACAGGCTTGACATCAACTGTACACTCCCCCTCACAGACCAGGTAATATAATGGAGAGCAAACCAGACTTTGAGTAGTAAGGGTTGATAGTTTTTCTATTCCCCATGCCACTGTTACATCTGTGTTGATAACATATGCACTTCATGTAGTCCCACAGTGTACAGTACACTACCAGTGATGTGGGTGTGGTCTTTCCCCTCCCATAGATAGTGTTAGTGGGCTCTGAGGAGGGTCTGTACGCCCTGAATGTGATCAAGAACTCCCTGACCCACATCCCTGGCCTGGGCTCCGTCTTCCAGATCCACATCATGAAGGAGCATGAGAAGCTGCTGATGATTGTTGGTATGATAGCCGACTTGACTCAATCAGTGATAACAGCACATATATACAGTACATTGTCAACTGTCTAATTTACAGTGGGGGAAAAAAGTATTTAGTCAGCCACCAATTGTGCAAGTTCTCCCACTTAAAAAGATGAGAGAGGCCTGTAATTTTCATCATAGGTACACGTCAACTATGACAGACAAATTGAGAAAAAAAAATCCTGAAAATCACATTGTACGATTTTTAATTAATTTATTTGCAAATTATGGTGGAAAATAAGTATTTGGTCACCTACAAACAAGCTAGATTTCTGGCTCTCACAGACCTGTAACTTCTTCTTTAAGAGGCTCCTCTGTCCTCCACTCGTTACCTGTATTAATGGCACCTGTTTGAACTTGTTATCAGTATAAAAGACACCTGTCCACAACCTCAAACAGTCACACTCCAAACTCCACTATGGCCAAGACCAAAGAGCTGTCAAAGGACACCAGAAACAAAATTGTAGACCTGCACCAGGCTGGGAAGACTGAATCTGCAATAGGTAAGCAGCTTGGTTTGAAGAAATCAACTGTGGGAGCAATTATTAGGAAATGGAAGACATACAAGACCACTGATAATCTCCCTCGATCTGGGGCTCCACGCAAGATCTCACCCCGTGGGGTCAAAATGATCACAAGAACGGTGAGCAAAAATCCCAGAACCACACGGGGGGACCTAGTGAATGACCTGCAGAGAGCTGGGACCAAAGTAACAAAGCCTACCATCAGTAACACACTACGCCGCCAGGGACTCAAATCCTGCAGTGCCAGACGTGTCCCCCTGCTTAAGCCAGTACATGTCCAGGCCCGTCTGAAGTTTGCTAGAGTGCATTTGGATGATCCAGAAGAGGATTGGGAGAATGTCATATGGTCAGATGAAACCAAAATAGAACTTTTTGGTCAAAACTCAACTCGTCGTGTTTGAAGGACAAAGAATGCTGAGTTGCATCCGAAGAACACCATACCTACTGTGAAGCATGGGGGTGGAAACATCATGCTTTGGGGCTGTTTTTCTGCAAAGGGACCAGGACGACTGATCCGTGAAAAGGAAAGATTGAATGGGGCCATGTATCGTGAGATTTTGAGTGAAAACCTCCTTCCATCAGCAAGGGCATTGAAGATGAAACGTGGCTGGGTCTTTCAGCATGACAATGATCCCAAACACACCGCCCGGGCAATGAAGGAGTGGCTTCGTAAGAAGCATTTCAAGGTCCTGGAGTGGCCTAGCCAGTCTCCAGATCTCAACCCCATAGAATAAATAATAATAATATGCCATTTAGCAGACGCTTTAATCCAAAGCGACTTACAGTCGTGCGTGCATACATTTTTGTGTATGGGTGGTCCCGGGATCGAACCCACTACCTTGGCCTTACAAGCGCCGTGCTCTACCAGCTGAGCTACAGAGGACCACAGAAAATCTTTGGAGGGAGTTGAAAGTCCGTGTTGCCCAGCGACAGCCCCAAAACATCACTGCTCTAGAGGAGATCTGCATGGAGGAATGCGCCAAAATACCAGCAACAGTGTGTGAAAACCTTGTGAAGACTTACAGAAAACGTTTGACCTGTGTCATTGCCAACAAAGGGTATATAACAAAGTATTGAGAAACTTTTGTTATTGACCAAATACTTATTTTCCACCATAATTTGCAAATAAATTCATAAAAAATCCTACAATGTGATTTTCTGGATTTTTTTTCTCATTTTGTCTGTCATAGTTGACGTGTACATATGATGAAAATTACAGGCCTCTCTCATCTTTTTAAGTGGGAGAACTTGCACAATTGGTGGCTGACTAAATACTTTTTTCCCCCACTGTTTTTGTCAGTCAGACTGAATTGAAGGGAGGGGTAATGTCTGTGTTTGGCCTGTAGGAGATGAGAGGGCGCTGTGTCTGGTGGAGATTAAAAAGGTGAAGCAGTCTCTGGCCCAGTCCCACCTGCCTGCCCAGTCTGAACTGGCACCTTTTATCTTTGAGACGGTCAAGGGCTGCCACCTCTTCTCTGCAGGCAGAGTAAGTCTAGTGGTTTTTCAGTGGTTTGGGGGCATTGATTCAATTGGTCATTCTTTGGCCGAAGAAATGCTAATCCTTTATCATAACTGTCACTGACTTTGTGGATTTGTCTGTCTACAGATAGATAATGGGCCCTGTATCTGTGCTGCAATGCCTAACAAGATTACAATTCTGCGTTACAATGACAATCTCAACAAGTTCTGCATTCGCAAGGTGAGTATCACCTCAATGTGGAAACAAGTTATCAGATGGAACGATAAACATGTCATTTTCTGGTTACAGAGGAAATGGAATTGACTCTCAAGACAGCTCACAGTGACTAGACATGCACCTCATTTATATTGAACTGTAACTGAAGAAAAATCTGTTCCTCCTATCAGTTCATCAATTGTCTTCCCTCGCTAGTTCCCTAACAACTTCCTTCCTCCACCACTCTATCAGGAGATAGAGACTCTGGAGCCCTGCAGCTGCATCCACCTGACCAACTACAGCATCATCATCGGGACCAACAAGTTCTATGAGATTGAGATGAAGCAGTATGTGCTGGAGGGTTAGTGTTTTTTATTGTTGTAGTTTCTCTCAGTAAACCCACTGGAACTCATGTGTACCAGACAATGAAATGTGAGCAATCCAAAACTGCTACATGTAAATGAGCCACTCTACTATTCACATTTTAAAGGTTGATGCCACTAAATTATTTCCATGGTTAATCTAATGCTGATTCTATATTTACATTTGAGTCATTTAGCAGATGCGCTTATCCAGAGCAACTTACATGAGCATTTAGGGTTAAGTGCCTTGCTCAAGGGCACATCAACAGACTTTTCACCTATTCGGCTCGGGGATTCAAACCAGCGACCTTTCAGTTACATGCCCAACGCTCTAAACCGCTAGGCTACCTGCCGCCCTATCTGTCACAGATGTACTCTGTGTCGCCCCTGTAGAGTTCCTGGATAAGAACGACATGTCGCTGGCCTCGGCGGTGTTTGCTTCCTGCTCCCACAGCTTCCCCATCTCCATAATGCAGGTCACCAGCACTCTGCAGAAAGAGGAGTACCTGCTCTGCTTCCATGGTGAGATCTGCCTTGACATTTGCAACTGCAATAAATTCATCTTACCATAGTGATATTGTATGACCTTTTTTACTGTACATATCGGATAAAATTGTGTTATATTGTCCACACACAACCACAGAATGATTGTAAAACATTCCAAGGTACATTCATCAACACAGTAGTTAAGGACTATTGTTCTGTCACAGAGTTTGGAGTGTTTGTGGACGCATATGGACGAAGGAGCCGCACTGAAGAAATCAAATGGAGTCGTCTGCCCCTGGCCTTTGGTGTGTACAGTAGCTTTATCTTCATATAGTACATTTCTAATAATGTTGTATGCGTTGTGGTGGATTTTATGTAATATTGTCATAACAAGAATATTGCTACAAATGTGAATGTGAGTACTAGTAGCCTATGTCATGACTTTTGTAATGTAACCCTTTCCCTATCTGTATTGAACAGCTTACAGAGAGCCCTACCTGTTTGTGACATACTTTAACTCATTGGATGTGATCGAGGTTCAGGGACATGCTGCACTTGGGTAAAGGAAAACGACTGAAACACAAACTCACACAATAAGAACTTGCACATGACAAATGCATCAGTATTTATCTTAGTAGGCCTATGCAACCACAATCAATACCACAAATTGAGAAGAATACACACAATTATAGAGAAGTGATCTCCAATAATGTTCCCCATGTCTTATTTCATTGTGCTAAATGGCAGACGTTATTGATTTTAGCATGATGTTATTCATTCCTCTCAACTCTCTGAATTGAATGATGGGTATTGTATTTCCAGACTTGGGGCTAAATTAAATCAGATTGACATCCGCATCGGTTGTTTTGGCGGTGTCGGAGGTGGAACTGGAGCTGTCAAATCCACAAGCGGCTCGCTGCGTCAACCTTTTACTGCAGTGGGCTAAATCAGGGTCAGACAGAGTTTTTCTTTGGTAGTCTTAAACAAATCTACTTTGAAACAAAAGTATACACCTTACACACATGGATATGGGCTTAAAAAAAGAAGACACCTACAGTGAGGGAAAAAAGTATTTGATCCCCTGCTGATTTTGTACATTTGCCCACTGACAAAGAAATGATCAGTCTATAATTTTAATGGTAGGTTTATTTGAACAGTGAGAGGCAGAATAACAACAGCAAAATACAGAAGAACGCATGTAAAAAATGTTATAAATTGATTTGCATTTTAATGAGGGAAATAAGTATTTGACCCCCTCAATCAGAAAGATTTCTGGCTCCCAGGTGTCTTTTATACAGGTAACGAGCTGAGATTAGGAGCACACTCTTAAAGGGAGTGCTCCTAATCTCAGTTTGTTACCTGTATAAAAGACACCTGTCCACAGAAGCAATCAATCAATCAGATTCCAAACTCTCCACCATGTTCAAGACCAAAGAGCTCTCCAAGGATGTCAGGGACAAGATTGTAGACCTACACAAGGCTGGAATGGGCTACAAGACCATCACCAAGCAGCTTGGTGAGAAGGTGACAACAGTTGGTGCGATTATTCGTAAAAGCTTGGGGCTCCATGCAAGATCTCACCTCGTGGAGTTGCAATGATCATGAGAACGGCGTGGAATCAGCCCAGAACTACACGGGAGGATCTTGTCAATGATCTCAAGGCAGCTGGGACCATAGTCACCAAGAAAACAATTGGTAACACACTACGCCGTGAAGGACTGAAATCCTGCAGCGCCCGCAAGGTCCCCCTGCTCAAGAAAGCACATATACAGGCCCGTCTGAAGTTTGCCAATTAACATCTGAATGATTCAGAGGAGAACTGGGTGAAAGTGTTGTGGTCAGATGAGACCAAAATCGAGCTCTTTGGCATCAACTCAACTCGCCATGTTTGGAGGAGGAAGAATGCTGCCTATGATCCCAAGAACACCATCCCCACCGTCAAACATGGAGGTGGAAACATTATGCTTTTGGGGTGTTTTTCTGCTAAGGGGACAGGACAACTTCACTGCATCAAAGGGACGATGGACGGGGCCATGTACTGTCAAATCTTGGGTGAGAACCTCCTTCCTTCAGCCAGGGCATTGAAAATGGGTCATGGATGGGTATTCCAGCATGACAATGACCCAAAACACACGGCCAAGGCAACAAAGGAGTGACTCAAGAAGAAGCACATTAAGGTCCTGGAGTGGCCTAGCCAGTCTCCAGACCTTAATCCCATAGAAAATCTGTGGAGGGAGCTGAAGGTTCGAGTTGCCAAACGTCAGAAGATCTGCAAAGAGGAGTGGGACAAAATCCCTCCTGAGATGTGTGCAAACCTGGTGGCCAACTACAAGAAACATCTGACCTCTGTGATTGCCAACAAGGGTTTTGCCACCAAGTACTATAATAATAATAATAATATGCCATTTAGCAGACGCTTTTATCCAAAGCGACTTACAGTCATGCGTGCATACATTTTTGTGTATGGGTGGTCCCGGGGATCGAACCCACTACCTTGGCGTTACAAGCGCCGTGCTCTACCAGCTGAGCTACAGAGGACCACTAAGTCATGTTTTGCAGAGGGGTCAAATACTTATTTCCCTCATTAAAATGCAAATCAATTTATAAAAATGTTGACATGCATTTTTCTGGATTTTGTTGTTGTTATTCTGTCTCTCACTGTTCAAATAAACCTACCATTAAAATTATAGACTGATCATGTCTTTGTCAGTGGGCAAACATACAAAATCAGCAGGGGATCAAATACTTTTTTCCCTCACTGTATATCATGTCAGAGTTGAAATATATTAAATTTTCAGTTTGCATCCCAATATTACACTTTATATACATCACAGAAGACTGAAATACAGTGACCTCTGTAATTATTGGGACAGTGAAGCATTTTTCCTTCTTTTGGCTCTATACTCCAAAAGTTTGGATTTGAAATCAAACAATATCTATATGATTAAAGTTCAGACTGTCAGCCTTAATTTGAGGGTATTCTTATCCAAATCGGGTTAACCGTTTAGAAACTACAGCACGTTTTGTACATAGTCCCCACATTTTAGGACACAATTCACTTATATGTGTATTAAAGTAGGAAGAAGTTAAGTATTTGGTCCCATATTCATAGTACGCAATGACTACATCAAGCTTGTGACTCTACAAATATGTTGGATGCATTTGCTGTTTGTTTTGGCTGTGTTTCAGATACTTTTGTGCCCAATAGAAATGAATGGTTAATAATGTGTTGTGTCATTTGGAGTCATTTTTTACATTTACATAATTTAGCAGACGCTCTTATCCAGAGCGACTTACAAATTGGTGCATTCAATTTATGATAGCCAGTGGGACAACCACTTTTTTTTATGGGGGGTGGGGGAAGAAGGATTACTTTATACTATTCCAGGTATTCCTTAAAGAGGTAGGGTTTCAAGTGTCTCCAGAAGGTGGTCAGTGACTCCGCTGTCCTGGCGTCGTGGGGGAGCTTGTTCCACCATTGGGGTGCCAGAGCAGCGAATAGCTTTGACTGGGCTTAGCGGGAACTGTGCTTCCGTAGAGGTAGGGGAGCTAGCAGGCCAGAGGTGGATGAACGTAGTGCCCTCATTTGGTGCAGGGTCTGATCAGAGCCTGAAGGTAAGGAGGTGCTGTTCCCCTCACAGCGTCGTAGGCAAGCACCATGGTCTTGTAGTAGATGCGAGCCTCAACTGGAAGCCCAACTGGAAGCCAGTGGAGTGTGCGGAAGAGCGGGGTGACATGAGAGAACTTGGGAAGGTTGAACACCAGACGGGCTGCAGCGTTCTGGATAAGTTGTAGGGTTTTAATGGCACAGGCAGGGAGCCCAGCCAACAGCGAGTTGCAGTAATCCAGACGGGAGATGACAAGTGCCTGGATTAGGACCTGTGCCGCTTTCTGTGTAAGGTAGGGTCGTACTCTGCGAATGTTGTAGAGCATGAACCTGCAGGATCGGGTCACCGCTTTGATGTTAGCGGAGAACGACAGGGTGTTGTCCAGGGTCACGCCAAGGTTCTTTGCACTCTGGGAGGAGGACACAATGGAGTTGTCAACCGTGATGGTGAGATCATGGAGCGGGCAGTCCTTCCCCGGGAGGAAGAGCAACTCTGTCTCGGCGAGGTTCAGCTTGAGGTGGTGATCCGACATCCACACTGATATGTCTGCCAGACATACAGAGATGCGATTCGCCACCTGGTTATCAGAAGGGGGAAAGGAGAAAATTAATTGTGTGTCGTCTGCGTAGCAATGATAGGAGAGACCATGTAAGGATATGACAGAGCCAAGTGACTTGGTGTATAGAGAGAATAGGAGAGGGCCTAGAACTGAGGACACCAGTGGTGAGAGCACGTCAGGTAGGACACAATCCAAGAGTGAGCAGCGCCGGAGATGCCCAACTCTGAGAGGGTGGAGAGGAGGATCTGATGGTTCACAGTATCAAAGGCAGCGGATAGGTCTAGAAGGACCTGAGGAGAGAGAGTTAGCTTTAGCAGTGTGGAGAGCCTCCGTGACACAGAGAAGAGCAGTCTCAGTTGAATAACCAGTCTTGAAACCTGACTGGTTTGGATCAAGAAGGTCATTCTGAGAGAGATAGAGCAGGAGAGTTGGCTAGAGACGGCACGCTCAAGAGTTTTGGAGAGAAAAGAAAGAAGGGATACTGGTCTGTAGTTGTTGACATCGGAGGGATCGAGAGTAGGTTTTTTGAGGAGGGGTGCAACTCTCGCTCTCTTGAAGACGGAAGGGACATGGCCAGCGGTCAAGGATGAGTTGATGAGCGAGGTGAGGTAAGGGAGAAGGTTTCCGGAAATGGTCTGTAGAAGAGAGGAGGAGATAGGGTCAAGCGGGCAGGTTGTTGGGCGGGCGGCCGGCCATCACAAGTCGCAAGATTTCATCTGGAGAGAGAGGGGAGAAAGAAGTCAAAGCATAGGGTAGGGCAGTGTGAGCAGGACCAGCAGTGTCATTTGACTTATGGGACCAGATACCTAACTTCTTACTACACATATAAGTGAATGTGTCCCATTTGTATTGTAAATAAGAATTGAATATGTTTCTAAACACTTCTACATTAATGTGGATGCTCCCATGATTACAGATAATCCTGAATGAATTGTGAATAATGATGACTGAGAAAGTTACAGACGCACAAATTTCATACCCCCAAGACATGCTAAACTTTCACCGGTACAATAACAGGGGAGGTTAGCATTTTTGGGGGTGTATGATATTTGTGCGTCTGTAACTTTCTCACTCATCATTATTCACGATTCATTCAGGATTATCCGTAATCATGGTAGTATTCACATTAATGTAGAAGTTTTCTATTCTTATTTACAATAAAAGTTACTCCAAAATGACATAATACATTATTTAACATGAATGACTATTGGGCACAAAATGATCTGAAACACAACCAAAGCAAACAGCGAATGCATCCAACAAATGAGTCACAAGCTTGATGTAGTCATTGCGTTCTATGACTATGGGACCAAATACTTAACTTTTTACTACTTTAATACACATACAGTGCATTCGGAAAGTATTCAGACCCCTTGACTTTTCCCACATTTTGTTACGTTACAGCCTTATTCTAAAATTGATTAAATTGTTTTTTACATGCACATGGCCAATTATGCAAATTAGGTGATGGCGACTTCTAGCGACTTTTAGGACAGCCAATAGCTACTTTCCTTACTGAGGAGTTGGCAACACTGCTTCAATGGAGTAGGGCAGCGGGCTGCAAAACACAAGCAGTTGGCTCGCAGCTCGAGGCAACAAAATATTAAATTTGAGGGTCAGCCGCGCATGGTTGACCGATGAGCAGAGTTCATCTTGTCAAGCAAACAAACAATGTTTTAATGACAACATTCAAGCTGACAACAAGCGGCGGATTTTCTCGTGGTTCAATTGCCTCTTACCACGTCCCGTGTGTAAGCGCCTTTACCTTATCGTGGACACAGCCATTGGATTCAACAAAACCACACCCGACTATAATCCGACAAATCCCCATGCAGCTGAGTTAGAAGCTGCATGAACTTGCTCTCATACTCCCTAAATACCTTCGCTTGAAAAATGAGAAGAAATCTGCAATACTGTTGTTTGTCCCTCTTGAGCCCCCATAGCAACCTCATAGCCAGAACACTGACAACAATGAGGCAGCCTATAGGGAGGTGGTCAGAGACCTGGCAGCCAGGACAACAACCTCTCCCTCAATGTCAGCAAGACAAAGGAGCTGATCGTGGACTACAGTAAACGGAGGGGCGAGTACGCCCCCATTCACATCGATGGGGCTGTAGTGGAGCGGGTCGAGAGCTTCAAGTTCCTCGGTGTCCACATCACTAAGGAATTAACATGGTCCACACACAACCACATAGTTGTGAAGAGGGCACGGCAGCGCCACTTCCCCCTCAGGAGGCTGAAAATATTTGACATGGGCCCTCAGATCCTCAAAAAGTTCTACAGCTGCACCATTGAGAGCATCTTGACTGGCTGCATCACCGCTTGGTACAGTAACTGCAAGGCACCCAACCGCAAGGTGCTACAGAGGGTGGTGAGAACGGCCCACAGGACCCTGAACACCTTCTACCCCCAAGCCATACGACTTCTAAACAAGACTGCTAATAGCTAATCAAATGGCTACTCGGACTACCTGCATTGACCGTTTTTTGCACTGACTCTATGCACACACACTGGACTCTAACCACACACTCACACATACTGTACTTACACTGACACCTCAATACACACACACTACATACGCCCACACTACATACACCCACACACACTACACACGCACACACATGCATACTGACGCCACACACACACTGCTGCTAGTGTCTATTTTCTATCCTGTTGCCTAGTCACTTTACCACTACCTATATGTAGTAGCTACCTCAATTACCTCATACTCCTGCACATTGACTCTGTACTGGTACTCCCTGTATACAGCCATGTTCTTTTTACTCGTTTTTCACTGTGTATTTATTCCTCTTGTCACTGTTTCTATTTAAATATATATATATATATCTTTATTTTGAACTCTGCATTGTTGGAAAATGACCCATAAGTACTAAGTTAGCATTTCACTGTTAGTCTACACCAGTTGTTTATGAAGCATGTGACAAATAAAATGTGTTTTGATTTGAACACTTCCCCAAAAGTCAGAATTAATCTAAGATAAATAAAGAAATCTGTCATTCATTTTGAAGTTTTTGCCAGGTCTTAATCGCGCAATTTTACATTTAGCTAAACTGTTTCGTGCAGTATTTCTCGTGTCTAGTCGTCTCTCGTTGAATGACAACAAACTTCAATGCTGTTGACCAATCACTGACGAAGGGGCGTAGACTTCGGCTACCGAACTTTGACTCAAGATAAAACAATGTGAATGAACACCAGGAAAAAACCCTGCCAAAGATCAAAAGCGAACAAACATTTTGTCATAATATATGCACAAACTGTTTCTACTGGAAAGCATAAGGTAAGCTTAAAAAGTTCAAACACTCGAATAAGACGGACATAAATGTCTATAAATCCCCCCATCCAAATTAACATGAAAACATGCATTAGCCTAACAACAATGGTTTGACATTATTTCTAACATCGATAGAGCCTACACTTCCTAGTGTTGTTTTTAACTTCTGAAGCTCAACAGTTTGCGCATTATGACGACATTTTGTGACGTTTTTGTTTGTTTTGGTCTTCGGTAGATTTCTTTTCGGCTGTTTGTGCAAACAAAAAAATCTTGAGGCAAGCCTAAATTCGGTAGCCGAAGTCTACACCCCTTCGTCGGTGATTGGTCAACAGTACTACTCCGAGTTGGAGTGTTTGTTGTTATAACAGTACTACTCCTGAACATGAAGTGTTTGTTGTCATCCAACGAGAGAGGACTAGTTTTCATGCACATTTTTTTACTTAAGAATACTGCACCAAACATCTTAGTTAGATGTAATTTTTTTTATCTTAGATTAATTCAGACTATTTAGAAGAAGTGTTTCTTGCTATGTTGTTGCTACTAAGGCTCAAGAGGGACAAACAACAGTAATATTGCAGTTTTTTAGGCAGTACAGTATAATACTGTGTGAGCACAGACGTTCGCTTCGCGTAGCCGAGACACCTTAACGCGGTAGGGATATAATAATAATAATAAGGAAAGGAGTGGTTTGTGACACACAAAAGCAGCCGCTCACCTAAAGTATTTGTCAGCTCATACTGCAGTTACACGTCTAACACCGCCAAAACATATTCTATGCAGATGCCGGCCAATGCTGTTTAACGCTGGTTAATGCTCAAGCTCATTGAATCTAGGCCTTGATCCTAACTCTGCCTTTTATAGCCCTGTTTATACCTGGTTCTAACATGCATCCTTTGTCCTGATCTTGTCCACATTCTGATTGTACCAACATTTTCAGACAGATGTAGACGATTACAAGACACATTATGATCGGATGTGATCTTTCTGACCACATCCGGAGGTAGTCAGAAAAGCATTGTGTCTGGATAGCTTACAAGTGTAGACAGCAGTGGAGGCTGCTGAGGGGAGGACGGCTCATAATAATGTCCGGAACGGAGCAAATGGAATGGCATCAAACACATGGAAACTATGTTTGATGTATTTTATACCATTCCATTGAATCCGCTCCAGCCATTACCACGAGCCCGACCTCCCCAATTAAGGTGCCACCAACCTCCTGTGGTAGACAGATCTGGACAGTTAAACCATTTAAACCATCATTATCCCGCCCTCTAAAATCATTGACAAGTGACACCATTGACTTATGGCATCAATATGCGTCTTAAAATAAATAAATATTATTTTGAAAGAATATCTGTCCAATGATTTGCATACAGGGAGGGACCAGCATATCTGGACACAGAGGACGGATAAGAGACACATTTTACTACCATGTGTAGATGCAACGGCTACAACGTGTGCGCAATCACAATGTGGATAAGACCAGGACAAAGGAAGCATGTCAGAACCAGGTATAAACTAGGCTTTTGTCTGTGTACCTGTGTGTAGCCCTTCAGTTCTAGCCCATCTGGACATCCCTAACCCCCGTTACCTGGGTCCAGCCATATCCTCCGGGGCCATCTACCTGGCCTCGTCCTACCAGAACAAGCTGCGGGTTATCTGCTGCAAGGGCAACCTGGTCAGGGAGTCTGGGGAGCTGCAGAGGACCGGCTCCAGCCGCGGGTGAGCTCTCCCTGTCATGTTCTAGACCCCAAACCTTTAGCTAATGGACCGGAACTACTGTACCATCAACTAAATCTATGGTGAAGGGTAGTAGTTGCACATATAAGTAAAGAAAGGAAACTCTAGAATACTAGATACACTGCGTCACAAGACTTGTGCTAAATGTTGAAAGGGGCTTCAGTGCCACCTACTGTTTTGAGTTTTCATTGCTGTTAGCAAAGCTTGGAAGCCAAATATACACTGAGTGTACAAAACATTAAGCACACATGCCCTTTCCATGACATAGACTGACCAGGTGGAAGCTATGATCCCTTATTGATGTTACTTGTTAAATCCACTTCAATCAGTGTAGATGAAGGGGAGGAGACAGGTTAAAGAAGGATTTTTAAGCCTTGAGACAATTGAGACTCGGATTGTGTATGTGTGCCATTCAGAGGGTGAATGGGCAAGACAAAATATCTTAAGTGCCTTTGAACGGGGTATGGTAGTAGATGCCAGGCGCACCAGTTTGTGTCAAGAACTGCAACGCTGCTGGGTTTTTTACGCCCAGCAGCTTCCTGTGTGTATCAAGAATGGTCCACCACCCAATGGACATTCAGCCAATTTGACACAACTGTGGGAAGCATTGGAGTCAACATCAGCCTGCATCCCTGTGGAAAGCTTTCGACACCTTGTAGAGTCCATGCCCTGACGAATTGAGGCGGTTCTGAGGGCAAAAGGGTGCAACTCAAAATTAGCAAGGTGTTCTTTTTTTTTGTACACTCAAGAGTATTGCAGCCATTGTTATTTTCTTGATTAAAGCCCAAATCTGTATGGTCATGGTTTTATCTCTCTGACTTTTCTCTCATTTGAGCTGAAACAACAACAGCTTATTTGTCTCCATACATTTATTTGTCTTCTGCTCTGGTCTCTGCAGAAGCCCCAGTAAGAGAGGTCCACCCACATACACAGAGCACATCTCCAAGCGTCTGGCCTCAGGCCCTGGCAGCCATGAGGGGCTTCACCGTGAGCCCAGCACACCACACCGCTACCGGGAGGGCCGCACCGAGTTCCGGCGGGACAAGTCCCCAGCGCGCCCCCTGGACAGAGAGAAGTCCCCAGGCCCCAGACTGGACAGCCGCAGAGAAAGATCCCCTGGAAGGTTTGACGACCACCAACGTCTCCACACCGGCTCTGACCGCCGCACACAGCTCACCCCTGTCAATAAGGTACAGTTATACACACCCACACTAGGAATTACATTGATTACATAAATTGGCCAAAAATGTTATGATTGATTGTGAAGCTGGCACACTCAATACAGTGCAATACTACATGGGTCGTTCCACGAAATGAGTGCCTTTTGCGTCCCATTGAGATTTTAAGTAGAAATTGTGAACAAATATATAATTTTAAAAGCCTGTTTTATTAAATGAAGTGCCCTTTAATATAGGCTACATGGAAAATTCAATAAATCTGATTTTTTTTATATGAAAAGACTTGCTAAAGTGCCAAAATTCTGCATTTTGACATGTCCCTCTGTGCATCCTCTGTGACTTCAAGGAAGATTTTAAACCACTTAACCCCAACATTTCTCCAAGTTTTCACCATCATTGTAAAGCCCTAGTTATTTTATTGCTTTGACGAAGTCAATTCTGAAGATTATTTATATAATGTTATTAGTGATTCATTTTAAGGTCAACCCTGTTACGTGAACTGAATGCTCGTTTTAATATCGTGAAACTATTCATTATTATTATTTTTTAAAATTAAGAGACATTGAACATCTAATAGTCAAATCATAGGGTAAAAGCAAGCGAGCTGGTTCTACTCTTTTTGGCCATGTTCTGGGGTTTTGTGGTGAAAAACTGAGTGGGTCGAGCATAACACGTCAACCCTGTTACCCATAGATAGGCTAGAAATGTTGTATCAATTATTTTTCTTTATTCATTTTTTTGCATTAAATTGCCCCTCCCTGTTGCACACAACAAGCTCCCATTCCCCCTTTCACAAGGGGATTCATGGCAGATTTAAGATGAAGTCGTAAACCCTGCTACTTTATTTGGCACTTACTTAATAGGCACTTAATATAGTAATTCTTTTTTTTTACCTTGATGAGAAAAATTTGTTTTTTATTAAGTTGAACATGTGCTCTTTATGACAGAATGTTAAAATTAGGAGATTTGTTTTCTTCACCAAGTTACAATACCCAAAAGGAATCTAATTGGTGGAATGACCCACATAAGTAGAGTTGATCTTCTGTGGCCGTGTCTGTATGGCTATCTCTGTATTTTAGGTATGGGACCAGTCTTCTGTGTGAGTGACACAAGGAGAGGCGCTGTGTGAGCCTCTGTTCACTCTGCACATGGCTACGCCATCAAGGGGAGACCAACCAGAAAACCAAGTCATCCCCCATCGCCTGTATATAGTGCAATCGTGATCCATTTACCAACACATACACTGTTGCACTGGGGACATTTTCTTTGACAATCCTCCTTTCTGATATGTGTATTCATGGCTATGGTTGTTCAACAGAGCAGCGTTTGCAGGGAAACCCTATGGATCTATGGGTCGAGGATATACTCTTTATAAGTACTAAAATCAAAGTTGTAAATATTGTTGTTCCCGTTTTTATAGATAAAAGGGAATAATAGGCTGGTAAAGCCAAGTCTATATTTTTTAAGGAAGCGTTTCTAATGATGTTGCAGGGAGAGAAATTATGTTGCAGGGAGACTCGAAATCCAATCTCAAAATCTCATTTTCATCCCAGATGCAATACTGTAGTTTTTGCTTTTCTATGGACGGTCAATCATGCGAACATTCAATCACCCATGTACTGTTCAAATAAAATGGGTTCCAAGAGGGCAATGCACATGAGCTTTTCACCTGATTTACTTTCAACAGGATTCCAAATTCATTGTTTCTACATAACCAGTCTTCTTTTTGGATCAACTTTGTATGGTCCTCTTGACTAGATGGACTTTGATATCTAATTGCATATTATTGCTTAATAACAATTTGTATCTTACCATACTTTTGCTACAAGTGTTCCTTGTGTTGTTTAAGTATACACTACCGTTCAAAAGTTTGTGGTCACTTAGAAATGTCCTTTTGTTCATTACAATAACATCAAATTGATCAGAAATACAGTGTAGACATTGTTAATGTTGTAAACGGCTGATTTTTAATGGAATATCTACAGAGGCCCATTATCAGCAACCATCAGTCCTGTGTTCCAATGGCACGTTGTGTTTGCTAATCCAAGTTTATCATTTTAAAAGGCTAATTGATCATTAGAAAACCCTTTTGAAATTATGTTAGCACAGCTGAAAACTGTTGTGCTGATTAAAGAAGCAATAAAACAGTGAAGAGGCGACTCCAGGCTGCTGACCTTCTAGGCAGAGTTGCAAAGAAAAAGCCATATCTCAGACTGCCCATCTTAATCTTTTATTTTTATTGGCCAGTCTGAGATATTGCTTTTTCTTTGCAACTCTGCCTAGAAGGTCAGCATCCCGGAGTCGCGTCTTCACTGTTGACGTTGAGACTGGTGTTTTGCGGGTACTATTTAATGAAGCTGCCAGTTGAGGACCTGTGAGGGGTCTGTTTCTCAAACTAGACACTAATGTATTTGTCCTCTTGCTCAGTTGTGCACCGGGGCCTCCCACTCCTCTTTCTATTCTGGTTAGAGCCAGTTTGCGCTGTTCTGTGAAGGGAGTAGTACACAGCGTTGTACGAGATCTTCAGTTTCTTGGCAATTTCTCGCATGGAATATCCTTCATTTCTCAGAACAAGAATAGACTGACGAGTTTCAGAAGAAAGTTATTTGTTTCTGGCCATTTTGAGCCTGTAATCGAACCCACAATTGCTGATGCTCCAGATACTCAACTAGTCTCAAGAAGGCCAGTTTTATTGCTTCTTTAATCAGCACAACAGTTTCCAGCTGTGCTAACATAATTGCAAAAGGGTTTTCTAATGATCAATTAGCCTTTTAAAATGATAAACTTGGATTAGCAAACACAACGTGCCATTGGAACACAGGACTGATGGTTGCTGATAGGCGTACAGAGGCCCATTATGTAGATATTCCATTAAAAATCAGCCGTTTCCAGCTACAATAGCCATTTACAACATTAACAATGTCTACACTGTATTTCTGATCAATTTGATGTTATTTTAATGGACAAATTTTTTTGATTTTCTTTTGAAAACAAGGACATTTCTAAGTGACCCCAAACCTTTGAACAGTAGTGTACCTAAAATGAATAATAAGCCTATAATCTTTGTCTGATTTGAAACAGCAGGCAGTGGAGCTGGCTAACCATGCACTCAGCTTTTTCTGGAGTCTGCTGCCTGCAGCTGCTTATGGTACAGATGTCCTGTTCTTACTTCTGTGCAGTGAATTATCTATGAAGTCCAGTAATTGTCAGGGTTTATCGCTTCTTTTTCAAACAATCAAAAAAGCTTCATTTGTCACATCCAAGAGCATGAGTATTTTAGAGCAGAAGTAGTTGTTTACCTTGATTTTTGGGTTTGTGTTGTTCTGTCATGTATTCACATGATTTTGCATTCAATGAGTATAGATCGATACAACACAATAACTAAAGGTTTTCTTGATTTTTGAAAATGTACACACATTAAACATGATTGAGCTACCCTGGCAATGTTTCAAGATGTGTCCTTTTTTGCAACATACAGCATACATATCAATAACTTTTGCATGAGAATTTATTCCGGCTAGCAAATGACCCATTTTATTTTCCTTTCATTCTACATCAATGTAATGCTCTTTAAAGTCAATTCAACAAAACAAAATAGATACTAAACAAGGAGCACTTGTTACAGGAAACAGCTACAAATTCTTATTGGACAGAGAGACATGAGAAGGTTGAAAGTGCTTGGAAAAGGTGGAAAAAAGCCCATAAGTGATCCCTTTGTTAGACCTGTATTAAAACTGCTTGGCACCAGTCTCCCTCCGACATACAGAGACATGCATACACACACATCTTGTACACATGTGCAAAAACACTTGCATTTACACCTGATTACTGTGCCATTGCAGCAATGCGTCCTACAGGAAGCTACGTGATGTGCACGAGTGAACAGTAATAAGCAGAAGACCAAGATCACTAAAAACCCAACTGGTCAAAGCGAGGGATCCTCCAGACAGACAATGCGTAACTCCAACCCCTACCACATATTGCCATCACATCCAGCTATGCACCACAACAGCACCAAAACAAAAGCCGGCTCATTCCTCAGGAGTCCCTCTGTGGGTGACATAATACTGACTAGAACATCAGACTTTCATTTTCAGCTTTATTGTTAGATTTATTTCTGTGGCAGTGTATACTCTGATAAACTTAAATGTTGTGCAAAAACATTGTCACTTGAATCTTTATACCATTCACATTCATGGATTGTTGGACAGACAAGTTTGGTGCCCATCATGCCTGTGATGGTGAATCGGCCCTATACCCACTAGCCTTGCCCTCGACATGGCAGAGGGAGGCAAGGACACTGCTGGAAGCCAGAAGTAAATGAGTGGCAAAAGGAACATTACCTTATTTAGCCCTCAATTTCAAACCTCAGTTTGGGAAATGATTACCAAAAAAAGCTGCATGGCTTTGAGATCTGAAGCTATGGACTACTCAACTCAGCCCAGCCATTGAAACGTATATGCTAAAAGTGATTCAAAGAGGCATTGAAAGAGATCAACAGTCTAGAGTTTTGTCCCTCAAATAGTTCACAAAATGGCTGTCCAAACTATACAGTGGCCCTTTTGCACATAGGCTGGCTGATCAGATAGAGATGAGTGAATTATAACCAAATTTGCTGAAATCCTGTGACTCAATTAAGTGTCCTGCTAGTACAACAAGTGTCAGTATTAATGATTGGCAGTCTTGAGCAGGAGATAGTCTAGGGTTGTTTTGTACATTTAATGCTCCAACTGATAGCTTGTAAAACACAAAATCATTAATAACAAAGGCCATTCTTGACGATGAACATCTAAAAAGCAAATATCAACTACTGTAAGCGCAGGGAGACGATCTCCGTGTCCATGTATGAGTGGACCTCCTGTCTGTATCCGTGTTTGGTAGAGGTAGTGTGTGTGCATGTATGAGTGGGGTATGCGTGACCGTATGTGAGTAGGGGGGTGGGGGTATAGTAAGGGTTGCTTGTTTTGGACCACCAGTGTGTCAGTGCATAGGCATCTCTTATTAATTTGGGTCATCTTCAGATCCACTACTGATAAACACTGATTATCCTGTGGCAATCGAATTGTCTACATTTGAGAGAACAATTCAAAAATAAAACATCAATAAATAATGAAAAGGTACTGATAGCATTAAAAGGTAAAACCACGGCAGCATCAAAACAGAAACACATCCTCTTTGGAAAAAAAATCCATCTTCGTTTTTTCTGCAATCAACAACTAAAAGAAAAACTCTAAAAAATAAAAAATAAAAAAACTTTTGCTGACTAATTTAGTGAACCACTATTCAAGGATTCTATACAGTTTCTTAAATTCTATATACTTATGTGAATATATTATTTCATTTATTATTTATTCATTTATTTTACAAAAATGTATCTGCGAGGAGGTCATTGAATGGCCCTTGGTCAGGGTGTCTCTGAGGAGATAAAATAAGCTACTCTTCTCATTTCAGCTGGTGAAGACTGCACTAACCAGCCAGGAGAAGCGCACCCTCTAGTGTCACTGGAAGGTCCACACAGACACTGTACTATACATTTCATCACCTTGTACAGCACTTTCTTGGTTTAAAGGACATGATGCAATGGTGGCTATGAGGATGTTCAAAGGGAAACATTGTGATGCATTTATGGCTCTAATGAAAGCCCTAAAATAAAAGTAATGTTCAACAAATAGCAAAAGAGTAACTAAGTAACCAGTCAGTGTTGGGTAATTAGTTCACCCCTCCTGCTGACGAGGACATATTGTTAAATGTGTTCCTGTCATTACAGGAGGAAACTGATACAGAAACATGACAGACGCACATCTCTTTGTAACAACCATTACATCACTTCCTATTTGACCATGATTGTGATGGATGGAACAACATGATGTCATGTCCTCTTCAGCACCACCATGATCCCAGTGCCTGCTGGGTAAATTGGGAGGGGGGGGGGGGGTCATCCTAATTTTAAGTGAAGGACATGAAGGCAGAGTTAACGAGCTCATTTCCACAGCCTCTCCCTGGCAGACAAAACCCATGAGCTTATTATGTAGTTGATCTCAAGTGACAATGCCACCATGCTTTCACTCAGATCAGATGCTGTGGAAGACCAGGTGTGTTGAATTTAGGCAACCATTGAACTGATCAGTTAGCTCAGTTGGTCAGGCGTGGTGCCTAGTTGGAACAAAATCCTGCAGTATTTGCGGCACTCCAGGAACAGGGTTGCCTACCCCTGATCTACACTCTGTCTGCTATCGGTTTATGGCACCTATTCACGCCAAGAGAGGGCAAAATGGAGCCAGTTAGGTGAGGATTCATACCTTGATGCCATTCAAACTAACACTTGCTAGATCTTAGTGACTCACAAATCCTCTCCCTGCTTAGGGCAGAGTCCTAACTTCAGACACATAACTCAAGTTAGAATTCTGCCCAAGTTCATCCAGGTGTTCCCCAGAAGTCAATGGAAGGTCTTGCCATCACCGTCCAGCCCTATTCTGGACACTGGAAGAGGTTCCTGAAGCACTGGAGCTGTCACTAGGGGATGGATGATGGTACTACTCTTGTCAGAGAGAAATATGAGTGGTGTAAAAAAACATTTTTAAATGTTTCAGATGAATACAAGCCCTCAAAAAGACTTTGCAGCATCATTCAGAGATGACCCTCTTGTGCCCCCCTGGCCAGCGGGACCAGGCACGCCATCCTCGCTCCATCGCAGTCCCAGTCCAACACCACCTCCACAAACACTACCAGCAGTCCTGTGTGTTGTCACACCCCTCCCTCCATCTGTCTGCCTGGCCATTTATTCATTCCTGTGCATAACCACCATTCAAAGTGCTTAGCATCTCGCAAAAACACCTAATTCACCTCCTCCACTACATCCGGCATTGCAGGCCTATATACATGAAAATCCATATTTTGCAGCACACACACGTACATGGGACATTCTGCAGCTCCTTGGGCTTCTCAGCAGTGTGCCTGGCTGTGTCAGTGGCTGGCTGGCTAGCTGGCTGGGAGGCCCGGCCAAGCCCCTCCCATGGCCTTAGTTTGAGCTGGCTCTGATGGGTTCCTCCAGCTCCATGGGATTGGGAGCTGTATTGATCTGGAGGCTGCCATAGCAGGTCTTACACACACGGGTGGGCTCAAACAGCTGCTGGCTTGGCACAGGGATCTTCTGGTCGCAGCAGCTGGCACAGAATACATTCCCACAGTTCCTACAGGGGGAGACAGAGAGGCAGCACAGGTTCAGGCTCGCTCACAGAGGGGCTGTTTAGTCAGTGAGTGGGTATGAGACAAAAACCCAAGCATCATTTAAGAGTAAGACCCTTTGATAAAGATGTAGTGTACAATCTTTATAATCATCATAACTTGTAATACTGAGACCCTGATAAGAAACAGTATCCTCACTGCTATGAGTACAGAACAATCGCATCAGGGATCAATATTGTTGGGCAGGTAAGCAAATCACACAGCTCAACTTCATAATAATTAAATAAATATATATTTATTCTTCATTGACTTCAAGTAACTATTCATAAGGTAACTAATGCAGAGCTCATACCATGCGTATATTTCTAAAGTAAGACCATGCTTGCCTCACACACACACACCACAATGGCAGCATTTCATAGTGGAAATTCTACTTTTCAAGTGGTCCTGAGAGTAAATATAAACAGACAAATTCCCCCTGCAACATTTACATCCAGCCTGGTCACATACACGTCTTAAAGCACTCTGAGTGGACTCCTGTAGCATGCTGTACTGGTGAAGGGTGAGATGCAGGGGGCAGCATTCTGACAGGATGTGAACAGGTCTAGGTACAGTCTAATGAGGTGCTATGGCGGGGTGGGGACCATGCTCCTGCGGATCAGTATCTTTTCAGACTAGCGGCTCAACACTTAGGCCACCGATTAGACATTTCCAGGTGGAAGTATTGGTGAAAGGACTGAAAACCTCAACCTCCCCATATAGCGCACTCTCACTAAATGCACTCCCCCTTGCACTGCCATGAAAAACAGGTGTGTTGTTAATACATATTTTTTTCAGACATCTGCCAGCCACTCTCAGCTTCATGCTCATACGTCCCACATGACCAGACAGGAGCTGGCCATCAGGGTCATGTGACAGCCATCTCAGAGCTTCTTGAAGAGAATACTGCCAACACAAAGAGACTGAGTGGGGTAAAGCCATTCAGTATGGGGTGGGTTAGGTTAGGATGAAGTCAACCAAAAAGGTGGAGCGATGCATGGTTAGAGGGAGGGTAGATGAGCGGGGAGAGATGGGACAGTGGAGCCGTATCTCACCAGGCCTCTTGGACAGGCTCTCTGTCACTGTGGAGGAGAGGGGGGTAGAGAATGGAACAATCGCAACCATCAGAGATTGGCCCAGACCAGACTCACAAGCACTGCCATCTCATCTAGTCTACACTGCAAGGACAGACAACAGGCTACAATTCTCCCTACCACACTCACTTAGATACTGTAAAACCCCTACTCTCCATATCTAACAAACTGTACACCTTGTTATAGGCTATTCCCATTTTGGCACGGATTCAAAAAAACATTCCACAATTTTCCTTCACCATGGTCTAGACGACACCAGTAGCACCGAGAATGAAAAGGTCTGTCTTGAATGGCCTTGATTTAGGCTACACATTCAAACAATCACTAAATTACACCATATAAGTCTGCAATCATCCCTACACAGTGTTACAAATAACCCATACGCTAAAATATTGTCACCAAGCTAATTGTTAGTTTAGACATTTACAGCTGGGTTCAAAGCCAAAATACCTCGTCACAGCTCCAGTTTGCCTAACAGGGAAAAAACCAAATCTGCACTGTATTCAGGCTACAATGTGGTCTTGTGAGCATTTTGTTGGACCGGGACCAAAAATGGTGCGGGTAAACTAGTTTGCTGACTATGGCTTAACAAATGATGATTTTAAACAAGTAGGCCAAAAGCACTGATAACGCATATTGATATGCAGCTTTTGGAGCAGCATGGAAATGAAGCTGCCCCACATTCCCCCAGAAAACAGGAAGTAGAGAGGATAACAATGAGGAAATGAGAAAACCAAAAGAGGCAATGCATTCATCTGACCTATGATGAAAAAATGAAATGTTTGTCTTCTATAACAGAATGGTAATGATAGAATGACAACTTTCATTGTCATTTATCAGTGACGCCTGCAGGCATAATATTGCAAATCACATTTGCAAACCAAAATGCAGGAAACTCAGGGGGAAAGAAACAACACGAGTAGAAAACAAACTGAAATCAACAAGCTTGAACTGAGGGAGTGTCTCCTCAGCTCAGAAGTGATAGTAATGTGTCTGAGGGCATCCAGGGCCTAGTTAAAACCATAGCATGGATAAGAGCCAGTGGTTGGTTACCTGCAGTGATGCTTCCTGGTGGCGAGCCAGAACCTACTCTCACACCCGTAGCACAGGGCTGCCAAGTGGTCCGGGTACCAGCGGGTCACCTGCAACAGGCAGCCAAATGGCAGTTCTCAGCTAGCATCTCTACAGCCACTATACTCCATTATTCAGCTTCCACTCCTTCTATATGTCCCATGTCGTATCATCCCATTCGACCAGGCAGCTTACCTCTGTGTCATTCTTGTCCACCTGCTCCCAGCTAGCCTCGGAGAAGAGCTCTGTGCTGCAGCGTGAGAGGCAGTTAGCGTCCAGGTTATACTCCGAGTCTGTCATTGAGGTCTGAGTGAGAGGGAATGAGACAAGAGAAATTCAGCATCTTTGTAATTTCACATCTGACTAAATAGTAATAATTAAGTGGTTCTCCTCAAGTGGTTCATCTACTTCTCACAAATACCCCCCCAAAAAATCCTCGGCACTGTCAGTCTGATCAAGTAGTTTGTGAAAATCCACACTCAAATCAACTCTGTCACGGCAATTAACTGCCAAGTCATCTCTCTGCAGGGCGAGGCTGGGTCTTACCACTTCGTCTCCCATGTCTCCGTTGATCCTGAGGGACGCTGCGTGGTGATGGCTCTCCAGGCGGCTCCACAGCTCCTGCACCTGCTTCTTCAGCATCTCCACCTCCATCTGGTGGCCTGCCTCGATCTGCCTCAGCCGCTGCTGGATAGTGTCCATGTGGAGCGTCAGCCCGTCGTCGTCCAGATGGCTGCGGGCCGGCTGCTCGGGGCTGGGTGTGGCGGCGCGGCGCCCCAGTAGGGCATGGAGGCAGCGGTGCTGGGAGCAGCTGCCCCGGCGATGGAGGGTCAGGGAGCTGCAGGAGGCCAGGGAGACCTGGCGGCTCAGTGGGGCCCGCTCCCCATTCACCTTGGCCCAGTGAGGGCCACCGCAGGGCTCCCCCTCTGAGCTCTCGCCATTACATAGACCCTCCCTGCTGGGCTCAGCACTCAAAGACTGGAAGGCACTGACGGAGGGCCGCTTGTGTCCTCCATTTAAAGTCCTGGATGCCCCCTGCTCTGGCTCTGCCTCCCCGTTCACTCTCCTGTGGCAGGAGGGTTGGCTCCTGCCTTCAGTGCAGGGCTGGGGGCCTGGGCAGACAGGTGCCTGCACTGGGGCCTCTGGCCTGCTGCAGGCCTCTTCAGTCAGAGTCTCTGTGGAACTCTCCATGAGGGAAGCCCTCTTGTCAGCCTGCACCAGGGCCTCTGAGAGGTGTCTGCTGGACTCTGGCGGGAGGTGATTCACAGCCGTCTCTGGCTCTTCTGGTGTCCTCTCTCCAAAGCCATTGGTCAAAGTTCTAGGGGATGGCTGGGCTGGGCTGGGGGTAGGGTTGTGTTCTGGCTCCTCTTGGGCAGTACAGTTCTCCAGAACCTGCTCTACCAGCTCCTCTGACTCCCGCCTCTCTAGGGCCTCCTGCTCCTCTGGAACGTCTGTGGACACATCAGTGGGAAGGGGGGGACTGGCTGGAGAGACACCAGACTCCTCCTCAGGCTCATCTGTGCCATTCCCTGGGTGATGACCATTAGTGATAGTAGTCTCAGCCCCATTGGTGTTAGCTTCTTTATCAGTCTCAGCATTACTTGCCATGGCCTCTTTCTCTGTCTCTGTTCCATTAGCGTTAGCGTCGATCAGAGTTTGAGCCACGGCAGCAGCAGCAGTAGCGTTAGCCTCTCTCTGAGTCTCGGCACCAGCCTCCTCCTTCGTTGCCTCCTGGAGAATGTTCTCCATCTGTCCCTCTGCCACAGCCACAGACAGCTCAATGGAGAGCTCTATCTCTTCTCCTACTGCTAATGACCCCTTGGCGGCTCCGTCTCTCAGCTCAGTCTGCTGGCCTTCAGGGCTGTCCTCCAGCTCAGAGTCGGCCATGCCTGCCTGAGGCCCTGCTGCTCCAGACTGGCCGTTAGCCCACCCATCTTGCTCCTGAGCTCCCCCCCCGTCGGGCCCCACAGCGATGTTGAGCTCCAGAGAGCGCCGGTGGTCCTGCCACTTCTCATTCAGGCTCGGGTCACTGGAGCGCCGGTTGGGGGCCAGCGAGCTCCCCAGCTCACACGCGCTGGGCAAGTTATCGAAGGAACGGGTCTTCGGATGTCTTTCGAGGGAAGAAAGAGGAATTGAGTTGATTAGTACGTGGAAAAAACAGCCTTTCATCCCAAAACAATGGCTCAGTGTCATTGAGGCCTCATGATTGAAGCTGAGGCTGTGTATATAATCAACTAATCATTACAGAGTGTTCAGGATTAAGACAAGTATGTCCACAAATGGAAAATACGGAGCGAAGCGTAGCTCAAGTGATTAAACTATATTCCCATAAGCTATTAATCAAGGAAAAACTAGACAGTTAAGCTTGCACAGAAAAAAAAATATGGAAAGTATTCAGCATTGTTTTTTAAACACGTCCTCACCACAGTTATCGTCGATAACAATGGCCACAAAAAAACTGTGGTATGTTGTTGTAAACAGCCTTAACCCTTAGCCTACAATTTCTGCGGCCCGCAGAAATCTAATTAACATAATACAAGCTAGAGATATGTTTTTATGCATGGAATGCGTCTCAATCCACCACATCCTCCGATACCACCCTTCCGCATCTGCGGTGAAAGGTGGCAGAGCTAGAGCTGTGTTTGTCAGACCATGAGACATCCCGAAAATCGGTCTTCTCACGAAAACGTATGTAGCGTCCAAACGGTTTGACCTACAAACTATTATGACTATTATTATTCAATGTGTTTCTATTGGCTAATAGCAGTAATGCCAAATTCAATGTTTCATCAAATATTTTTTTAATATATTTTTGTTGATACCTAAGAGGTCTTAAAATTCTACATCAAATAGCTAAATGACCCTTGGTATGACCATCTTAAAATAATAACCCTGGCTTAGACAGGGCTTAGACTCTAGATAGTTAACTGACACTGACAAAATCAAGAGAGATAAAATAAGCAGAGGATAAAACTCGGTGCCTCTCCCAGACCAATCATTGAGCAAGTCAAAAGCAGTTAGGCCAGCTGAGCAGGTTATAGAGCAGGTAATGCTGTGGGGCCCTCAACCCGGGTCTATCTTACATCAGGGAGGAAAGGGCAGAATGGCAGGCTCACCTGCCCAGGGGCGTGTCCTCTGGGTTGGCACCTGGCACAGGATAGGGTGCACACGACTCATCAGAGGGGGTGGAGGGGGAGGAGCTGGGCAGGTAGACTGCTGTCCACAGCAACAGGTTACGCACGTGACACACAGGGTGGAGCACCTACAACGACAGCCACAACTTTAGATATAGAAGGGGCTTGTAAATAAATATGAGACAGAAAAAATACAATGTCAACAAATTGGCCACAAAAACACAGTTTTAAATAGATAAGATGACATTGTTTGTGTCATAAATTCAGCTTAGGTCCAGGACCGTGAACATTTTAAGTAGACAAATATAATAAGTTATAGCACTCTGGGGTGTCCCCTAAAAGTCCCCCATTGTATCTGAGGCATGGAGTGTAGGAATGTTCCAATATAAAGGGGTGAGCAAACAGAGAGCAGACATACAGTCTCGGAGTGGGAGGAGTAGAGCATGTTCCTCAAAGCGCGGTTGGCTGGTCGCAGCAGTGACCACACGGAGCAAGTCCTCTCCCGAACGTGCCTTTCCTCCCTCTCCTTCCCACTGTTGCACAGGAAGGTGCCAAACAAACAGGAGTAGGAGTGCTGCACCATCTTCACCTGCACAGACACACACAGGAACAGAAACACACAAACATGTAGGAGCATGCTCAAATCTCAGGTATGATCATGATAGTGAAAGTAAAAATTCTATGCATCTCTGAGCCTAAAACATTACAACACTCTCCATAGTAATTACAGATCCCAGTCTCACAGCCGGATATAAACAGTAACTCACTCCAATAAATGACTGTAATTCACAATAATCCAAATATAAACATTTGAGTTGCATCCAACTCTAAATTCTCAGATTCTAAATGACTAAGTGAGTTTGATTCCATTCCATTCAGGTCTATGGTCCTCCTCCTCACCAGGAACGCCTCGTTAAACTCAAAAGAGCATGGGAACTGCCTCTGCAGCTGGTGCACACAGTCCAGCCACTGCAGGAAGACCGGGCAGCGCTCGTTCAAGTCCTCCGAATTCTCCCCGTGGCCACAGCGGTCAGCAAACTTATGGCCAAAGTCCAGCCACTCAGTCTCCACCAGCACCTGGAAACCCTGTAGAGAGATTATATCAACAGTTAGAGGTGCATTTTAATTAAAATAGGACAATACAGGCAAATCTGAATTTCTGCCAGCCATGTAAATGTGCCTCTGTTTATGTCTAATTCAGCGGTTCCCAAACTAGGAGTCGCGACTTCATGTGGGATCGCCTGATATGAAAATGGGGTCGCGGAGAAATATGTAATATACAAAAAAATATATTATAACATCGTCTTTGTATCTCAAAATCATTGTAATGTGGTTAACTTTAAAAATCTAAATGAAAATTATTCAAATCTAAAAGATACAATTAAACCAGAGAGCGCCCTTAGATCATAGGAAAAGGCTGCACTTGACCGTTGCACTTGAATCCCTCCCACAGTGAATGGCTAGGCCCACTACGCAATGAAACCACACACTATTGATATTACCGGCCACAATTGATATGGACGTTAGCTGTGAGGGCCGAGATGCCCATGCATTGACTTTTGTTTGCTATAAATGTCGGGGATGCTATTCACAACGATATTGTTCTGTCTCGAAATTCCCTAGCATGAAACGGCACAGGGGATGTTCAGCGTACTGGGCGGGTATATTGACGAAAAACAGTTTCCATGGGATCGAATGGTGGCCTTTTGCACAGATGGGGCTCCATCTATGGCGGTAAGGCAGGCAGGACTCTGCACTCTAGTTATGAACGTCTCCCTCTGCCATATGGACGTATTGTATGATACACCGAGAGCAACTTGCGTCAAAAGAGCTGAGCACAGAACTCAGATATACTGCAACAAGTAACTTCGATTGTAAACTACATCAAACCACATCCACTGCGCGCACGCCTGTTTGCAAAACTATGTGGAGATCAGAGCATGTCAATGTTCTATTTCACACCGAGGCTTGGTGGTTATCGAGGGGGAGTGTTGGAAAGATTTTTCGCATTGAGAGAGGAACTGTTGTCATTCACAATGGATGCAAAAAAGAGACTTAGTTGACTTTCTCTGTAATGAAAATAAAATGTCTCCTTGCCTATGTTACAGACATATTTGGGAAACTGAACGCAAGCATGCAGGGGAAATACAAAAACATTCTACAGATGAGTGACTGAATCAGTGGATTCAGAGGAAATAATTCTTATTGGAGAGTCTTTCAAAAGTCAACCATGCCCCCTTCCCTCGGCTGTGCATGTTTCTAACAGAAAACAGCACCAATAAGTGTCCCACACGAGTGATGACTGCTCACCTCCAAGGCTTGGAAGAGCACTTTGGGACCTATTTCCCACTCCGTTTGACTGTGATCCTGGCTCAGTTGACATGCCGGTAAGTGAAATCGAACAGCTGATGGAGCTGTCATGTGAATGCATTCACGGGTCACTACGGAGGAGTTTTGGTTTCTGACTCAAAGGGAACAACACCCTGCCGTCTCCCTCTAAGCATTAATTCCACGTTCAAAACAACTGGGAACTCAGAAATATCCAACTCCGACTTCAGTGCGTTCACTGACTTTGAGAAGCTCCAACGCAACATGCATCAAGCACACCCCTCATTAGTGGTGGTGAGATAAGATACATTACGTCAGACTAATTTGCAATTGACTGTCATAGCCCCACATTAAAAGCATGTGATGGTGAGTTGAGAAGACAATAAAAAATACTGTTAGAATGTTTTTCACATGATAGGGGGCGTGAGAATTTTCTGATATCAAAATGGGGTCGTGGGCCAAAAAGGTTTGGGAACCCCTGGTCTAATTATTACTCAACGTAAAAATGATCCTATTCAATCGATCAACAGGGCCCAACGATCGCCCCAGCCAGCCTACCTCGATGGTGCGGTAGTATGGGTCCAGCAGCAGCTTGGACAGGGCAGCGATCTGGGGCGTGCGGTCCCATCCGTCAGAGCAGTGCACCAAAACGGGTCTGTGGTCGCGGTCCACAGCGTTCACCACCAGCAGGGCCGCCTTCAGCAGCAGAGACAGGTGCTGCAGCCACTTGGTGCTCTCCAGAGCAGACAGCCAGCTACAGAGGGAGAGAGACAATAATATCATCTCCTGAATACACAGCCTCACTGTAGTGTACACAAACCACTCACATACACTCAGTCACACCAAGCACTGACTTATAAACACAACTGCACATCTTAATGACAAACTAAGGACCTTCACCAAATGTAATGAGCAAAGAGGCTCTAATACAAACAAAACATAAAACAGGGTGTTTTCAAGCTGTCCCAAATGAAAAATATGCATCTTTAATATGCCTGTTTCATTGAATTATGTTTATAGTTATGAAAAACTGGCCGTTATTGTGTCTGAGTACTTTCAACAATGTGCTCTTGGTTCAAGGGAAACATTCAGTGAGTTCAGATGGAAAGAGATCCTTTAGTTTGGGAATGGACCAGCTTCCTAAACCAAAGCCAGATGTGTGGCCTAGGCCAAAACAAAGCTGGAGTTACTACAGTTACTACGCCACCATGACAACAAACTGGAGTGGGGTAGAGAGTTTCTGCTTGTGTAATACATCTTGGATTGTGAGCCCAGTCTGAATGGAGCTCCACTGCAGTGCTAGAAGCAGAACTCACTTGGCCGGGTCGGGCATCTGCGTGCAGAGGAAGCGCAGGGACTGGAAACTCTTGCGGATGGAGTGGATGTTGGCCATGCCCATGAACACCACCTCACAGTTGGGGTAGTACTCTGTATGGAGGAGGAGATGGTGAAAGTCCGTTTGTGGCAAAATAACATATCATTACTACCAAAACAACTACTTTAGTGCAGAACATAACAGTGTGGATAGTGAGTTAGGACAGTTGTTCTGTTGGCATTAAGTTGACAATAACCTGCTTCCGTGCAAACCCATTGACCTCAGTCCCCTGGATTCACTGGCCCAGAGATGAGCTGTCTTACCTGGGCATTCACAGCCCCCTCCCTTGGCTCTGTTGGCCACAGCGGCTGCATAGGACCTGGCATCCAGGATCAGCAGCTTCTGTGGCTGGATGGCCAGCGTCTCTACCTCCGAGCTGTTCGTCAGGGACGATTCTGACGCACAGAGACACAACATAAATTACATCTCTGCATAGCTTATGACCGTCAGTATTTTCAAATAAAACAGGTAAAATATTTGATATAAATCTGATTGAACATAAATCAAACACTCCACATGACAGTGAACCTGGGCTGAGTTATGTGGTCTGCTCTTTCTGAGTCAATGGCCCCTCACTTTACCAGACAAGCTCCGACAGGCCACATTGCTCAACCAAGTGTCCGCAGCAAAGCCACACAAACAGATTGGAAGGTGCTGCTTCAGCACTGTGTGTGTGGTATGTTTGTGAGAATGTGTGCATGTTGAGGACTGACCGAAGTCGGTGTCGACGAGGTCATTGGTGCTGATGATTCCATTGGTTCCGTTGGTTCCGTTGGTGTAGGATCCGTTGGCCAGGTGTTTGCGGGAGCTGCCATCTACAGCACAGGCCTTGGCGATGGACTGGACCAGGTGCTCGTCGTCCGCATTCCTCCAGCCCCACCAGCTGACCTCCGGCTGGCCGCAGCGGGCGATCACAGCCCCCGTGCTCTGGTGCCTGGAGGAGAGGAGAGGCATGGGACAGTCAGGAGACAAATAACTGAAAAAAATGCACTGTGTGGAAAAACAACATGGCGCAATGCTGATCCATGTGGCCTCCGGAGTCAATAACACTGTCTCGTGAGAGGATTGGGTCCAAAAAACATGACTTTTGAAAAGATAGAATCCCCCATTACTCATACCTCATGGTGAAAGGAGTTGTCCTTCATTGATTGTATTCGCAGACAACCTAACCCTGTTCTCCCTCACTGACTAACAACACTACACAAAGACAGACAGACAGACCCACCTGAACACCACAGTCGGGAACCTCTTCCAGGAGCGGAAGGCTGCCACGTTCTCTAGCTCCTTGTCTGTGATCCAGGCTGGCACCAGGAGCTGCTGCGGATAGCTGGAGCACAGCCTGGCAACACCAGAGGAGACAGGGGCAGGGGTTAGAGCAGGAGGAGGAGCAAAGGCTGAGTGATGCCTCTAATAAACCCCTATCACCAGACACCTAATACTGGGCTAGGCCCTTATCTACAGGAGGCTCATCACCAGTGGAGGACAACAGCACAACCAACCTCTGTATCAGACACACAGAGCAGTGTGTGCAGCAGGGTGAAAACAGACGGTTATCATGCCACTACCCTAGGAGGCCTGGTAATCAGATCAGCCCTGTAGGATGTAGGCTGTTTGGGGGCGGTTGGCTGCACATACCTGAACTTGCTGTTGATGTCGGATATCCTCCAGGCGTTTTGAGTGTCAAAGCCCATCCTCTCCACCTCGTTCTTGAACCAGGAGGTCACATGCTCTCCTAACGGGGCACACAGGGACACAGAGGAGACGTGAGATGAGGACTTAGGTCTGTCACCACTGGGTAGAGGTCTGAGGACATCAATGTCACCACCAGCGTACCTGGCCTGCACAGCTCCCCAAGCTGCTCCTTCTCCCCGGCGTACACGTCCACACACCAGGCATGGAAGGCGAAGGAGAAGAGGTCATCCAGGCGGGACGGAGGGCGGACCGCAGCGCTCAGCCGCTTCAGCCACACCTGACACTGCTCCAATGTGGAGAACTGACACCTGGGAGACAAGCAACACAATCAGAAACCTAAACCAAGCTCATTTTTGAGAGAAAAGAATTGCGTTTGCAATATGCATGTATGCATTGTTTCAGTTGGTCCTCCTACCTGACGACCTTACAGTCCTTGCAGGTGACATGGAGCTGGAACATGTCACGACACTCCACAGTCTCTATGAGCTGCAGAGGGACCTGGTGAGAGAAGAAGTACACAGACACAGGAACAACACAGTCACACTCTGGTGTACCACAATCTCCAAACCAGCAGGCTGACTTTTTTTCCTCACACAAATAAGCTAGCTTCAGGCTCTAGGCCTACATGTGCTCAACATTCAAACAAGGGGCTATCATAAAATAAGACAGCAGAATTCACAAGCACATGCAGTAAATGCTTGTGCAATATCACCACCAACGAAATGTCTTAATTCAAAGCCAATTACTAGGCTAGTTAGTGTTTCATGTCAAGTGTGATAATGCCGATCATGCCAGGAATGCTATAGGCTATACTGCTGTCACCATGAAATCCATCTGAGCGCATGCTGCACCTTTACACCTACAGCTGCAAACGTAAACCAGCTGCATTAGTTGTCAAACTGTATTTTCCAGGCAAGGGTTGTCATTTTCACATCTCCTCGAGCACTGCCTTCCGATTTGATGTTCTTCCATCGTGTACTGATTCACTATGTAAAACTGCTGGATCATAGTGCAGTAAATTGCCCCACACTGTCTATTAAAACACCCTCATCATCTAAACTACATGACTTTACTTAGTGTTATGAACAAGCAGTTTATGAGCAGATTTTGAATATGGAGATACTATAAAGAAAATGTATCCTTTTACTAAAAGTTTCACCCAAAGTACATGTTCTGTTCTGTAGTGGCTCTGAGAGGGGGAGTGCAGCTAAAGCTGTCACACAATTCCAACAGTCCAATGCCATGCAACGGGTTAACACACACACACACACACACGTCGCCATGATGTCATCCACCCCAGCCCAGTCTGTGGGCAGGGCACCACGCCGTGCATGCACGGGCTGCTGGGTAGGTACTTACTGACACCTCACAACAACTCTCACTCTGTTGTTCAAAACAAAACAGGAGGAATAATAAAGAAGAAAAGGGAAACAGTTAACGCTGCGTCTGTGTTGAGGCTGTTGTCTGGCCACATTCCTTACATTCTCACATCCCGCATCTCTGTTTAAATTCCTGCTCTGTAATCTACAGCTCTAATCTGTCCACACAATGAAATTAACAGCCTGCCTCACTGAGATCTCGCTCCATTCTTTGCTCCTCCCGCCCCACTGGCAGATTTATGAGCGATGAACCACAGCCATGTGATGCCAGAGCTCTACCATCCCATCCAAATATGTGTGAAGAGAACACAGTGACATTTAGGTACAATATAACACGATTGACTGACCGCAACAATGGATTAAAACCAAATAGGTCAGCTACGTGGTAAGAACTGGAACATTCTAGTGTACACCGTTAGTGTGGATGTGACTGGAACAAAAACTGCCCTATATCTAAAACCAAAGCAGATTATGTGCGACATAGGTCTACATGTTTTGCATACCATACATTGTATCATGCTGATCCAAAAGGAGCAGAACCTGCACAACTGTACAGCAATGCTGTTTATTGCTATGGTACTATACTATGGTACTATTACTATAATACTATTACTATGGTACTATGCTATGGTACTATTACTATAATACTATTACTATGGTACTATGCTATGGTACTATTACTATACCATGTCAGGATGGTGAGAGGAAGTAAAGCAGTATCATTTGTTAGTAAATGGGGGAAATTGTCCATACTAAAACCAGTGTAATGATGACATGTCCATTTCGATTCACCACACATTGGTAACAAAGATGGTGTCTATATAGCTAACATGGCAAAAGGGGGAGAGGGCAAATGTGTTGTGCATCACTGACGGGATCGTTGCAACCATGGTAACGGCAAGTGGAAAGAGAAAAGCAAAGGACTGAGTGCAAAAGCAGACCTGCTGAGAACAGTCACGCGGCACTGCTGCCAATGACTATCACAAAGTCCATCTGAATGCCCTCTCCAGACAGTCTGCCTGGCCACCACAACAGTAGTGGCATACTGTCACTGGCCCCAGCACGTCTCCATTCAGAAAAAGTCATGATACACACACAGACTGGAGACAATAGGGTTTCACTGTACTGGCCAGCTGCAGAGTTGCTTCAGACACTGTCTGTGAAATTAAAGTGTGTGTTACTGCTGGGTGATAAACTGTGTGCTATCAACTCCCTAGCCTTCACTTAGTTAGTCAGCAGTACTTACGTTGACGATGGACTCTTTGAACTTGATGTGGAGGCGGTATCTGGACATGGCGATGATGGCATCCTCCGCTCTACCCACATACTCTGTTGACTCGCCATGCAGCTCAGGAAAGGGCACCTGGCACCATGGGAGGGAAGATATCAAAGGGCACAGAACCGTATCACATGAAAAGGAGGTGCCCTATAAATACACAGCTATGTACATACATGACCATTACACATACTTGACACATGTATAACAATGACTTTGCATGTGACATTGTGCTAACCAGCCCAGACAACTAGTGTTCTCACCTGCAGGCTCTCCTCTTCCAGGACTGGGGGCTTCTTGGGGAAGATCTGATTGGCCTGGATACATTCCATGCTCTCCTGCCCCTCCTCCTCCTGCCAATCCGAAAATATGTAGTTGATGATGTGGAATGTCATGACCTGTGTCTTGTAAAATATGACCTGTGTCTTGTAAAATAACTCAATAGTCCACTACTATCCCCATTCACTGGTTACAACCACCTTCAACTGTAGCCATTCTCCAACCACTCCCACTTTTAACCTCATCAGTTTTCATACCTCTAACAGTAACTTCACTGAATAGGCTTTCAAATAGCCAATGATGAAGCCAAATGTAAAGAGAGTGTTGATGCTAAAACAAACTCTCAATAGGTGTGTTGTCTTGAATTCTCCACACACAAGTCCACTGCTAAGAGTGCCTCACCTCTGGCTGGCAGCCTGACATGACACTAAAGCATGTCTGGCAACCCAGTTCTGAGCCAGAAACAGACACCGGCTACAGAGCACACCTCGCCAAGTAGAAAATATCATAAGTAATCTATTTACAACCAAGCGTCTTTAAAAACATTCCAGGTCCAAATTGAATTTGGGTAGCTAGATCCATTCTACTGGTATCCGTTTGCCAACTGTCTGCCTCCTTCCATGCTACACGTGAGGAGCTCTTAGATGTTGCATATCTACTGCCCAATAGAAGATTAGCATATTTTAGAAACCCACAGAGGACATTTATTTGATGGGAATGTGAGGCATGAACACGGAATCAGTTAAATTATTTTTATTCAGGGACCAAATTGGCAAAAAAAAAATGCATTTTGCCTTCTGACACACAGAGGGCTATAGTAGAAGACTGTGGTCTGTGCTTCGTCCTGGTCGGTGTCAGCCGCACCCTATGAGTCCAGTCTAGTGAGAGCATGATGGCACTACTGGCAGGGACAATGAGAGATTAGGGTGGCCCGGTCCATAGACATGACAGATAAAGGCCAGGGCTGGGGCAGCATATCCTGCAGGCTGCTGCCTCAGCGCCACCATCCAACCAACTGACCCCTGTCTAGGAGCCAAGCTGACACAGAGTGTCCTGTACGCATGGCTGGGGTAACACTTTGCAGGAGCCAGCCAGGGGGCAGGCACAGGAATGGATAACACACACACCTCGTCAGACACGGGCAGAGACACACATACACATCAGCGATTGACATTAAGGTCTGAAAGGCACTTGACCTTCGGGCAAATCACTTGCCCCGTGTTATAGGGCTACCCTTAATGTCAATCCCTGCACACACACAGTCACATACGGTACACCAGGTCAGAGACACACATATGGTAACACACACATACCGTCAGACATGCTCTTTTATGAATGACCAGGATGTAATACTGCTCCATATCACTCAAAGGCTTCCAGTCAAAGTCAAAGATTCACTGCTGAGGCAGCAGACAGGGTGAAACTTTGCCACTGTGTCTGATGCAATTGTCTGGCTACCAGTAAACACAGCTGATTAAAAAGGCTGAAAATCAATGGAGAGTTCCCGATTATGCAGACACATACAGATAGCAGCTATTCTGTACTGGTAGAGAGAAAAAGCCCATGATGAGGATGCACTTTACCATGGCCCCTGTGAAGGAGTGGGAGTCACTGGACAAGGAACACATGCCTTCCTCACTGGACCCCAAATCTCAGTCTGTAAAGAGTGGAAGACAGGGAGCGAGAGAGAGGTGCTGTGAATGCTTTACTACATCATCATCTTACAGAACAGAACAATCTCATTTGATTTCTACATAAAACTGGAACACAGTCTTTTAATTTAACATTTATCTTATTCCAGAGGTTCACTTGTAAACAATCCCTCATTAACAGTGACCACATGGATGAGAGTAATGCCCTGCAGTAGCTGGATTTGGAGGGCAGGGCACACAAACAGTCATTCTGTGTCACGTGTGGAAAATGTCATACAGACCAGAATGTTCTTTTCAATATTACTTAAAAACGATAGGAAGCTCAACAAATTTGAGTAGTGAGTACTGAGATGTGCACCGGTTTTACAACTTACCAAAGAGAACTAGCAACAGATGATGTGCTATCCTGATGATCCCGTTGTGAAAATGTTAGTTAGAGTGAAGACATTAAATTCTGTAGGAAAAGAGAGAACATTAAATTAGTTATAAGGAATGAATAAATGGTTAATTTGCAAACTCTTCTAAACATTGCAAACAGCTTACTTTTCACTGGAACATTCAATCTACAATAGACCCTTTCATTCCCTGGTAAATATAGCTGTGCTGGTGGTTACAGTAGGCTGCAAGTATGTGAGAGACACCACTTAAACACATTTGCGGAATGGAAAGATGAAATTTACGTAATATGGGTATTGTACACTTTAGCCACAGTTTACTATGCTCATCAATCAACACGACCATCAATCTTACAGTAGCACGTTTTTAAAATTAGAATAAACACACACTATGCTATATTTCATGCACAGAGCATGAGAAAAATAAGACTGCCAAACATCTCATATTTAGGTCTAGTCATAAAGCATTTTGGCAATGTGAATTTAAAAAATATATATTTTGCAAGAAACCTGTTCATGTAATCTTTAACTTCAAATAGAAAACTGAAAAACTCTCCCAGATGGTACTGTAGGTCTTGGCTCAAGACCAGGTCAAATACCACAAGGTCCCAACCAATACAGAACCAACACACCAACCATAAGAGCATGGTGACAGAACCAGCTATGAAACAGAAATCCATCTCTACTCTTTGTACAATAGAGCAATTTAGCATTATTTTACCTTTACATTGCACCTTCATTGTCTCATCTCTGTTCAATATATGCAACCTGATTTCTTCAGGATCTGACATTTAAATGCTTTTAAATGTCAGACCCTGAAGACTGAAATCTCTGAAACCTGATCAAGGGAAGCCAGTTGATTGACAGGTTCAGGATCACACACACCCTCTCTGGAGCATGCCATTGGGTTTGGCCTACCTAGCAGTGACTAGACAAAATTCCCACTGCACCCATTGCTCACCAAGGCTTCCATTCTGAAGCGCAGAACATTAACCTATTATACTGAACAAAAATATATTGCAACAATTTCGCAGAGTTACAGTTCATATAAGGAAATCAGTCAATTGAAATAAATAAATTAGGTCCTAATCTATGGATTTCACGTGACTGGGCAGGGGCACAGCCATGGGTGGGCATAGACCACCCACTGGGGAGCCATGCCCAGCCAATCTGAGTTTTTCCCCACAAAAGGGCTTTATTACAGACAGAAATACTGTCAGGTGGATGGACTATCTTGACAAAGGATAAAACGCTCACTAACAGGGATATAAACAAATTTGTGCACACATTTTGGAGAAATTTCGGGGATCTTTTATTTCAGCTCATGAAACCAACACTTTACATGTTGCGTTTACATTTTTGTTCAGTGTAGATTGAGAAGACCTAGGCACAGCCTAAAGGGACATCATTCTGTCACCTTACTGATCTGAGAGCTATGTAGCAGTGCATGCTCCAGAGGCACCATGCACCTCCCTGCTGGCACTGACTGATAAAACCTATCTATGGCCTGCGGACACACACCAACAGAGCATGTTTACCTCAGCGGGCGGGCTCGTGACCCATGGCCTCTGCTCAGTCTGGCTCTGTGTTCAGAGTCACACAGGGCAGGCTAAGCCCCTTAGCACCTTGGTCCTGTCATGTGACTTCCATGCATCTAATCTGAACCTGTAGCACTCAACCAAAGGCTTAAACCATCATCTCTCAAAGTGAATACTTCCAATCTCCGTGACATGAAGAGGATATGAGGTCCAGTGTGGCTCAGTTGTTAGAGCATGGTACTTGTAACGCCAAGGTTGTGGGTTCGATTCACACAGGGAACCATTACTAACAAATATGAAAATGGATGCCCTCACTACTGTAAATCGCTCTGGATAAGAGCGTCTGCTAAATGACTAAAATCATGAGGAAATAGAGACAGGATCTGTGTGAGGTTATTGGGGAAAGTGAAGGTTGAGTAGATGCATAAGTTAGTCTAGCTGTAATGCTCTGACACATAGGCCTGACATTATCAAAACAATTCTGCCAAAATATCCAGCCGAGAATGAAATATATGTATTACTGAGTTAAGAGCCTGTCCTCTGTCTGGCTTTAGCTGCGTGAATCACGAGTGATCTATATTCCCAATAATTTGACTAAAGGTTATGCATTATTAATAATTAATCAAATCATAAACTTTCAGATAACTAAAGTTGCTGATGAACGGTAGCAGTTTGCCTTTAGCTAACAAGGCATGCAATTAGAATATCTAGGCAGCGGCTATCATCTGGCATAATGTTAGCTAGCTAATGCAAACCAGGTAGCTAACGGCCTCAACTATAACGCGAAAGAGCTGTAGAAAAACAGCCATTTCAACCACCATAATTAGATAACTAACTAGCCAACACAACGTTAACATTAGTTCGCGAGAATTATCATAAACGTATGATTAGCAAACTAACGTTAGCTAGCAGGCTGGTTTTTAACTCTATTCTCTGTCAGTCACTATCGACGCACATCACCGCCCCATGTAAACATTTGCTACGGACCATTTTACCCGATTGCAGTCTGTAGTACTAGCTAGCTAGTTCACGTTAACAAGTAGCCATATTTTTCTCTGATCAATCGTAGATAATGTATCAAACGGTTTACGCAAGCTTTCTATCTTAGCTAACGCGCGTTAGCTACCTAACTAGCGCTAGTTAAACCCAGTCTATCGAAACAATACCTAGCTAGCAGCTAACTAACGTTACGCTTTGAGAATGCTATGTCTCGTTATGACTTTGATGGCAGGTCAAAATAAATGTTTTGCTATTTGGATACAAAGGAGCTTTGCTTCTTCTTCCCCTACAGATAGTTATTCATGGTAGCTACTCAGTACTGGCAATTGCTATCTAGCTCTCTGTCTGGAACAGTTTTTGTTGTTGTTATGAGATGGAGGGCGGACCCCAAAACCGAGGCCTCTGTCAAAACACACCGAAGCAGGGAGACAACCGGCGGACTCACCAAGGAGAAAGCAATGAGAATGGAAATGCCAAATATTCAATTGAAGATCCGTGCACCGGGTTTGCAATAAATTACACTTTAAGAAAT